CCGGAAGCCAGTGGTGATTCACCAGGACTGGAGTAATATAGCTGCATCGGCTTGTGTTTGTCAGGAACCTAGCAGCAGCATTTCGAACCACCTGTAGACGGTTCAAGGCAGAGACCGGAGCACCAATGAGAGGCCGTTTGCTTAAAACAGGATCTCACCACCAAATTAAATTTAAAATAATTAAGCATTATTACCCTATTTAATAAAGTATTAACAACTGCTTAACCATATTTTGTAATGCATTACTAAGCAAGACCCCCCCCCCCCACCCCCCACCCCCGTCCTAACCTTAAGGACGCCTTGTAGTTAAAGGTGCAGTATGTAAGAATATAGTGAGAATTTTACAGTGAGAGTCTGATGTTTCGGTCATTTAGGAAGGAAGGTTCTACTGAAGCGTATTTCATATCTGGCTGGCTGTTGAACTGTCAGTCTTTCTCTTTTCAAAACAAAGGAAGGAGGGACATAACTGTTTATCATCAGTTGTCACACCCTGCCAAGAGCCCAGCTCTTTGTTTCCTGTTTTACTTTGACCTCTCTCCTCCAAGTCACTTCCTGTCCTTCATTAACCAGATTCATCCCAGCTGTGTTCACTTGTATTTAACCTCTCTCTGTTTTCCTTCCAGTTGCCAGTTCGCTGTTGTCTTCTAGCACTTCGTTCCAGCCATGATTAGTGTTTGCTCTCAGTTTTTCTGACTTAGTTTTGGTTCATTCGTCTCTGCACTTTTTGCCAGCTTACTTTGATTTGTTCGTTGGAATTTTTACCTGCTTTTGATCTCTGCCTTAAAAAAGGACATTTGCTTTTTACCTCCTTGTTCTCGAGCCTTGCTTTTGGGTCCAGTTCCCTATACCTGACATCGGGGGGGGGGGGGGGGGGGGGGGGGGGGGGGCTCCTGCGAGCTAATGCTGCAGCGCCGCTGACGACTGCCAGCAAAAACCTCCTTAGTTGTTTAAAGTGATTGCAGTAATCAGATTTTACCACAGATGTCATTTTTACTTATTTTCTACATAATGCACCTTTAATACCAGGAAAATAATTTAAAAAAAACCTTTGTTTATTAGTGCTTAAAAATGCACTAAGAGACAATAAAAGGACCCTTATCGTAAAGTGTTACCATATCCTCCAGGCTCTAACCTTTATACTACAACGTGAAAAAAAAAACTGTAAAAACACATCTGACTTGATAAGAAACTGATTTTTGCCACAAAAGCAGAAATTATTTCCCACGATGCAGCTGGTGTTCCCACAACATGAGTCACATAAATAAGTACTGACACCCTCACACATACGGCTGTAGTGTTGAGGTCAGAGCCCAGTTAGGATCTCAGAACAAAACGCTGAAGTCACTCCGCTCAAAGTGAGTTACCGTGACTCACACACGACAGCGGTATGAACGCAGCAAGCTCACTTCATGGCACGATCAGATAAGAATTCATCTATTTCTTTTTATAATTTAGTTTAATACCAAATTATTAAATGTATTATTTAACAACACAATACAGCGCTACATAAATGAAGATGAAAATTTTGAATGTTTGATAGGTTTTTTTTATTGTTTTCACCATGTCATAAGATTTTAATAAATATTTATCAGGTAGATTAAACCTTTGAAGCATCTCAATGTTTTCAGAGCTAAATTTGACTTTTTCTATTCCTGAACATTAAAATTACAGATGTATACATTTGGATTCACAAGGTTATTCAGCCGATGTGACCATTCTGGGTTGAGGAAACATCGTTAGATTTTGATCATAAACCGTCTGAAATCATGTTTTGCATGCCAAGAAAGAGGGTCACACACACACACACACACACACACACACACACACACACACACACACACACACACACACACACACACACACACACACACACACACACACACACACACACACACACACACACACACACACACACACACACACACACACACACACACACACACACACACACACACACACATTCGAAGCTTCCCTCGGCTCTGCCAAGGCTGCAAAGGAAAACTGGCAAACACACGCTTGCATTCAGCCTTGTGACTGTGCTCTCTGCTGAGCTGCACTCAATCAACAAGCCAGAGAAGGGCTGTTAGTCAATGGCATTTACAAGATGGTGCTGTGTCACACTCTGGAGCAGTCTGATGAACAGGGAGGCCACGATAGCACAAAACAATAGGATTTATTAATCGAAACAAAGATGTCACTTGGTACAAAATTTACTATAAGTACACAAAGACTATTATCAATTTTATAAAACATGTTCCTAGAGGTTGTGGGATGCATATAGATTTTTCCTTTTAGAACTGGTGAATCCATAGTGTAAGGGCAGCAGGACTAGCTACACTAGCCACTTTTATAGGCTACGGCAACAACGTGCCATCAGTTTTGACGCTGGCAGCCTAAGAGAGCTGAGCCAGGACAGGACTCAAGGCATGTGAGCAGAAGTGGTAGCATCTCCGTGGGAACAGGCTGATGACGTCTAGACGGTGCAGGAGAGCATCCAAGAAACAAAAAACAGCTGGAATAAAATATACATCTGTTGAAGACCCATTGATTATTTCCAACTTAGAACCAATATGGACACATTCTAGTAAGTTCTGGAGAGCATAGCAGAGTCCAGTCCAGAGGGTATGTTGGAAACAATTCCTGGCAGGGGCGGTCCTAGGATCTTAAAGCCATGGTGGGGCAGTGATACCCTGATCTTGATAGCAAGCATGAACACCCCCCCCCCCTCCCCTCCCCCCAGCTGAGGGCCTAAGCATTGTTAAAGCTGTTATGATGAATCTGTAAGCATGCTAGGTTTTGAACGCAAACACGGTCACGGAACGCTCACCCTTCCCCTCAGGGTGTCTTCCCGTAGATCGGGGTGCCCAATCCTAGTCCTGGAGGGCCGGTATTCAGCAGGTTTTGTGGTTTTTCTGTTACAACACACTTGATTAACTGGTTGAATCGCCTGTGCAGCATCTCATCAGGCTCTGCAGAAGCATTTTAATCACATGCTGATTGAAATCAGGTGTGTTGAAGCAGAGTTCAACTTAAAACATGCTGGATAATCAATTTCCCTCTGGGATTAATAAAGTATTTTTGAATTTGAATTTGAATACCGGCCCTCGAGGACCAGGATTGGGCACCCCTGCCTTAGATGCTTCTGCCCGAACCGAAAACCCGTGAAGCCATACGCAACAATGTAGTCCTAATTGTCCTTTGTTGTCCGTGACCTCAAAGTGTGTTTAATTATTTGGGGGGGGGGGGGACTCTTGTAGTTTGTCCTCGAGTATAAGCGGTAGCAGCCGGTTGTTTCTCCTCCTCTGATATTATTGAGCGGATAACCTCTCACAACATTTGTGTTCTGTTGCTAAATACGTGAGTGCATGATGAACGGAGAACCCAGGGAAGTGCAGAAGTGCGGAAATTTGGTGAGACCAACAACCGAATGGTCCTATGGTTGCTTTCAGTTTGAAACGTATTATTGGCAAAGGTTTTAGAAAAAAGCAAGAGGACCACTTCATGAATTTATTTTTGTTTTGTTTTATCTCCACATAATATTTACAGCTAGACTATGTTAGAACGTTGTTAAGAGGCATGAAAAACTATTTTAGGCTAATTTAAGCTTTAAGTACTGCTTTTTTTCCACAATAGTTTAGCTTAAAGAGCAAGTCCCCCCAGATCAACTTATTTTCTGATAAACTATATACATGTGTGTTTAATCGTGCTGCAGACACGTGTAGTCAATAGTTTTGCACTTTAGTGCATTTTAGTTAAAATTTAAATTTTCTGCCTAAAACTGTCAGTGTTGTGCCATTGTCAGGTAAAAACTCTGCACTGCATTTGAATTTAAATCTGCCATTGCTATTGGCTAAGAGGTACCCTAGAACGTTAGCTGGTACATTATGATGTCACAATGTTGCTTGCGAGCCTGTGTGTGTGTATTTGTTAGCGGCTCCGCCCTCTCGGTCTGCTAGGCAACAGCATTTGTTGCATTTTTCAAACAGGAAGTGGGAGCGGAGTAAGACTCTGGTAGGAGGTGACTTGCTCTTTAATGTGAGATGTGGAACCAAAGCATGAGAATGCATTTACTTGAAACTGAAAAGAAATGCTGATACTTTCATACTGTTGCTGTTACAGATTAACAAAATATCAAAGGTTTTTTTTGCATAATCATATCATGAAATTTATTGAAATGCTGCTGCATTTAAAGCAACTGCGACTGAATTACTGTTATTATAATGTTGTATCTACGCACTAAAATTTGAAATAGAAGAAGGCAATATTTTTGTTTCCTTACAAACGTGCCTCTCCAACAGAGCAGCCGGCCCAACGCTGGTCCAGAACCTCTCCTGCTTCTTGGTGTTTATGTTTATTTATTTAGCAGACGCTTTGACTTACAATTTATAACCTATAAGACATGTTGTGATCTGTGGGGGAAACCGGAGTACCCGTAGGAAACCCACGCACGCATGGGGAGAACACGCAGCCTGGTGTGCAGCTGCTTGTTTATCCACAGGTTTCTGATTTTAAAGAGTTTTATACTCTTTCACTATAAATAAACTCGATCAGAGGCGGAGCTGGCCTAAATGGCGCCCTGTGCGAGATCCCCCTGTGTTCATTAGCACATCAAGTTCTATTCAGTTTACCGGTAAACATATCACGAATGTACAACAGGTCAATTATTAATCATCTTGGCTACGTAGCTCAATCTATGCATTCCAGTAGCGTTTGCTACAAACAAATATAAAAACAACAATAAAGGAAAACAACTGTCTGACAGACAGCATAGCCGAATTCAAGGCAACACATAACAATCATCATTTGATTGCTCTTGGTTTCAAATTAAGCCCACTAAAGTGCTTAAGTAAAATAAAAGTGTTTCAAAAACAGCGTTTTTGAACCGGAGTTCTGCTCGCGGTGGGAACTCCGCCGAACAAGGTCATTTTTTTATAGCGAAAACGATCGACTGGTCACTGACAAGTAAAAGGGTGTTATTGGTAGATGTTAAGAACACTTACCGCTGAGGTAAAATGAGAGTATAAATGAATTGAGGGGAGAAAAACGCTTTGTTTTCCAACGCCGTTCTACAAGCAACAAGCTTACAGCCACGGCACGAGCAGCTTTCATGGTTGCCGCGACGTGGAAGGAGCCAATCAGGAGAGAGACCTCACATCAGCTGACGTGGGTCATGTGACAGGGAGTAGTTGATATGGGTTACACTTTGTTGTGCTTTTATTACAGAAATATTAGTATTATCATCATTATTATTATTAAGAACATGCGATTTCTATGTTTTGTTTATGTATTGGTTGATGCTAAAAAAAAATTTTTTTTTGAAAAAAAAAAAAAAGGAAAAATGCCGCCCCCTGCAGACTGCCGCCCTGTTCGGCCGCACATGTTGCACATATCAAGCTCCGCCACTGATTACTCGATTGAACTTCATATCTAATACAGCAGCAACAGTTTGCTCTTTTCAAGTCAGCCTGCGCTTGTTTTAACATGCAGGACATTTAAGACTTAACTGTAAGATTTTTGCATGTTTATGTAACGTAAACATGAACAAGGAACTCATAAAGTACAAAAATAGAGACAAAAACATTCCATCAATTGTTTTGGGATTGAATGTTTCCACCATCGACTCAGTCGACTCAGGATTTTGGCAATTTGTAATTTTTCTGTCAAACTTTATAGCACCATTTAGCAAAGACTTCTCCTTAAAGCATCAGTTTGTCCTGATTTAACTTGCAAGGACTCTCGTACGATCCACACGGGGTCATTTACCCGCGTCCCAGCTGTTCCGCCAGGATTGAGGTTTTCCGGGACTGATGTAGAGGAAGAAGGGATGATTCAGAAGAGAAGGAAAAGAGATGCGTTTCAAGGGCTCGTACTCCAGCATCCCGTCCAAGAGGTCAAATAAATGGTGGTGCTCTCTGCCATAAGATAACAAGTACTTCTAGGAACATCAGGGAAAGAGAGAGAGACCGTTAGTGAAGAGGCGAATGTGGATGTGTGTAAGTTTGCAGCTGCCTTATCTCACCCTCAACGGCTTACACTTGGATTTAACAAAGCGTCCAGCCTTGGAGCACTCATTCCAGTCTAGTCGGCCGTGGTGGAAATACATCTGCCTTCTGAGGGAAAATAGTCACTCACTGTAAGGCAAAAAACCATAAGGATGTGTTTGATTGTAACAAGCTAAAGCAGAGTAACACCTGCTCTTTTGAATCATTCTCTGCGGAATTGGTCCCTGTATAATCTCCATCATAGCCAGATGTTCTTTATTGTCATGAGTCTGGGGTAAAAGAAGAGGACAACAAAGTGAAATAAACAGCACTGATTGTACATTTAATATTCCGCACACATCACCTGGAACAGCGTGAAGCCTTCGTAGTATTCGAACAGGATGCAGCCGATGCTCCAGACGTCACACGGGTGGCTCCAGCCCAACTCTGAGGGAGCGAGAAGAGATTTGAGATTAGCCAAACCGCACAGAGAGACTAGCTAAAAGTCAACATCTCCTACCCAAAATGACCTCTGGGGCTCGGTAGTGGCGTGTAGAAATGACTGCAGAGTGGTGCTCGTGGTCAAAGGTGGCACTGCCAAAGTCAACCAGCCGCACCGTGGTGTCTTTTATCCTCCGCTCTTTGCACTTCTACGCAGTGGAAAAGGCAGAAAGTTACTTCTGTTGTTTATATTTAGCAGTGTTGGCAGTAATTTATAGTAGTTAGAATAAGATTCAGAGTGTGGGCGGCTCACAGCTGTGCTGAAATAAATTAACTTCTGAACGAGCAACAACAAAGCCACATGTCAGTTTGTTCAGCTGTCAGTAATCCCTTCTTCTGTCAGCTAAAGGATTCATCCTGCTGTTGTTTCTCACCTTCTCTGTGTTGTACACGACAGAGTAGTCGGAGTTGACAAAGAGGATGTTCTCAGGCTTTAGGTCGGTGTGAGTCAGATTGTTGTCGTGAAGAACTGCAGATGAGATCGAGAGAGTTAGATTCACCAGGAGCCAGTACCCTACATCAGGATTAGGGATAGACTGATGTGATGGTCGGCTAATATATCGATCCTATATTTGCCTTCTGAGGCATGCTCTAATGGGAAACAGGCTTCAGCACAAACGGTTGTTTTCCGCTTGGTCCTAGAGCTCAACCAGTGTCAATTTAATATAGCGTAATATTGTTTTTGGATGGTAAAAAGTGCAGGGGTCAAAACTTGACTTTGGAAAAAGTGGGGGGGACATCACCACCACCCCCACCCCACACACACACACACACACACACACAAATATTACGTCCATGGACGGCAGCATTCCACATTTCTTCTGAGGGAGGAGTTTTCACTTCAGCCTCACAGGCTCTAAGGGCACCAGATGCAGGTAAAAATTGTTTTGGGGACAGACAGATAATTTCCTCTCTGCCTTAATGTTCTGTTGGTCTTCAACCCCTCTAGATCCAATAATGGTGTAATTAATCCATCCCAATTCGTGTTGAACAGTCCACTCGCTCCTTGATGGCATCCACCTTTTGTGCCAGAGCCTGAATCTCAGCCAAAGTTCCAAGCTTACGACTCATCTCGACAATTATATGAGTTTGTGCGTTCACAGCACGATTTAAGGATTATTTGTCATTTTAAAGAATTTTTAAGGCCTTAAATTTGGAAAAGCAAATATAAGACTTTTTAAGGACCCGCGGATACCCTGGAAAGCGTTGCTTCCCAGGTGGTGTGATGTGTGTTACTCACAGCTGACGGCGTGGCAGATCTGGCTGGCCATGTGTCGGATTTGGTTAATCGGAAAAGGCAGGAAGTTGTTTGATTTCAGAAAGTCTAAGGTGCTGAGAGACAGCAGCTCAAAGGAGATGCACACATGGCCATACAAGTTAAACCAGTTGAGCATCTGCACACAGTTCCTGAGCAGGACACAAATGCAGAGAAACAACGTCAAACATGTGAACTGATGAAATCTCTAGACTGATCTAAGTGACACACTGACCGTTTGTTGAGCGGGTCTTTCTCCTTGATCATCTCTAACACACTGATTTCCAGTTTGGCTGCTTCTCTGTATTTATCCAAGTTTTTAATTATCTTCAGAGCGATTCTCCTTCTATCTCTGTGTGTTTGAATGTTTTTTTAAAGATAAACGTGCAACCTGCAGAAAATTGACTCAACTAAAATATTTACCTATCATGGTCTAAACACTGCACCACCTTCCCAAAAGTCCCCGCACCTAAAGTGTCGATGATCTCATCTGTAAAACAGTTTGACGTTAAATTAAGACAGATTTTGTGTATTTATTAGGTGAAAGTTTCTCATTCTTCAGTTCTGACACCTACATCTGTTGTCTAGGATGTCCCCACTTCTATACTTCAGGTGACCAGAGTCAGCAGCCCGCTTCTTGGTGCCTGGAGAGTCAGCTCTGTTCCGCTACGGTTGGAGTTAGGAGAAACAAGAATACCCATGAACTAGAAATAGATTGATCCAGCATATATATTTATTCTGTAACATGCATGATATCAAAAATACCAAAATATATTGTGGTAAACTCAACTATGTAAAAAATATCTATCTATCTATCTATCTATCTATCTATCTATCTATCATCTATCATTTCCCACTTATTTGCTTCAACTTCTCCATCCTCCATGCTTCTACCATCCTCACTCACTCATTGCAGAGATTAAGTGCTGGTTATCTTCAAACTTCCTTAAAGTGACAATGTGTAGTTTTACCAATAATCTCTGGAAATATCCATTGAAATTTTGTTGTAAATACATTAAAAGATACCCAGTTGTTGAAAAATATTTGATGGTTTCATAACATATAACCATAAAAATCAGGTCTAAAATGCATGAGAGTGGGTCTAAGGGTGTTTCTTAACGAGAAAGGCCCGGCGCCTTGACATTAAGAAACACCCTAAGTCTCTGGACGATGCCATATTGGATGCCATGTTTGCTCCTGCGGGAGCCCGTAAGGACAGAATGCATTTTCGTAACAAATGGTTACAAAACTTTCTGCATTAATAAGCCTTCTTTTACACATTTATCTTTTCACTCATTGCAAGTGATGAAAGGGAATATGATTTTGTGGTTTTTGTTTGCTGGAGGTTGCACTCCCAAGGATTTTTGACCCTAATGGCCATCTGTTAGTAAGGTATTACCTGAACACAAAAATAATGCTTGCTTGCAGTGATTTAGGTTTCTACCATCCCCTATTGCCAGGGAAAATACACACTGTCACTTTAAGCTGATCCCTGATATAACTGGTCCTCCTCGTGACATCAGCACTAGGGACAGCTATTGAATATTCTTGTTACTTGCCTGAATATAATTAAGAATCTTTGTGTCATTCTCGGTCACCTGATCAGCTTGCTGCCACTTACAAAACGTTAATTTTCTGTGTCCATCACTTTCTAAATCACACCATTGCTAGCTTAGTAAAAAGTTTGGTCTCTTCTTGCCGACATGACTGTAATTCCCTCGTTTTTGGTGTCACAGAAGTCTCTACACAAGCTTCAACTGGCCCAAAACTCTTCTTCTCCTGCCATCACCAAAACACACTTCTCTAATGACATCACCGCAACTATCCAGCAACTTACAATTTAGGATTGACTAAATGTTGCTCCTCATATACTAGGGATGTAAGAAAATATCGATATGGCAATATATCGCGATATTTTTTCCAGCAATATTACATAGATATTCAAAAGCCGTGTATCGGAAATATCGATATGGCAATATATTGTGATATTTTTTCCAGCAATATTATATCGATATTCAAAAGCTGAGTATTGGAAATATCGATATGGCAATATATCGTGATATTTTTTCCTGCAATATTATATCGATATTCAAAAGCTGTGTATCGGAAATATCGATATGGCAATATATTGTGATATTTTTTCCAGCAATATTATATCGATATTCAAAAGCCGTGTATCGGAAATATCGATATGGCAATATATCGTGATATTTTTTCCTGCGATTATTACATCGGTATACAAAAGCCGTGTATCTAATTCTTGAAAGAATTTACATGCAAACAATTGAGTATTTTCTTTTTGTTTTGTGCAATTCAATCACCACCCGCTACGTGGCAGCAGAGTGCAATGGGTTTTGTTTCCACCACTGAACTGTAAATCCCTCCATCATGGTTCAGATACCTCATGTTAAACATGTTACGTATCAGTTTGGACTGTTTATTGAACATCTTACAATAAATTCAGTAAAAGAAATTGCTTGTAACATCTGACTGAAAGTATTGCAATATATCGTGATATGTCGTATCGTCTCCCCTGTATCGTATCGCCAGAATTTCAAAAATACACATCCCTGACATATACTGGGGCAATTCACAAGTTTTTGCCTCAGTCACATCTTATGTGTCCACACCCTCCAACATACTCAGATCCTCAGCTTCCATCAACCACCCTGTTCCACTTGTTGCCATGGGACGTCAAGCATTTCTGCTCCGTCCCCATGGAATTCCTTAGCAATAAAACTTAGGAATACCACTCCCGTCACCATTTTAACTCACCTGTTCAAGATTGCAATTTATTCTACACGGACCTTGAGTTCTTAGAAAGGTCCCTTAATTAAAATACATTTTTTGTTACCATTACATAACTTTTTTTTTTAATTGTGCATTAGTCAAACATTGCATTGACAAAGCTTCACACTGAAGATTTAGCTATGATCCCAGTGATGTCAGCCTTTTTTGTAAATGAGGTCTGGTCTTTTTGGTGGTGCTGATGCTCTATTTCCATCCACATTCTGAGACTGTTATTAATATCAGAAGCTCATGGTGTCAGTGAGGAGAAACTCAGCATTGAACCCTGAACATAGAAGTGACACTAACCCACATAAACACTTGCAACCTGCAAAACAAGCCTGGGTTGAAAGCTGAGGAGGACTTTCCTAATTAAAAACACATCTGAGCACAGATTGCATTAGGTCTAGGGTAAATTGAGCAGAAGAGACTTAAATAAATAAAAGCAAAAACATAATAAGTGATACTCACCAATGCACAGACACAAATACAGTCCAGGAAAGTCTTAAAGAGAGAAAACAGCAGTTTCATCCCCATCACAGAGAGGTGCAGATCTAATCAGAGAAAGGGTCAAACTGGAGTGGAAGAGGAGCCGATGGAGGGGTGTTTCTTTAAGGTGGAAAGGGAGATAAAGCAGCAGCAGATTAGCTTTAGAGAAGAGGAGAAAGCAGGGAGGGCTGGGAAAATTAAACCGGTGACAGAATAACACAAACTAGAGGACGTAGAAGTGTGACAAGGTAAAAATAGCCTGTAAGCGCCGTCAGCAGAAACCTGAAGTGTAGCAAAGACATCGACTCAGACGCTCCTCAAAATCCAACAAAGGAAAAACAAAACAACAAAAATGAAGAAAACTTGGATAACAGAAGAAGTGAAAACGATGTCAGAGACACGGAAAGGAAAGAGACAGAAAGAAATGAGTCGGCAGACACTGAGAGAGAGCAAGCAGAGACAGACGCTAATAATAAACTTTAGTCACACACCCCCCCCCACACACACAGACACACGAAAAAGTCTTCAGAGGAGAATCGAGATGTGCAAAAGAACGATCGAGTTTCACCTACATTCTCTCCTCCAACAGATTTAATCGCTCAGAGATCACACACAGCCTTTCTGTGGTTTAAAAAACAAATATGTTTATTTCATCAGAGTAAGTAAAAGAGATACAATGATCAAATACTCGACCGTAGAAATAGTAAAATATTCTTCTGACATCGTATGAAGTTGATAAAACTGGTTGCAAAGAGGAACAATGATACAGATATTAAATAAAACTCTTTAAAACTGAAAGTTGTTTCAGTTCAGTGAACAAAACATCAATAACAAACACCGTACGAAAAGACCACAGAACAGTTTCATGAATGTTATCTGAAAGCAGAAAAACTGGAACACAGAATTAATCCGATTTAATCCAGGTCTTTGGGGCTGGATCCAGGAAATATTAAGATGTCTCCAAACGGCTCATGCTGCTCTGCGCGGATCCTCCCGGACGATAATTTCTCTACACAAACGGGAAGTTTGAGTTCAGTCATTAAGTGAGAAGAGTGAAACAGAAAGGATTAAAAGAAACCGACAGTCTTTGGTGTGTTCTTGCTGTGCTGAGTTTCAAATTCCAACTTTCAGTTATTTTTAAAACACAGAAAAGGTTTTTTTGCCTCGCTTTAAAGACCTGCGGATACCCGACATGGGCAATAAACAAAGGAAAACAACAAACAACAACAGAAAGAAAAAAAACAACCAAAGCAAAGAACCAGAAATCCAGGAAGACAAGAACCAAAACCAGAGATAACCCTACCATACATCAAAGGCATAACAGAAAAAGTAAGAGCAACAATGAAAAAACACAACATAAACACACCAACAAAACCATACACAACAGTTAGAAACAGACTAGTGTATGGCGCTGTATGGGGGCCAAAATTAAGACTACTGCCCAGCAGCAGGAGGATATATAAATTCTGAAGCAAACTACTGACCTGATTAATGATAAGCTGGCGCCGGTAACTGAGAGGCTGTCGCTGCTTACTGAGAAATAGCACCTTTACCGGCGTTACTACTAGATACGCTAGGGACTAGCAGCCCTCGGCTGGTCACTGACTGGTTCACACACTCCCTCTGCTGTCTGTTAGCATGGATAGGCTAGCGTTAGCCTGGACGGGCTGGTGTTAGCATTGGAGAGGCTAGCCATTAGCGTGCCTAGGCTGGCCACTAGCTGTATTTCCTACCCCCTTGACGGACCATTAGCATGGATAGGCTGGCATTAGCATCGGAGAGGCTAGCCATTAGCATGTCTCAGAGAGTCACTAGTCAGCTAGTGGCCAGCCTAGGCACGCTAATGGCTAGCCTATCCGATGCTAACGCCAGCCTATATAAGGAGACGTGGATGTGGGACCATGAACAGAGACGATGGAGTTTACTCGTTAGATCGCGCATGGGACTGCATCATCGGAGAGGAGAGAGCGGGCAGCAGAGGGCGACAACGTCCTCTGCTGCCCGCCATCGGCGTCAGCCTGATGATGTTTGGCTCCTACACCGCAAACGAAACATTGCAAGTAAATCAACCTTTTCTGTGTTTTATAAAGAACTGAAAGATGGAATTAGAAACCAACAGTGTAACAGTTTCACTAGCTTACACCTCAGGAGCTGCAGTTATGTAAAAGTATTTGGGCCCAAAAATGGGCGGGGCTATTGTGATCTGAATCACAAGCAATTATTCAAGTTTTCCAGAAGATATTTAAGAATTTACCAGTGAACATATGCAGACTTTTACTGAGCCCCAAAAGATTATCTCGACTTGACTTTGAGCTCTTAGCTTCCAAAAAAAAAAAAAAAAAAAAAGAAAGAAAAACATCTCGGGTTCCCGCTAAACAAACTCAAGATCTCACAAAGTGGAATTTAGATGTGAGTTTCTTTTACTGTGTTGCGTCAGTAAAAATTGGCTTAATTTTAATGTAAAAATCTGCTTTTAAACTCATTTTCATGTTGTTTGTTATGAACAAACAGGTAAACAATTTCAAATGACCCCTGAGAAAGAAAGAGAATGGGGGATGAATTATGAGGAGGCTCAATTAAAGGTGTGGTTCACTGAAAAGGCATTGTCACTTCGAGTTTTTCATGCAGGCTGAACATGAAAATAGTCTCCTACGTCTTTCTGCTGCATCAGCTTCTGTTGTTGCTGTTGTTTTAATGTCCAGGAATCAGCAGCGGACATCTCGGTTAGTAGAAGCTAACCGTTAGCATTAGCATCTTCACCACACAGCCAAAGTTCCTCCAGGCTTGCGTTATTTGTGGAGAAGAAACATCAGTGTTGTACATCAGTGGGAGAGTTGCGTTGCTGTTATCTATTCCGAGATGAGATGTCCAAATATCAGGAAATAAGACTCCAAAACCTGCCGCCTGAAGCTCGGCCGTGATGTGGGCATTCATTCCTACTAGAGACCACAGCAAATGTGTTGATTAAACGAGTGAACCACTCCTTTAAATTGAGAACCCACCACAATTTAAAAGCTCGGAACTCTGCATTTTCCTTTTTGAACAGAGAAAACTTCTCTGATGAGAAGCAAACATCTTCCTGTGTAAAGAAGTCCAGTTGAAGCAACTGCTAGTGTGACCTAAACTCACCCAGGAGCTTCTGAAAAAGGTTGCTGACAGTTTTACGGTTTGCCTCTGGTGGTAAAAGAGACCGGAAAAGTACCGACTCCCCTTCGTGCTCCACCAACTCCGGCAACCACCTGGAGGCAGGCAGGTAGGCGCGCACACACACACACACACACACACACACACACACACACTGTAAGGTCAATCCTACACAAGATCTGATCGTCTGAGTGATGTGGCTTCAGATGATTACCCAGGAGACTCTGCTGCTGCTTCCCTGTCAGCTGTTTCACTTTCCCTCTCAGGGATGTCCTGCAGCATCAGGGCAGATTTGGAGATGATGGACCTGCCTCACACACACACACACACACACACACACACACACACACACACACACACACACACACACACACACACACACACACGTGTGTGCATTTAATTTTGACAACATCAACACAAACACACATCTGTTCGTTGCTCACCCTTCTCTGTCAGATGTGTAAATAGGAGAGATTTCTCGAGACAACTCCCTCTGATCAGACGCCTCCAGTGGCAGAGTACCACCAGCTACACACACACACACACACACACACACACACACACACACACACACACACACACACACACACATTAGAAGGTTCTTTTCCTTATCTTTTTCCCTAGGAAAGATTATTTCTTAAAGTGAGGTGGATGTGAATAGTCCAACATTTATTTTCTTGTTCTTACCCGAGATATCAAACATCTCAGGCTCCACCATTGGTACCTGCAAGCACACACAGACACACATGGTGGTGTGTATATACTTGTGAGGCCCCTCCATTCACTTTTGTGACTGTATTATACCTAACCCATACCCTAAAGATAACCAATGTCGCTGGATTATTTTTCACTGTGAGGACAAATGTCCTCACAATTTCAATACGCCCCCATGTTGGAGGTGAAAAGTAGGGATGCACCGATGGATCGGCATTTGATCCCAATCGGCCGATAGCGCCCCTATCGGTTTTGATCGGAGTTTTCAAAATAGATCAAAGCAGACCGAACAGACCATTTTAGATTAGGTTACATTTCCTTTATTCCCGGATTATGTAGTTTGTAGCACTCATTATAAAGTTGTAGAAAATTTCTGGCCAATCCACGTGATCAGTATCGGTGATCAGCATTCTTTGATATTGGTATCGGTGATCGGCAGCAAAAAACCTGATCGGTGCATCCCTAGTGAAAAGTTCAAACGTGTCCTCACATCAGATGTAAGACATGCACACACACACACACACACACACACACACACACACACACACACACACACACACACACACACACACACACACACCAAAAATCGTTTACCATCCAGTGTTCCATCTCAATCTAGAAAACCTGCTTTGACACTCGGACACACCTCTGAGGAAACCTGGTCGAGTCTCTGCTCCTCTCTCTCGGCCGCCTCCATCGTCTCGCGTTCTCTCTCCGAGTCAGACGACTCGGGCCCCCCCGCTCCAACCTGGAGGTCCGAGCCCGGCAGAGGTGTGATGGTTGCGGCCTGTCTCCATAGAGACCGGATCTCATCTGGGAGAACTGCAGGTAGAAGTGAGCCTGTGATTTATTTTTGGAAAGGTCATTCGAGTAGTGTCGTCCAACAAAGCTGGGGGGGGAGGGGCAAATCAATTGGGTTTTTCTCAGCAGGAAATCAGCTTTGCACACAATGATGGCTTCAGTCCAGCATTTATGAGACTATATTATAAACCTGCAACTCCTAAAAACATGGAGGTCTTTAACAGGTGCTGATGGAGCACAGACAGGTGTGTTACTGACAGATGCAGGGGTTGCTGAAGAGCTCCGAGGCAGGGACGGTTCTTTGAGAAAACAGCAGTGGTAGAGCCAAGGGTCTGGTTTCAGTTAGAGGGTCATCAATCTGCTGCTGCTGCTCGTTCTGAGGGAGCTGCGTCTCCGGATCGAAGAACACCAGCTGTCTCCTGCGCCTCCTCCTCCTGCTCACCTCAGGATGGACATCCTGATGTTGGGAAAGTCATGGATAAACACACAAAGTGTGTTTCTTTGGGGGCAATGATAAAAGTCTTGTTACAGAATTTTACAAACCTCTAACTCGGGACTTCTCGGGCGTTTTTTCCTTGCTGCAGAAGGTGGAGAGGGGAGGAGCGGTCCAGAGACCAGGGTGACCTCATCTCTGGGAGCTTGTGGGGTTTCAGCACGTGGTCCTGGTTCTTCCTGTGGCAACAGAGCAGCATCTTCCCCGGGAACAGTCGTAGACTGCAGCCTGACAGGCAGAACCACGGTCAGGGGATCAGGGCGTGTGTGTGTGTGTGTGTGTGTGTGTGTAATAAAGTAAAAGTTACTCTGCAGTAGATCCTGTCAACTCCTTCATCTTCTGTCTCTCAGAGTCTCTTGCTTCCCTCTTCAGCTCTCGTTCTTCTTCTTCTTGGGGAATCGCTCCTTCTGGTAACTCTACACCTTCTGTTAGTTAAAAAAAAAGAACATTTTCTCCTTTTAAAATGTGTTATTGTTGTTTATATTTTTTTAAAATCACCTAGTTTTGCCACAAACCTTCTGGAAAGTGACCTTTTTGATCCAAGAGAAAGTCAATGATGTCTGGAAGGTGATCAGCGAGATCGACACCCTCAAACTAACAATGAGAAGGAGGTGGAAGAAGTGAATGTTAGTTAGACTCTGATTCTTCGTGTTTTTTGTGTTTCAGTCTATTGACTATGAAATAAGATGCCCTGTTTAATGCAGCTGTTTCGGGTCTGAGTTTCTGTAAAAAGTAGTTTTTCTCTTGCTCTATTTGTCCTTTTTGAGTAGAAAAATTGTCCAAAAAAACACATAAAACACTTTTTTTTTCAGGGTATCTGCAGGTTTAAGGGAGCCAAATTTAAGACTTTTTAAGACCTTTTTTAAGGCCACTTAGACCAAATTTAAGCTACTTTTAAAATTAAATTTAGGCTATAATTTCCAGCTATTGCCTGGAACCGGTGCTAACCACGTGGCGAACGTAAGATTAGCCATCCAGTTACCATTAAACTTCCCCATGGCGCAAGCTCCCACTAGCTTAACCAGCTAATGTGCTCATCTAAAAATAGCCCCCTTTCACAACCAACTGAATGTGTACGGTTCCGCTTACGCCAACCATTATACACAAAAAATGCTGAAGACTAACTAGAAATTGAGGAAAACAAAAGGATCTTGTTTATTGGGTCTTTGGCAATTTAAGACCTTTGGAAACTGTATTTAAGGATTATTTGTCATTTTTAAGGATTTTTAAGGCCTTAAATTTGGAAAAGCTAATTTAAGACTTTTTAAGGACCCGCGGATACCCTGTTTTTTAGTGAGCTGAAAGTTTTAGGTTTTGTTGAGCCAGACTCCAGGACTAAAAGCTCTTGGCTGTACCTCTGCAGCAGGAATAGCAACAGGCTCCGTCTCTCTGAGTGTGATGGCTTCTGGAGACGCAGTGATGCCTGGTGGGGGGGGGGGACAGAACCCACAATTTAATTTAAAAAAGCAAAGAATTCAACAGATGCAGCCCCAAAGAAAGCAAAATGAAAAGTATATTACAGGGATTTAAATAAAGCGCTTGTCTGCTGAGTGGAAACGACAAATTGACCAACTTTGCTGCAGCAACCAGGAAACTGGGATAAAATTATTTTATTGTCAGTTGAACACACTTCCTGGTTTTCGGGTGAGAATTCGGTGATTTTAGTGCTCTAAGCTTCTGATGATCATTATTTGTACGTTAAGATTCTGCATCACCTTGGAGCTCCAGAGCAACAGGAGCAGCTGGACTGGTTAGATCAGGAAGCTCGGGAAGCTCAGGAGAAACCTCTCTTGTGTACTCTCGACTCATCTAGAAGGAGACGCAGAAATCACTCCATTCACATCAACCAATCAGATGTCTCCAGTCACAAACATCTGCCTTCACCTGCAGGAGTGTAGTGGGACTGTGCATGAGGCCATCCATCACTCCAAATAAAGGATCAGGAGCATTTTCAGTCTCCGCCATCAGAGAAAGCCCATCTGGAAGAGCCATAGTTTGCCTGGGAAAACAAGAATAAGCTTAAAGCTGGAAAAAAAGAAGGATTCATGGTGGAAAGTGCATGTTCCCACCTGTTGCCATCATCCAGATCGATGACTTTGGTGTTCCTCTGTTTCAGAAGGTGGCTCAGGATGGACTGGAGTTCCTCTGAAACGACACGTTTCTCATCAGAACTGGCTCTTTGGCTTCTACTCCTTCCTGTTCGACCAGTCTTACCCAGGAGAATGGCACACTGGCGGTGGTAGACCAGGACTACGCCGTACTGGAGCTGGGAGGAGAGGTAGAGGGAGAAGCGGGGCCGTGGGAGATCCGGCCGAGGGGGCGGGACCCGCTCCAGCACGTAGTTCATGATCTCATCGCTGGGTGAGGATTAATGTTACAGCGACACGTGTACAACAATATAACTAGAACTGCTCAGGTTAATACTCACCAGGTCCTTTTAACGTTGACTTTCAGGAACTCCCGGCGAGGAACTTTGATGCCTTTTGTAGCAACGAGCCTAAAATGTGCAAGTCTTTTGTTTATTTTTAAAGGGGACATAATATTCCAAATTCACCTTTTGTATCGTTCTGAACTGTCGCGTGGGTCTCTGCTGCCTCTATAAGCTCTCCAAATGTGAAAAACCACGTCTGTCTGTTTTCTGTCGGTGTTTGGTTTTAGGAATTGTGTGCCTGAAAGAAGCTGTTTCAAAAATTCTCCATTTGTGACATCACAAACGAGGAAAGTAGAACAAAACCTCCTTAAACGAGCGAGGGGGCTCATCGCCAAGCTCATCTTGGATATCAGAGCTTCTCAGCCATAGCAACCTGAACAGGGGATGGGTGGATGTTGCCAGCTGCAACAGAGCCCTGAAATGACTCATTCTGGAAGGTACTGAAAATGTCAAGAATATAATTGCTAAGAAAATATAACAAATTCCTGCCAATATTAAAATAATCTTGGTTTTAGACTTATGTTTATGTTTATGAATGAACCATGTTTTAGATTTTTATTATTTTCACATGTTTGTTTGAATAAAGACTTTTTTTTTCATTTTAACACCCCTGAGTGTTGCCCCACCCCCCAAACATCCAGGCAATGGTTTTGATCTACAGTTTAAGACAGTGATGTTCAATTCCGGGCCTCGAGGGCTAGCATCCATTATCCAACGCGTTTTAGTGGTTTCTCTAGTCCAGTTGTAGTCACTCCTGGTCCTGGAGAGCCAGTGTCCAGCATGTTTTCTTGTTTCTCTGCTCCAACACACCTAATTCAGTGGTTGATTCACCTGTGCAGCAGCTCATTGGCCTCTTTGGAAGCCTGCTGATTGAAATCAGGTGTGCTAAAGCAGAGTTAAAACTAAAACATGCTGGAAACCGGTCCTCAAGGCCAGGACACGAATAGCTGCTTTTTCATTGGTTTTCATCTGCTGTGCCTGACCATTACTAAATTTTTAATCAGCATTTTCAAATTGCTGACAGTGGCATGGGAGTTTGCCCAACCAATCCACATGTGTTTTGTGGATTTGGAGAAGGCTTATGACCGTGTCCCCAGGGGCACCCTGTGGGGGATGCTCCAGGAGTATGGGGTGGGTGGCCTTTTGTTAAGGGCCATTCAGTCCCTTTACCAGAGGACCGTGAGTTTGGTCCGCATAGCCGGTAGTAAGTTGGACCTGTTCCCGGTGAGGGTTGAACTCCGCCAGGGCTGCCCTTTGTCACCGGTTCTGTTCATTACCTTTATGGACAGAATTTCTAGGCGCAGCCGTGGTGTGGAGTGTGTCGAGTTTGTTGGCAAGAGAATCTCGCCTCTGCTTTTTGCGGATGATGTGGTCCTCCTAGCTTCATCCAGCTCTGACCTTCAGCTCTTGCTGGGTAGGTTCGCGGCCGAGTGTGAAGCGGCTGGGATGAGGATCAGCACCTCCAAATCTGAGACCATGGTTCTCGACGGAGAAAGGGTGGCTTGCCAACTCCGGGTCGGGGGAGAGGTCCTACCTCAAGTGGAGGAGTTTAAGTATCTCGGGGTCTTGTTCACGAGTGAGGGTAGGAGGGATCGGGAGATCGACAGGCGGATTGGTTCGGCGTCTGCAGCGATGCGGACGCTGAGCCGATCTGTCGTGGTGAAGAGGGAGCTGAGCCAGAAAGCCAGGCTCTAGATTTACCGGTCCATCTACGTCCCAATCCTCACCTATGGTCATGAGCTTTGGGTAATGACCGAAAGAACGAGATCGCGGATACAAGCGGCCCAAATGAGTTTCCTCCGTAGGGTGGCCGGGCTCAGCCTTAGAGATAGGGTGAGGAGCTCGGACATTCGGGAGGGACTCTGAGTAGAACCGCTGCTCCTCCGGATGGAAAGGAGCCAGTTGAGGTGGTTTGGGCATCTGGTCAGGATGCCTCCTGGACGCCTCCCTGGGGAGGTGTTTCGGGCATGTCCTGCCGGCAGGAGGCCCCCGGGTCGACCCAGGACACGTTGGAGAGGTTACATCTCCAATCTCGTCCGGGAACGCCTTGGGATCCTGCCGGAGGAGCTGGTGGAGGTGGCCGTGGAGAGGACGGTCTGGAGCTCCCTAGTTGGGATGCTGCCCCCGCGACCCGGACCCGGATAAGCGGAGGAAGACGACGACGACGAAATTGCTGACAGTGAGCAAGTAGTGCAGGGGCATCAGCACTAACATCTATCTGCAGCAGATGAACAACAGCTCTTTATTAATAAAATAAATCAGAAATGCGTATAAAGATGTGAGATGCAGTTTATCTTTATCTCCAAATCAAAACTTCAGCTTAAAACTTTGAAAATCGCCTTTATGCTGCTAAAACATTGTTTTAAGATTGTAACTGTTGCTTTTTGTATCTTTAATTTTACAATAAATTAGAAAATTCTAACGTATGGGAAGTTTATTGTAACACATGAACAAATTTTAAATCTGTAGCTGAGGCTTTATTTCGGGATCATCTCTTCAGTGATGATGTGAACTGAAGACAGCCAGAGTCCAAAAACAGAGAAATGTTTCAGGTGACAATAAAATCTGCTCACTGGAATAAAACTTGGGAAGAAACCAAATTTCGTGCACGTTATCTCATTTAAACGCGTAAAAGTTTTCAACCGGAGCTCTTTGATCTTCAAGGCTTTGATGACGACACTTCAAAGGCGGCTCGTCGTTTTGATTTGGTTCGTTTCACCACCAGATGCGCCTGCTCCCCGACTTCCCGCCTTCCCCTGAAGTCTGCGCTACGATTTAATATATATATAATAACGTTTAAATACACGAAACTCTGAATTTAAACGTGGAAAAGATTCTAAAGTATATAGACAAAAAAAAACGCAACACTGACGTCATCAGTCCATGAAAACTCGCGTGATCGTCGGTCTCTTCGTCAGAAATCGGCATTTATTTTGTGATTAAATTTACATTCATCTGATAAATGTCAGTTTAATTTCTATTAAGCTAAATTTGACAGGTTTTTTATCACAAAATTCCATGAAAATCTTTTTCTTTTAGCCCAAAAACAAACGTTAGAAACGCACTCACTGCCTTGCATAAAAATCATTTTGAAAGCGGAGCAGAAACGTGAAAGAGAAAACGCAGATTTTGACTCACCAGATGGTAGAAAAACATCCCGTGTGACGCTTTAGAACAGTCGGGTAGTAAAACATCTTCAAAACGGTCTCTGGAAAACCAACAGAAGTCCCGATCCGGTTCTACCAAGCTTCTGATCCAGTCTGTTCCGACTTTAACATGAAGTTTGTTTATTTTCGTCAGAGTCTCTGATTGGTGCGTCTCGCTTCAAAGAGACCGCCAAACAGGATGAAAGACAACTCAGCATTTCTTTTGTTCTGTTTTATGGGGAAAAAAAACAACTAATTCTTGTTTTTTACATGTTGTAAAGACTGAGCACAGACGAAGTTTGGGTCCTAAATGAAACTTTTATTCAGATGTAAAGAAAACAAGACACTTTAGGAAAGATCCCGATAAAAAATGACAAATCAAACTGATGAAAGTTCAACTCTAAGCTACGCTGATGAGGATCATCTAGAAGTTCTTCTCTGCAGGAACAGGATGAATGTAGGTGGATCACAGTAGCCTTCCTCTGCACTCTGTGGACCCGCAGCAGCACAGCAGCTCTTTACCCTCCACACTCCCCACCTCATAGTTGTAGTCCCAGGTCAGCTCGGTGCCGGCCCGGATACGCCTGCGCAGGGAGGGAAAGATCAAACGAATCAGGAATAAAAAGGAGTTAATGGAGAAGACGTGTGATTCATGGAGGGGGATCCTGATTAAAAACAAAAATAACAAGAGAGAATCTATTTACATCACTATGAATGACATTTATTCTATTACAGTGGTGCAAAAGTCACCATTAAGTCATTGGAGCCACTAGCGGCTCTCTGGGCCTTCTACATTGACTCTAATGACCTTTGCTAAAAATGATTTTTTTTAAAATCACTCATTAAAAATAGATTTAATAAACATGCAGATTTGTGGTTTTTCAAAGAATAATTGCATCGAATTTTCACAATAGAAACATTTTTTCCCAGATCATTTTCCACACATTTCAATAGATTTGAAAAAAATCCTTGATCTTTTTGCAAAATTAGTATGTTTTCTTCTCAGTTTAAACGAAATTGTGTTTTTTTCATAATTCTCTAATAGCAGATATAACAAATGAGGAAACGTGTGACTTTTTCTCAAGATTCTTACATCATCTTCACAAATCTGAGGTGAGAAAAAAAAAACCTTTTCCGAGTCCCTCGTTCTCTTCTGTAGGCATTTCTCAAAAATGATGGCCCTGCAACGGCTGCTGCTCTAAGCAAGTTCTATTCTGGTGAGTTGAGGATTAAATCGGCCCAGACCCTCTTCTAGGTTGATCTGTTTATAACCCTGAGAAAATCTGTAAATGACAAGACCTTTTGAGCATGATGCTTTCTGTATAATTCTTTTGTAATGAACATGGCTTATCTTAGAACCCCCCTGATTCTGCTGATAGTCAAAGTCAGATCCCCCTTTGTCTGTGATTTGGTTAAAGAGACTTTACGGAGTTTTGAATTTTTATGCTCGTGATTGCCCCCTCAGGCCAAAAGCGTAACGGCAGCTTCAATAGGAGGCTCGTGCACGAGGCGCGCATGATGTACGTGCACACTCCTTAACGAAAATAACAGCTGAGACAGTACCGTGTGTGTGTGTGTGTGTGTGTGTGTGTGTGTGTGTGTGTGTGTGTGTGTGTGTGTGTGTGTGTGTGTGTGTGTGTGTGTGTGTGTGTGTGTGTGTGTGTGTGTGTGTGTGTGTGTGTGTGTGTGTGTGTGTGTGTGTGTGTGTGTGTGTGTGTGTGTGTGTGTCCTGGAGGACAGAGGACAGGAGAACGTGCAGCTAATTAATTAAATAATTTGGTTCTGTACCTTTCTCTTCAGCACAGCCGACAAAGGTTTATGATGGGTCAGTCCTCCTGCATGCTCAGATCATTCCCTCCCCTTGCTTGAAAAATTGTTCCAAAATGAAAGTTGAACCCACATCTTTTTTATCTATGAATTCAATGCCGTTCGGCGAGTCTCAAATAACAATTTGGGCATCTTACTGTAAAAAAATATACCATTAATGTAAAAAAGAAACTCTAAATAAACTATGGTCACATCCAGAATCAAACCCAGGTCTACTGCATGGGAGTCAGACATCTTACAAGGTGAGCTACACTCTAGTAACATTCACAGTATCTGTAACTTTTATATCCTTGATGACAGCTGAAACGACGTCAAACCAAAGAACGGTTCGGAGTGAAAATGGCTATTTTGTTGCTAATTTGCAGGAAATATCTAGAAGAAAGTTCTACAGAAAGTAGCTAAGGGTCCTCAGAAATGTAGCTAGCTTTGTCACTAGGCGTTAGGAACAGCGACAAAGTGGCACTGCCTCTCTCTCTGCTGCTAAAGCTACGGAGAGCAAATGCTACGGGCGATGCCTGAGCGTGAACGCGCATGAAGCAGCCTGCTCGACCCGAGCATCTCTCTTTTTCTGTGATTTTACAGAAAAACAGGCAATCACAGTAAAAATGCCAGGGCTCATTCTACAGGACCAGGGCATTGCAGGAGAATGTATGAAGAAGACATTTATTATTTCTATACATGTTTTGGCTGTCAAACTTCCATAATGCCCCTTGAAATGAAGTCATTTTTAACTCATTTACTGCCATTAACGACTTTCAACAGCATTTATTTTACTGGGCAGGCGTCGGAACGAGCCCCCGCTCCGTGAGAACAATCATCACGGCTCTAAAGCTGATCTTCATCTACGCATGTCACAGGTCACGTGATCAGGAAGCACAAAATTCATGTATTAGGAGATCATTTTGGGCCGCTGCTCTGATAAAAGTGAGGCGCGACCCGGAAAAGCTTCTGCCGATCACAATTCGACAACAGATTATGAAAGAACGGATAACGCTCATGTGGATTCTTCCTGATGTAAGAGGTGAGTCTACTCTTTGTTTTGGTAGTGTTGGCATTGACAGTGAACACACTCGAAAACAGCCAGGGGTTTTCTGACCAGGAAACAGATGGCGGCGAGTTAACTGTGACCAAACTCACTTGCTGGCAAAGAAGGCCACCCAGGGGAATCGCAGGTCGTGTGTGTCCACAAACACATTCTGGACAAAAAGGTTTGGGCTGCAGCTGTGCTGTAATGCAAAAACAAACATGAACATGTAAGAGGGGGGTGGGGGGTAAATTCACATTAAATGTCTAACGGGACATTTTCAGCTGCTTACATTAAGATATCGCCCAAGATTCCCCTCCAACTTTGCGTCGATGATGTAACAGGATTCCTCCCCGTCGAAGAACAGCCGGGTGTTTTTGGGACCGCTGTCGCCACTTTCTCCGGGCGTTCCCTGATTTCCAGCTTTCCCTCCTTGCCCGCTTGGCCCCGCCCCTCCTCCGGATGCTCCCGTTTTCACCATCATGCTGTGGCTCTTCAGGGCGATGCCTCGGGTGGATTTCACAGCCACTTGCTTTTTGGTCACGCTGGGGCCAGAAACTGAACGAGAGAGAGAGTTTAAAGAACCAGAACGCACCTGAAGAACAACCGGGAGCTTCCTTTATTCACCTGGAGCGGGTTTTTCTTTTTCCTTGTTGTCCTCTGATCCTGAGCTGATAGTCTGAACGTCATCGCTGTCAGACAGCGTCATCACATCCTGCCTCTTGGATGCATCAGACTTCATTTGACTGCAACAAACAAACATATAACCAATGATTAGGCCTTATTGCAGAATACTGGCTTACAGAGTTCTTAGATAAGCTATAAAACCGTCTATTAAAGTCTGTTTGGAGGAATTCCAACACACCTTTTGTCTTCAGTGTCCTGTCATGGAAAAGGGAAATGCACAGGTTACCAAAATCATCCAAAACAAACACTTTTACCACAATTTATCCTTTTATTTGTCAAAAGCTTACATTATCTGCGATAAAAGGAATATTTGGTGCGTCTAGGGTTGTCACGGTAACCGGTGTAGCGGTAAACCCCGGTAAAAAAAGTTGACAATAATAATAACCGTCTTGTTTTTTAAAACATATATTATCTCGGTGGATTACCATGGCTGCGGTGTAGGCGCGGTGACCCTTACCAGCCACCGTATCATCTGCAGAAGTTGCCGGCGGCACATGTGCACTTTGTTGTTTACAACCAAAATTTTCTTGCAGCTAAAGCTGAAATAATGGCCAAAGGAGGAGACGGCAGCACTCAGGACATTTATTATCCCTCAAAGAAGACAAAGTCGGAAGTATGGGCATCTTTTGGATATCTGAAGAATGCCGAGGGACAGTTGATAGAAGACGGCTATCCTGTTTGCAGCACGTGCAGAAAAAGTGTCTGTGAAAGGCAGCAACGCTTCAAATCTCATGACACATCTGCGTGACCATCACCCACAACTCTACAGTCAACGCAAGGCAAGCTAACGTTAGCGTTTTAGCTAAAATGCGTGATCCGAGGATTTGGGTTGAGGGAGAATGCAACGAGTCGCTATATAAAGCAGCCGCAGCGCCGCTACCTGCATATAAACCGTGTCGTGGACACCGCCATGTTGAAATGACGCTATGCATTACGGGGCTCCCAGGGGCGGATAAGAGTTGGTCTCTCTCCGAGAATAATTATGAATTTAACAACGATTACTGCCTGATGACATTTCCCCACATCTGCAAAGCTCACTGGAAGGACACAAACCGAGGACAATATTTTCCTGATATAGGGTTTATTACTCAAGTAAGGGTAAAAAAGTATCTGATTAGAAGGCTACTTGAGTACTGAGTATCATCTGATCTAATACTTTTAAATGATGACATCAAACAGACAAAAAATAAGAAATATTGGTATTTTAAAGACTAAAGGGGAAAAATGTAAACAAATAAACAACATAATTACAAAATAACACACTTTAGGCAAAATTTAGACACAAACTGAGGACAATATTTTCCTGATATACAGGGTTTAATTAGTTGTCTGAAAATGTAACACGTTAAAAAAAAATACCGCGATAATACCGAAAACCGTGATAATTTTAGTCACAATAACCGTGAGGTTAAATTTTCACACCGTGACAACCCTAGGTGCATCAAAAATAAAAAGATTACTACACGAGTATTCTTTTCTGTATCTCACCTTCTTCAGCCCCTGGCTCGTTAGCCAGGAAGCCACTTTGCTTTTCCCCATCTCCACTGGTATCGATGGGGGCTTCTCAGAAGCTGCCCCTCCTGAAACGCTCATTCCATCTTTGCTATCCTGACTCCCTGAGGCAGGAGGACAAGCAGTCAAAAACACAGACATCCCTACTCTGGTGGATCTGTTGTTTAAAAGTGGAGTGGTATTGTTTTTCACCTTCCTTGTTGCCTTTGAGCTGACCCCGCGTGGTGTAACTCCTCCACACCGAACTGGACGAGTAGTAGTTGTCCTTCACAAACGTGTCGTCTGAACTGTCGCTTTCATCGTCGCTCTTCGAGTCTTTGTCGCCTTCCCCGTTGCTGTCGTCTGATGAGCTCAAGCTTCGGCCTGCGGGTCAGGAGAAAAGGGACGTTGCCTTTCATCGTTGGAGCCGACACAGAGGAGACGCGTCTAAAAGTTACGGTACGTCGCCTTGGCGCTCACCTTTTTTAGAAAGTTGTGCGGCCGTGTTTCCAGTGGCCAAAGAGGACGGCTGGATTTTGATTCTGGACACATCCACTCCGCTCCCCTCGCTATCCGAGCAGTGCGCCTCGCTCTCATAGCCCTCCTTAAAGTTCTCCACGCTCTCTATGTGGTCCAGGTTGGCGAAATACTCATCGCCCATTTCAAGGCCTTCTTTGTCAGCGAAGTCATCAGTCAGGATTTTACCTGATAGAGAAACAGACAAAAAGAGGAAGTTGCTACTTAAAGGCGCATGAATGACAGCTTGTGGTCAAACCTGGGTACTGCAGTCTGTGTATCAAAACGAGCGAGTCCGCTCTGAGCAACTGTCGCCAGTTACGATTCAGCACCAGAAGATTCTAGATGACGTGTGAAGACGAGTCAGACACACTAACTCGTATGAGATTTATGTGAAAGTAGCATGAGTTAGCATAAATTAGCATTGTTAGCTCAATACTAGGCATTAGCCTTCTATAAAACAAAAAGCTGCTGTGGCTTCTTAAGGGTGCAGAAATAACTTCTGGGTCGCTCCTGTTAGCTGCTACATTATCTCCACAATGCGGCTGCTTTTTGCCGGCTGGTTTCGAAAGACAAACGCAGATGCAGTGTTTACCGGCGCAGGCTTGGCAACCCTTCAGGCTCAAATTTGACTGGGTCTGGAACCAGGAATCATGTAGGTGGGACAGATTGTAAACAAAGACTACGTCCCTCTTTGGCCATTTTAAAAGGAGAAAAAATTACAACCCCCACAGCCGGTTGAGAAGGGAATTCTATTCAATTCAATTCAAAACTACTTTATTAATCCCAGAGGGAAACTGATTGCTGTAGTAGCTCAGAATAATAATAATAATCAAGTCATCACAGAGTTGTTGTATATTACAATGGCTGTTGGCAGGAAGGATCTCCAGTAGCGGTCAGTGTTGCAGCCAAACTGAAGAAGCCTCTGACTGAAGACACTCTTCCGTTGTCGGGCAGTCTTGTGAGGAGAACGCTCAGGGTTGTCCATCATTTTCTTGATTCTCTGGAGAATCCTTCTTTGCATTATCTCCTCCAGCGGTTCAGAAACTGCCGAAACTCTGGCTGAGTCCTTGAAAGGGCTTGGAGTTCCTCCATCTTGTTGGCCAGTGATCTCACATTGCCCATTATGATCGATGGAAGAGATGGTTTGAATTTCCTCTTTCTCTGTCTCCGTTTTGCTCCCGCTCTGCATCCTCGGTTCTTGCGTTTTAGCTCATTTGGGATTTGTGGCTTCAGTTGAGGTATTATTTCAGCCTTTCCAATGTTAATCAGCTGCTCTCGATTGTAAACCAGCTCGTTGCCATGGTTACACATCATAACAAATGCTCAAAAAGTGAAAAAAGCTAAAAAATAGCTGTAAAAATCCTCCAAGCTTCACAGCACCAGAAACAAAAGTAAAAAAATACAGTTTTTCTTGAGAAACTAGAAGAAAACTAGAACAAAAAATGCCCAAGAAAAGGCCAAACTTACATAATAGTCAACAGAGTCTTGTGAAGAGAATGCTCAGGGTTGTCCATCATTTTCTTGATTCTCTGGAGAATCCTTCTCTGCATTACCTCCTCCAGCGGTTCCACAGTCGTCCCCAGAACAGAACCAGCCTTTTTTATTAGGCTGTTGAGCCTTTTCAGGTCCCTGCTTCTGATGCTGACCAGCACCTGATTTATCATTGCCCATTATGATCGATAGAAGAGATGGTTTGAATTTCTGCTTTCTCTGTCTCCATTTTGCTCCCGTTCTGCATCCACGCTTCTTGCGTTTTAGCATTTTAGCTCATTTGGGATTTGTGGCTTCAATTGAGGTATTATTTCAACCTTTCCAATGTTAATCAGCTGCTCCCGATTGTAAACCAGATTGTTACCATGGTTATGCATCATAACAAATGCTCAAAAAGTCAAAAAATTGCAGTAAAAGTCCTCTAAGCTTCACAGCACCAGAAACAGAAAAGTAATCTGATTCAATATCAATCAATCAATCAAAGCTTTATTTATAATATAACCTTCCTTCAAATAGACATTGGACTGTTTTGTGATGATTTCACTACTTATTGCACCTTTAAGAATCTGTTTGTGTTCTGTTGCTAGAAATCAAAGTCCCTCACCGGCATAAATGCAGACAAACGAGCCCTTAGCGATATCATCCAAGCACCGGATGCCCCAGCCTTTGTTCTGAGTCTTAAAGAGCTGGAGGCGGACCTGCAGACCGTGCTGCACCAGCCGATTTGTGCACATCTGAGCACAGCATTTGCACCTTTTATTACACTCGTAGATCCTAAGAGAGAGGAAAAAGGGCAAAGGTAAGAGTAAATCTAATTAAAATGAGCGTGCTACACCAGAAAAAGCCTCCGACCCTGTAGGCAGGCACTCCTCTAATCGCTTGTATAAATATCCCGCGTTTTGGTTGATCAGTCCCCCGGGTGTGCAGCCTGTAGCCTGCAGCGTCAGCTGGTGGCAGGAACATTTGGACCTGGACATGAAACGATAAAAACCCCTGACACATCTCCAAAGAATTAAGATGAGAGAAAAAATTAAACGAGCAGCTTCACTAACTTGTCCAGACAGCCGTCCGTGCAATCACACCCCACCAGGAAATCAGAACTGGTGTTGATGACCACGCCGTCTTCAGGAATACGTTCTTTACCTTAAAGAGAAACATTTTAAACTCAGATCAGATTATAAATCAGATTAGGAGTAAACTATAAAAAAAGTCATCATTTCTGAAGACAGGAGGAGTCCCTGCAGCTCTTACTGTAGGCTACTTTAGGAGGGGGGGTGGTGTCGATCTCATTGACGCAGGACAGCGGGATGTCCTCCTTTCCACTGGTGATGTCTGGAATGTAATAAAACGGCCTTTGTGGCTGGAAAGGCCGATCAACCAGCACGTAGGGGTCGAGACAGAACATTTCTAAGAATATGAAGTCACAGCGGGTTTGGAAGAGGTAGGTCTGGATCTCTGACATCTTACGGAGACAGAGACCACATGGAGCCTTGTACGTCACGTGAAAAGACACCTGAGTGGGGAAATGAATAAGAGAAGCTTTGTGAACGTTTTAATCAGGCGGGCGACGTGTTTGAAAGCTTTCAGGGCCTCGTGAGGTACTTCCCATTTACCTTTCGGTTGATTTTGCGTCGACTCGTCATGCGTCTAAAATCATAGAGCAGGGGTGTGAGGAGGGGGTTTTTCCCTCGATGCTTGTCCGGTTTCACCGGCCGGATTCGTTTCAGACAAGCGGGCTGACACACGTGAGGCATGTAGAAGATGCGGTCAGTCGGGGCTCGGTAGGCGGGCTGTGTAGGAATTACGGCCATGGCGTGGGTCACAGGTGGAGGGGGAGGAGCCACAGAGGGCTGTCTCTGGTAGGAAACGGTGACAGAGGGTTGGGACGTAGAGGCATTCGGAATAGCCATCACTTTTCCACTGTGGATTTACAAAAAGACAAATATAAAAAGGTAATCGCATAACTTAAATCATACAGCAACCATCCCAAGATCATAATCTGAACGGATTTGATCAGTTTTCTTTGTTTAAAGTTGTTGGTTTTCAATAAAGTTAGAAATAAACACGATTTAATCACAGAAATTACAAGAAATTAGCAAAACAATCCATAAAGTTTATTCTGTGTTAATTTCCTGATTATTTACGTTTAAAAATCCCTCATTTAGATTTTTAGATTACAGATACCTGTTTCCGCCACCAGGTGGCAGTAAGGTACAACATTGAATAGAGGTTGGTGTGTTAAAAAGGGAATTCTCATAGGTTATTGTAAGTAAATTACAGAGCAGGTCACCCCCTACCAGAGTATTACTCCACTCCCACTTCCTGTTTGAAAAATGCAACAAATGCTGTTGCTAGCAGAGCGAGAGGGCGGAGCCACTAACAAATACACACACACACAGGCTCACAATGACACTGTGACATCATATGGTACCAGCTAACGTTCCAGGGTGCCTCTTAGCCAATAGCGATGGCAGATTGAGGCCCTGTCCACACGTAGCCGGGGATCTGCCAAAACGTAGATATTATTCTACGTTTTGGCCTGTCATCCACACGAAAACGGAGTTTTTTCACACGAAAACGGATCTTTTTAAAAACTCCGGCCAAAGTGAAGATCTGCGTTTTCTCCGTTTTGGGTGTCTGCGTGTGGACAGACAAAACCGGAGTTTTAAGGTAAGCAACGCCACTTTCCGCAACAAAAAAAATGCTGACATCACGTGTGCGACCTGTGTTTACACTAGCCGACAGCATGGACGCCCTCAGAGCTGCGATCGCTTTATCAGTTGTCCAAGCGCTTTTTGCTTGTTTGTTTTTGCAAGCGGAATTACTGCTCCTTGCGGAAGACCACAGACGAAGGACGAGGTTAAGAACGGGGGAAGTACTGCTGCCTACAGGTCTGGCATGTCCTTAACAACGTATTTATCCGGGTACGTGTGGACAGTTTTTTTTAAAACGAGGTGGTGTGGATGCAAGTTTTTGGAGGGGCGGATATTCGTTTAAAAAAAACGGCTACGTATGGACTACACCTAAAATTCAAGTGCAGAGTTTTTACCTGACAACGGCACAACACTGACAGTTTTAGGCAAAAAAAAAAACATTTTTTAACTAAAATGCACTAAAGTGCAAAACTATTCACTACACGTGTCTGCAGCACGATTAGACACGTATTTATATAGTTTATCAGAAAAAATAAGTTGATTTGGTGGCAACTTGCTCTTTAATTTTGGATCATTAGAGTATATACAGTAAGAGTATATAAAAACATAAACAAATACATAAAAATAAACATCATTAAAGTAATTTAATCGTGAGGTGAACCTACCTGAGGTTGCTGGAAGTGGGGGACAAAGTCTGCAAGATTTTGGAGGCATGTGTTCCTCCAACCCCAGGGATAAATGGAGATGTGCTCTTCTTTGCCATCTGATGCTTATTCCTTGAATATAAAAACACGACAAATCATATAAAACTAGAAAATCAGCTGTTGATAAGCGTGTGCTAGCATCCGTTTGCTCTACTGGTGTCCACGGATCGATGGCTTTAGTAGAATCTCAATGTTTTTATTTCTAAAAGCCTGTTGGAACTGAACTGCTGTTATTCAGTTGCCATGGTGATGTAGCCTTGGAGCAAGTGAACCAGTTTAATTAAATCAAGTTCAAATAGACCTTTCTTTTATCACAGTTTTCATTATATTCCTTTTTACTGAAAAAACGTGATGTATTCAGTTGCTAACTGAGTCAACAGAGAACGCTAATGATGCTAAAACTAATGACACGCTAACATCCTTAGCTCAACTTCCCAAATGCAGCGCAGTTTGTCTCGTCCTCCATTTGAGGTGCAGGACCTGAGACGTTAAATAACAGCTGACTGAAACTGCGTACATCAGAACCAAAAGCTTTTCTTCTTTAAGTTTGTGAATAATATTAATACCATTGACATATATACTGGACAATTCGTGTCCATAGGCTCCAATAATAAGTTTTTGCGCCAAAATGGGAGGTGGCCACCACCGCCGTTTTGACCGTGTCACAGGTTCCGTCAAGCCCAGACAATTCCACAAAAGGGAAGAGAGGTGGAGCTGAGGGTGTGGCTTTAAGGCTGGGATCAACTGACGACACCCGGTCGAACTGAAGCGATGTAGCTACAAGCTAACCCAAAGCTAAATGCGGTGGTGGGAGCTAAGCTAATGGAGGTAGCTACCTAGCTACAACCGGAGTTAACTGTGCACAACACCGGAGCTTCTGAGTCAGAGATACGCCGGGCTGACCGCTGGGGAGCAGGGGCGGCGTTAGGCCCGGCTACTTGGGCTCAAGCCCCAGATCTAAAACGTGGAAGTAACATGCAGTACCAAAGTCCAACAGAGAGGGAGCAGCTGGCAGTAGTTTGTATACAGCCTGCCTGAGCCTCCACCACTGAAGAAGAAGCCCTTCAGCAGCCGGCTTCTTCTACACTCTCTGCCTGAAACGCATGAGTGAAGATGGACATAAGGACGTTTTTTAGACCAAAAGTACCGCGACAGAACCCCAGCTTTGATGAGACTGGTGTTGACTCAGGTTTGTGAGTCTTATTTGAAAATATTTGTGAATTGTAATATATATGATGTTGACTAGTGCGTGTCACGTGTGTGTGTGTGTGCGCGCGTGTTAAGCCCTGGATCTTCTTCAGTCCTAAATCCGCCCCTGCTGGGGAGAACCGGGTGGAGCACAGAGGTTTCCCGAGAGCTCCACAAGCCGACAACCGCGCAGCAGACAAGCGCCGCTGCGATCAGAGATGCGCCAAGCTGACCGCTGAGGGGAGGGGACCCTACCGATAGTGGGAACCCAGCTCCACCAACATGTTATATTTCAACCCATTTTCTAAAGTGCAGCATTATGTTAAATGCACTGGGTTTTACCCTGTTACATTTAAATTTCATGGTTAAACAGTACGTGTTAAAATCTAAGCTCAGCTCGGCAGTGACCTAAAATACATAAATATAATTTTACTTACCAAAAAAAATTAAGTGGAGACTCCTTGGATGCTCTGTTAGTGCAATTAATGCCACAGCAAGTCATTTTGTCCAACAATTGTACAAATAATATCCAAAAAGAACGCACACACGCTACAACTAATGGTCTAAGTTGAGAGACTGAAAATGACCGAACAGTTTTCAGGCGAGGCCGAGGCTCTACTGAGACCTTTCCCCGGAGCTAGCTCTGTGGTCACAGAATTTTAGGCTTTTAATACACTTAAACAGAAGAGTGACAAAAAAATTCACCCCCCTCAGAGTTGTCATGAGTGTAAACTAGATCATTTAAACAAAAAACATGTTTTGGTACCAGACTGTAAACATGTTTATTTCTGCTGTGAAATTGGTATTTTTAACATGGGAGTCAATGAGGATTTGCTCGCTTCTGACACCAGCCCCTAGTGGATGAGGGTGGAAGTGCAATTTTTGTCACCTCCGTGTTGGCTTCATATCCAAACCCAAATTATGGGGGCTTGATTAATACCCAGTTTTAATTATTAAACAGCCCACGACTGTGTAAGTAAAGACAACAAGTGTTAATCACACCTTCTCAACAACGACCAGCTAATAAGTTCTGTCCATCACCTCAGATTTAAGCAAGTACGAAAACAAAAACTCCCTACTCTGCCCCCCGTGTGCTGCACTATTCGTGTTCACTTACTCGATGCGCTGAGGCTGTATGGTTTGTGAGGGCGGAGGCGTTTGCTGGATCTGAGGAGGCTGCTGGGGCTGAATGGGCTGAGGACGCTGCTGAAGCTGTGGTGTCGCAGCAGGCTGACTGGGAGGAACAGAAGAACTTCCAGCATGTTCAACGCCAGTGTACTGAACCACTGGGCCTTTACTTCTAAGCACTCCTGAAAGAAGAAACAAATAAAAGGGGTCAGGAATGGAGTGGACGTCAAATTATAACAAACGTTTTCACAGCGCTCTTTACGATTAGCTGCATGGACTAAATAATGTTAAAACTAGCTAAATGTGACCAACAACATGGAGGGGATCCTAGAGTAGATCTGAATTAAGTCACAAACCAGCGTTTCTTCTGGTCAAACACTGTTTTCCTCCCAAACGCTCATATTCAGGCATGGAATAATAAAAAACAGCGTGAATCCTGACGATAATCCCTGAATATGTTCACAAGTATTGAAAAGGAGATGCAGTCACCCATGTTTGGCCTGGTCCGCTGGTGGCCGGCCAGTTTCTTCTCTTGTGTGTTTGCTGAAGTCATTTTCAGATTGAACATGGGCTCTAATCTGGTGGATCCTCTGTAAATCCACTCGCTCCTTTTATCTTCCTGAAAAAGCAACACGAGAAATTCAGATGTTGAAAACAGTCTCGGCTTCTAGATGACGGCGTTACGGTGGGTACAGCCAATGTTTCCACTCGGTTATAATGCAGCCATGTGCTAAAATGACTAAATTCATTTTTCCTCATTAATGTACACACACCACCCCATGTTGACAGAAAAACACAGAATTTTAGAAATGTATGCAGATGTATTAAAAAAGACAAACTGAACTATCACATGGTCTTAAGTATTCAGACTAGGGCTGCACAATATATCGCAAATATATCGTTATCGCGATATCAGCATGCACAATATGCATATCGCAAAGAACAGACAAAAATCGCAATGAGTGGTCAACCAAAATGTTTGCTACACATGATGCATTCTGTCAAATGGAAGCATTATGTTTTTTTAACAAATCAAGTAGAGCTCTTCACCCATTTGGCCAATTGGGTGGGTTCTCATAGGTCAGATGCCCGCCCCCGAGGCGGACGGCACTTCATTTTGATGGTTAGCAAACACCTGAGTTAGCTTTGTTCTGCTCTTTCTGCAGATTCTGCTTTTCCCGGGATCCACTGATCGCCTTTTCTTGTTCATTTTCTTTTTCCCTTTCTTCACATCTTTTACTTTTTTCCTTTTTATGATATTTTTGTCATTTTTTTATTTCTTTGTTTTTGTTTTATTTGTTCCTGAGTTAAGTTTTTATTTATCGCAAGTAATATCGTCATCGCAATATTAATCACTGTTATCGCATATTGCAGGTTTTCCTATGTAGCGTCATGAAAGTCCTGTTTTTGACCTAAAGGTCCATGATCTGCTGTATCTGCTCGAGCAGAGACATAAAGTCTCTGACAGGCTAATCTACATGAGATATTGGCCAAGGTCTGTCATGCACTCTGCTCATCTGAACTGCTTCACCTCTGCTACAGCGAAGACGAAGAACTCTCTCGATAAACACCTAATCAACAACTTTGTTATTACCAATAATAATGTGAGCCCAATGTTCAATCAAATCTGTGAAATGACAATGTTATTACTTGATATTATAATCCTGTGATCAGTAGTATTTTACAAGTAATTATAATCCTGGACATTTGATCTAGAAACTGATGACATGTAATGCTAAAGCCACACGACACATTTCCTTTTGTCTGATCCAATCAGAACCTTCGTTTCTGGTGTGAGGTGTGGTTTTCTGTGGTGTTTGTATAAACCCTCTTTTGCATGTCAAATTCTGATTCGCCAGCAAACCAAAATATGACAATTATAAAAACTATCCCACGCCACCTTTTCTTTAGTTCAAAGCGTTCTAGAGAAGTCTCAGACCGGCCATCCGGACTTCCTCTTCAGCCATAAAGAACCTTGCTCGACAAGCTGGATAAAATCTGTTGCAAGTTACACCGGACCGCAACGGTTCCTTCAGAATAAAAGCTGAACCTCACGACCCCTTCAGGGTCTCGGAGATGCCAGTGATAACCTGTCGTGACCTGGAAGCATTCCAAGACTAGTTTGGTCAGCACCGCTGCTTTTCTACCGGCTTCGGTGCCAAGGAGGGTCCAAGAGGACCTCGGCATTCTGGATCTAACAGAGGCTTCCCCTGGGGTACGTAGACCGACAGATGGCGTCTCATGTGTGTTATAAATCTCCTACTAAAGTTTAGAGCAAAACATTCACTCCCACTCAGAACTAACGGCTTCTCCGGATCCGCTGGTTCTGATAATAACATTACACACACACATACCCCAGCACCTCACGTCTCACTCCACCTTAGTCCATCAGTACAGAGAGTGTTAAAGTTAGTCTTGTTTAAATTGTGTAGAAATAAATTTCGTAACTATTATAAACCTGACTCTCTCTCTTTCCTCGGAGTTAATACGAAGTGTCGCTTAATCCCTGCAATAAAAAGTTCTGATCGTCTGGTTAAAATATTCAAAGATCCATCAGATTGATATTTCATATTTCTATGGAATCTCACATTTCGTGCAAACCCAATTCAGACCCTTTGCTCAGTATTTAGTAGAAGCATGTTTTGAGTCTTCTTGGTAAAGATGCAACAAGTTTCTTCCACCTGGATTTGGGGCTCCTCTCCAGTTCTGTCAGGCTGGATGATGAATGTTGGTTCAGAGTTGCCATGAAGCCACCACTTCAGTATTTTAGCTGTGTGCTTAGGGTCATGGTCATGTTGGAGGGTAAACCTTCAGCTCAGTCTGAGGTCCTGAGCACTCTGGAGAAGGTTCCTGTCCAGGATATCCCTGTACTTGTTCATCATTTTCTCGATTGCAATCGCCATTCCAATTTATTTCAACGCAGCGTGAGAGCTGACCAAAGCGCCTTACAGTAGGCCAAAATAAAACAGAATAAAAATTGTTCAATAAAAACTAATGACAAGCAGTAAAAACAAGTAAAACAACCAAAAACAAACAAAACAATGAAAACAAGCATAAAAAATGGCCTAAAGCTAAAAGCCAAGTCTTAGAAACGAGTCTTCAGTCTAGACTTGAAGACTGAGACTGATGAAGACTGCCGTATGGAGACGGGACGGGCATTCCACAGGAAAGGTGCTACATACACAAAAGCCCCCCCCCCCCCCCCCCCCCCCCCGATAAGTGGTCAGCTGACCTCAGAGAGTGCACCGGCACATAGGGCATGAGCAGCTGTGACATGTAGGAGACTATTTAATGACATATAGACGAAGAGTAAAGTCTTGAACGGCACCCTGAAGGTCATGGGCAGCCAGTGTAGATGTGCCACCACCGGAGCGATGTGACTCCTCCTGTTTGTGTTTGTCGGAAATCTAGCAGCATCTGCAGCCGGTTTAAAGCCGACACCGGAGCACCAATGAACAGTGAATTTGCTTCGTTTAAATGAGAGGTAATAAAAACATGCATCATCACGGACTCCAAATGTTAACGTCTTTTCGTCTTTCTCTTCTGCACTCGAAGAGTACAGACGCTTCCCTCTTTTGCTCCCTTATCTTTTTTCCCAAGGCTCTTTGTCCTGTCTGCCCACAGAGCGCTTCTCTGCATTTCTTCTGAAAAACTCTATTTTTACTAACCATGGATTTGATAAACTGGTCATTCAATGCGATCGATAAGATTTGTTCAACAATGAGAATGGAGCAGGGGGCTCCCACATGTCCACAGGGGACACACCCGGTGGGGTATATTTTGGATTCCTGGAAGGAGTGGAAGATCATATGCCTCTCCCAGCTGTCCACTGAGGACATCAAAGACGTGTGGATATTTGGTCTAATGATCACTGGATTTCTCCTGATTGGAGTGGAAGGATTTCTGGTCTTCTGGAAATTTGGGAAGACGGGAGCGATTGGAGGGCGACCCACACCCACGGAAAGCATCGTCCGTGTGGAGACTTCTCAGACTGGGACGTTACTCGAGGTGAATCATAAGCTGGACAATGTTCTAGCTGCGATACCGGTATTAGTGCACAAAATGGATATCATCTCGGAGAGGGTCACCGGACGTATGGACAAGCTTAAAACCCCAAATTGGCTTCACTGAAGGACTGGAATTATCATCTTAAAGACTGACGGCAGAGAGGAAAATTATCTCAGCCTGACCCAAACAAATTCTTGTTATCTGAATCTGACGCCCTGGTAGCATTGAGCTGCAAGCAACTAAAAACCCCCTCGAAGGAATGCAGACAGATGCTGTATAAACCAGACCCCCCCCCACCCCCCCACCCACACACACACACACCCCACCCCCGCCTTCAGATTGGTGGACTTCAGCCTGGCGAGGTCATCAGCTGTAGGAGTCAATGTGCTCTTTGCTTCTCCCAAGATCTCCCTCCCACCTGTACAGTAGATAAGCGCCTTAGATGGCTGCTCTTGCTGGGGGAAACAGGATCCCACCCCCCGCCCCCGCCTTCCTACTGGAGTCTCATGTTGTGAACTGTTGATGTTCGTGCTTATATGTTTGAGGTGTTTTTTTGCATAGCAAAGCCACGCCCTGTCGGGAGTAACTCTGGAATGCCTTTTTTCCCTCCCCCAATTTATCCTCATGTAATCCCCTTTTCATCTAAATGAAATGAGTGCCGTTCCTGGCTGCTCTCGTGGTCTGCCTGTATCTGTTTTGTCTACATGTGTGTGTGTGTAACCTTGGTCAGGCTGTGCTGCAGAGTCAAATTCCTATGCTTCGGGTCGCTGGAGCACTGGCAATAAAGCTTTTCTGATTCTGATTCCCGAGGTCCTTTGGATGTCTTTTAGCAAACGTGTCTTGCGCAGCGGAGAGGCTCCTGACGAGCCACTCTGCCATAAAGCCTTGACTGGTGGAGGGCTGCAGTGATGGTAGACTTTCTACAACCTTCTCCATCTCCTGTCTGCATCTCTGGATCTCAGCCACAGTGATCTTTAGGTTCTGCGTCACCTCTTCTCCCCCAGTAGCTCGGTTTGGCTGGACGGCCTGCTCTAGGGAGGGTTCTGGTCATCCCAAAAGTCTTCGTTTAAGGATTAAGGAGGTCACTGTGCTCTTAGCGCCTTTAAGTGCAGCAGAGATGTTTTTGGAACCATGGGCAGATCTGTGCCTTGCCACAATTCTGTCTCTGAGCTCTTCAGGCAGTTCCTCTGACTTCACGATTCTCATTGGCTCTGACACGCATTGTGAGCTGTGAGGTCTTTTAGAGACAGGTGTGTGGAGTTCCTAATCAGGTCCAATCAGTAGAATCAAACACAGCTGGACTCCAATGAAGGTGTAGGACCATCTCAAGGATGATCAGAAGAAATGGAAGCAGTTAAATATACGAGTGTCACAGCAAAGGGTCTGAATACGTAGGACCATGTGATATTTCAGCTTGTCTTTTTTAATAAATCTGCCAATATGGGGTGCTGTGTGTACATTAATGAGGAAACAATTAATTTAATTTATTTCAGCAAACGGCTGCATTATAACAAAGAGTCAAATATTAACAGGAGTACCTTTGAATTGAATTGAATACTTTCCATACCGACTGTATGTACTCAGTAGTATCTCAGGTAAACGTGCAGCGCTTTATTCCACAGGTTTGAATGTTTTAGAGTGAAACTACAATAGTAATTAAAATTTTGACCTAAAAAAAATGACTTTTAAACAAACATTTTGTATTATTTTATGTAGCCGGTTTAAATTTGTTGTTCACGTACCAAAAAGAGAATTTTGACCAAGCTGCCGTCCACTTCCTCCACTTTGCTCTTCCACCAAGTCCCCTCCCACTCGGTCTTGATGATCTGGCCGACCTTTAGGAGCACCATCGGCCTGCTGGGGTAGGCAGAAATGTACTCCTCGATGAAGTCTCGACACGACGCGTCCTCTATGTCTTCCCAAGTACGCTTCACTATAAAACAATATCAGTTATCTTGATTAATATTTTCTCTACACGTTGCTGCACCTTTGGAAACCATGAAAAAAGAAAGAAAGGAGAAAAATGGGCTCCTACGCGGTTTGCACACTGGGTAGACTTCAGGCAGGATCACATATGAAGCATAGCCGTCGTCGAAGAAAATCAAATACCTGAAACGGCAAAGCGGGTCATTAATGAGCTCAGGCCTTCAGAAAGCTGCCAAACCTGCAGGCTTTCATTGACTTACCTCATGCGGTTTTTGTTGTTGGGCATCTCTGCCACGATTCCCGCGTAGAGCCACGTCAGGCTTCCGTCTTTGTACCTGGCGACGACACGAGCCCCGACAAACAGGTCCTCCATAGCCGGGTTGTCGTCAAAAGCCACGTGATTCCCGGACAGCAAACTCTTGCCTTTATCAAACCTCACTTTGTATTTATAAACACCGTTTCCTGAACGTTAAAGGAGAAAATGTGTGATTTAAAAGAAAAAACACTGATTCCTTAGTGTCATCTTTAAAAAAAGCATTTGTAAAACACACGAAGACGACGACGAACCAATAGGGTTGATAGCCACGAGGGTTCCTTTGTGCCATGTCTTGGTGCGTTTCTTTCCCAGGATGTTCATCCCGATCCGGAGATCAAATTTTTTCAAGCTCGAGCTCGGCGGGGTCGTCCCTTGAGACGAAGCTTGCGATACAAATATTGTCGGTGCTGAAACCTGGATGACTGAAATTCCCACCAAAGAGCATCAATAACGCTTCACACGAGTCCGATTAATAAACAGACTCTTATATTTGCTCACGTGACTGAGGAGCTCCTGGTGAAGGTTTGCCCACCATTTGGGTCAACTTCTGCACCTGCTGGGAGGTTTTCTGGAGAACTGCAGAAGCTTCTTTTAACTGGTGATAAAAACAGGCGACAGAAGAGGTTGTTGAGGAGAATTACAAGTTTTACATCAAATACAGGCCTTTTTTTCTTTATGTAACCTAAAAAAATAACTATGTTTTGGCTGAATTTAAAGAAATGATTTCCCATTTAATATTTTTCACCGAGGATTGTGGTTCACTTGTTGAATCAATACATTTGCAGTGGTCTCTAGTAGAAATTAATGCCTTTAAGTTGTACTCTGGAGAAAAAAAAGCTCTGATGCACCTGTTCCAGGAAGTACGAGTCATCTGGAGTTGCTTCAGACGACAGGATTGGAAGTCTTATTTCCTGATATTCAGACATCTCTCCTCTGATTGGATAACAGCAACACAGCTCTACCGCTGACTCTGCCCTGCATAGTTGATGTTTTATCTCCACAAATAACACAAGCCTGGAGGAGTCCTGCTGTGTGGTGGAGTATCTAACGCTAACAGTTAGCTTCTACTAGCCGAGACGTTCTCTGCTGTTACCTGGACGCTAAACCAACAACAGCCTTCCCCGTTGTGAGCCAAGATGGGTGAGTCCATGAATGTTCAGTGACAGTGTGACGTAGATCTGTCAGGATTTTCTATTTTCTATCAGAGACTAAAGCAGGAGATAAGTGTAGGAGACTGTTTTCATGTTCGGACGGCATGAAGAACTCTGAGTGACCCATTATAACCTAGAGGATAAAGTATACTTTATCCTTTACATTTGATGTCCCATGGGCTGTCGGAGCACCTGATGTCCTCTGGACGATGCCAGCGTGCTCTTCTATGACCCATTATAATCATTAACTCATTCACTGCCATTGAGGACTAAAGTCGTCATTTGCATTTTGTTACTGTGTGGGTGTCGGACGAGCCCCCGCACGGTGAGAACAAACAGCCGATCTTCATCCGCGTACGTCACAGGTCACGTGATCAGGAAGCAGAACGTCATGTGTTAGGAGATCGTTTTGGGCCGTTGCTGTAAAAAAAAGTGAGGCGCGAACCGGAAAAGCTTCTGCCGATCACACTTCAACAACGGATTATGAAAGAAGGGATAACGCTCGAAACGCGCGGATTCTTCCTGATGTAAAAGGTGAGTCTCCATTTTGTTTTGGTTGTTTCGGCGTCGACATCATCCTAGCGTGCAACGTTCTGTCACTCTTAAAAAAAAACAGTAAAAACGGTGAGAAACGCTGGCAGCGAATGAGTTAAACAATATTTCTCAGTTCTCCACACCTTTAAAGCTGCCTGTTATGTGTCAACAGCACTTTTTGTCCCTGATGCTCATTAACAAAAACAACACTGTAGTAATTACATAGTAATTAGATATGAATATATTTTCAGAAACACTGTTTTTGTTGCTCTCACCACTGAGTCTTTGCCTGGAGATTTCGTTGGAGGAACCACTGATGGTGCAGAACAGAAGAAAAAGAGATGAACAACAGTCTCAGTGTTTTCATATCTTTTTACAAAACAGCACAACTTACAACATCCAACTGCAATGACATCGTCATCGTCATCATCATCTATCTCAATGACTTCAGAGCACAGTCCATCTCCACCCCCTTCATCCTCAGAGCTGCTCTCTCGGTAGACAAGACCGTTCAGCTGATAAGCCTCCTTTACCAGTTTCTCACACCTCTTTAAAGATCTAAAAAAAGGAGACAAGAAGATGAGCTCGTTATAGATAAGCACTAATAAAACAGACAACCATTCCACCTCACTGGTTTGTGTCTTTGAGAAGCATCTCCGTCTTTGCCTCCTCTTCCTCTTTCTGTTCCACCCACTGCTTCAGTTCTTTCAACTGAGCTTTTTTCTTCTGCACCATCTCACTCTGTTCCACAGCTTCTTCAACCAGCTTCTTCAGATCATCCAAGGAAACACCCAAATCGTCCTCCAGACTCGAGTCCCAGCCGTCCACCTCCATTCTGAGGAGGGAATGCAGAGAAACACATTTAAACAGCGCTACATTTTTAAAAACAAACTCAACCGTCTGCTTTACAACCATCAGCTTAAACTCCCACAGATGGCCAGAATGAAGCATGATAACATTTATTTACAGCTTGGTAGTGATTAATTAAGTTTAACGAAAAGAGTTATATTCTTTATATATATATATATATATATATATATATATATATATATATATTAGCATTTTTGTGATTTTGATCAAGTTTTAAACCTCACTCTGTGTGAAAGACATTAATAATACCTAATAGTCACACTCCCTAAATAACAACGCATTACTGTTATAGACGTGTCTAGCATACGGGTCATCATCCTTTATGGTAAAAACAGGATAAAATACACTCAAGTTAATCTGATTTTTTAAAGATGCAGTGAATCCATAAAAGAAATTCCAGATGCATACCAGTTTATCTGAATAATACACATGTATAAGATAGTAGATCACTAGGGACATCAGGAGTAAACACAACTTTCCCACTTAGTTGTTGCAAAAAAGATGAACTTATGAGCTGAACTTGAGTAAATAATAAAAATGTTGCTCATTTGTTGTCGGAGAGTGATGTAAAGCCCTAATGTCTTCGTTTTACACGTTAGATTTGTGCAGCAACAACAAACCCTTGTTGAGACGCATGCTAACCGGTTAGCTTAGCATGGGAAAAGAACAATTCTGATTTGAATGAGAGGTGCAGGCTGCTGAAACAAATATGTTCATTGCACAATAGAGAATTGCATCAAAAACATTCGTAACCTATGAAACATGTTCTAATTAACGGGAAAGCCACCCACCGCTCGCTGATCTCCATCATCTCGGACGCAGATGTAAAACTAGCTTATTCCGCTAATGCTAAAGGGTAAGCTACAAAAGATGTTTCGATTCCCGGGGTGTCCGAAAAGGGCGGTGTAGTAGATCGCAGCATTGGAAAAAAAAGTCCCGCCCACGCAGGATGTTATTGTGACTTAATAATTGAACCGAGCCAAACAATGACGAGTTCGTTTGGTTTTCAGATTTTTTTTAATGTTTAGGAATGTGAATAGTTTTACGTGGGGCAGTTTAAAAGTTATACAAGTATAACATATTGCAAATTGTTTGATTTACTTTTTCATTTTACCGAATAAACAAGTTTATCAAATTAAATCAGCTATTGTGGTCAAACATTTACTCTTTTGTTCTGTAACTAATTGCATTTCTTTTTATTTTCTTTGAATATTTTATGCATTAATTGTGAAATCCTAATACAGTAGTTTTCATTCTGTTTGAAACAAAATATGGACCTTTTTTATAAATCAGTGTCTATCTACGTCTGTGTGAGTTAATTAGCTGTAGTTGGGTATTTATTTGAACTAATAACTAATAGTATTATATCTGGCATGTTTTATTACAAACCACACATTTGTTCTGGTAAAATTTAGTACCTAAATATCTTAATTTTATATTATCTGGCCTTTTTAAGGTTTCATTTATTTAATTTAAAACAAGGGAGCTATATTTATTTGCCAGCAGAGGGCGCAAAGTTCCCGTTCTTGCAAGGAACCAAAAAGAACTTCAGAGGAAGTGTTTCAATTAAGGAACTCTTTCAACTTTAGAAATCCAGTTCCTTATTCTCCTTCTACTCCTCAGTCTCTTCTTCAATACTACAATTTCCAAGAGAACAAAAAAAAAAAGGATTAAGTTTTTTTAAGGCTCCATCAAACCAAGGAGGCTAAAATATTCTCTTCTAAAAGGCAAAGAACACAAGCGCAGTTACAGCTTTCATACACTGGAGGGCAGCAACTCCCCATCTTCACGTACATCCATTTTCTGAACCCGCTTGTCCGCGCGCGCGCGTGTGTGTGTGTGTGTGTGGGGGGGGGGGTGCTGTCTCCAGCGGTCAATGGGCAATCGGGGGGTGCACCCTGGACAGAGAGCCAGTCCATCGCAGGGCAACCGAGGGCAACACAGAGACACACAGGACAAGCAATCTTGCACACACACGCGCACTCACCCTGTGCAGCCCCTCCCCATCTTTCCTTCTATTCTAAATGCTGTTGGACAAAAGTGTTCTATTTTTTGCCAGGAGAGGGCGCCAATTCCCAGTTCTTTCAAGGCAACAGAACACGGTTTTTGGAATCTTTGAAGTAAATATTTCTAAGGAACTTTTTTGACTTTATAAATTCAGTTCCTTCTACTCCGTCTACCCCCCCCCCCCCTTAATATTAATATTCCCAAGAGGAGAGAAAAAAGATTAAGATTTTTTAAATGCCCCGTTAAGATAAGGAGGCCAAAACATTATCTTCTAAAAGGCTAAAAAGAATACAAGTGCAGTAACAGCTTTCAGACACTGGAGGGCAGCAACTCACCATATTCCCTTCATTATGTATGAAAACAGTGTTGTTCTATATTTAGCCAAAGGAAGACGCAAATTCCCAGTTTTTTAGAGGCAACAATACACGTTTGGAAGTATTTAGCGGAGTTTCTATTGAAAAGGACCAAACAGTAAAAGTGCAAAAATAAATCTCAAACTTTAGGGGTGCTGGGATTTGATTTTAGGAGTGCTTCAGCATCCCCAAAAGCAGTCTAGAAAGGCCTATGCTTCGCAGGCTCTCACATCACAACTCCAAATGTCCAAAATTATGAGCTGATTTTCGCTGCAAGATGGATTCTCGCGAGATTTGGAGTTTTCCAAACTCAGAAGAATCCTGAAATGCGTAGACTCGACACGGATTTTGGCCCCCATACCGCACCATAGAACATAGAGATCAGGCTGTTGCTGTGTTACACATGAGCGAGAAGGGGGAATATACGCCCTCCTGTGGACAAAAGCCAGAATTGTCAAACCATTTGGAGGATATGTTACCCTCTTCATCTCTAAACTGGAAAAAAAAATCCTAATTTGTTTTGTCCTCCAGTACGGCTTACCAAGACGCAAACATTTCCTGGATTGTTTTGGTCAACAAGGTGGAAGCACGATAACCCAGTCCTTCATTATTATTCACGAGAGGACAAAAAATATTTAGATTTTTTTTCCAGCTTCACTGAGACTGCAGAAAGAGGATAAGGACGGTAAAACGTCCTCTAAATGGTAACAGAACCAGTTTAGTTTAAGCTTTTAGCACATGAGGGCGGCAGTTCCCGCCTGTCGCTCATATAAGGTCAATTTAAAACTCAACCTGTGGCGCTGTAGCTTCTGTGTACAGTAGCGACGCGATGTGTAGCTCAAACGGATGAGCACTTTGTGACGTGAGCGCTGTGCATGTCTCACATCCACACTGGAGGCTTTAGCGGTGCGTATATATATGGAAGGCCAAAGGTGACAAAACTTCACCCATACAAAACATGCGTTCTGTCCAGAGACTAGAAAGAGACTGATTTGACTGATAACTTCACCTACTAAACCTAAAATTGTTTTTGTGCCAAGCTGTAAACATGTTTATTTCTATTGTGAATTTAGCATTTCTAACAATGAGTTTGCTCTGTTTCGTACCCAACCCCAGTGGATGAGGGGAAATCGGCAGGTTTTTGTCACTTCCTGGAGTTTCAGGAAGGATAGTCAGAGGTTCTTCCTTGGTTCAGTCCACAAGGACACGTGTAATGGCCAACAAGATGCACGTCATGACCACAAGACAGTGTCTCAGGCAGTCATTGTGTTTGTAGGTCTAATGAAGAAAGCATCTTACCTTTTACTGCTTTACCATGTCCTGACCGTGGTTCGATTCCTTGTCCCAGAAGTGATTTATTTGATTTCAGCTACAATTCTTGACATTATTACGTTTTTAACCCTCAACTCATTCACTGCCATTGACGACTAAAGTCGTGATTTTAGATCCAACCGTGCACTGCCAATGACGACTAAAGACGTCATTTGCATGTTTTTACTGAGTGGGCGTTGGATCGAGCCCCGCCCCGAGAGAACAAACATCTCAGCTCTGAAGCCGATCTTCATCCGCATACGTCACGTGATCAGGAAGCAGAAAAACCATGTGTTAGATCGTTTTGGGCCGCTGCTGTAAAAAAAGTGAGGCGCAAACCAGAAAAGCTTCTGCCGATCACAATTCAACAACGGATTATGAAAGAACGGATAACGCTCGAAATGCACGTATTCTTCCGATGTAAGTCTACTCTTTGTTTTGGTAGTTTGGGCGTCGACATCATCCTAGCGTGCAACATTCTGACTCTTAAAAAAATACACAGTAAAAATGGTGAGAAACGCCGGCAGCGAAGGCCTTTAGCGGCCAGGAAACGGCTGGCAGCGAATGAGTTAACGGTGAAACTTAAAAATATCATGGCACATTTTTATTTGTTTTACTTTATTTTGTAAGCTGAAGCAGCTTTTATTTTTGTTATGTATTTTAGTTTTACTGATTAATTTCTGCAAAAACAGTCTCTCTCTAAAGATCTTTGAATTTGGTCATTTCCAAGAAGCATTTAGTTGAAATGCTCTGGGTGTGACACACATCCCAATGACTTGCTTAACTCGTCGGCCATTATGCCCCATTCTTGTGGACAAGACACATATTTTACTGGAGAGCTTTTGTTCTCCCATAAGAGGATTAGGTTCTATTGTTGCCACTGGCTGCTTCTGGGATGCATTCATTTCTGCAGTTAACATTGCAAAACGTTGAGTAATTTTTTTTTAAAAAAAAGACCCTTGCAGAGATGTGATGTCATCTATGTAGATTACATCAATACATGTGATCTAACGGCTTATTTACTCCCAGCATCTTTCGAGAAGTACAATGTTTCTCTTGGTTGAATCCTTTCCATGGAGAGGCATAAACGTGATCTTTTCTTCTTCTGGCTTTAATGGACGGCATAAACAAACCTCAAACACTGAAGTCTCGAGGGAACTTTCGATCTGGCGAGTCCAGCGGAGAAGCTCTCTGCACCCGAGATGCTGTCCTGGTGTGACTGACACATTTGCGAGTAATGGGTCTTTTGGGTATGTAGAAAATGTTTCAGAGCTTCGAGTTCAGCTCTAGAAAAATGGGAGCGAAAATAGATGTTGCTTTCATAGTTTTGGTTAGTGTAGACACAAGTTTGTGAAGTTTGATCTTCTGTCAGCATTATCCAACTGGAGGGGACCAACATAAATATTTCTGCAGCATTGAGTGAAGAAGAAAATATCATGTCTATAGCACCTCTCAAGATAAAAATTACGAGTTGCTTCACAAAAACAAAAATTGTAAAAATATAAAAAAGCATTTAGAAAATGTTTAAAAATATATTAAAATGAGCACTAAGACAATTGTGATTAAAAAAATGTAGAGAGTGAACAGGAAAGAGGGAAATCAGTGGATCCTGAGGAAGGTGGAATAGGTGGGGAGAGCAGAATAAAGAGAGAGGTGAAGAAGGTCATACAAAAGCCAGCCTGAACAAGTGAGTCTTCAGCTGCTTTTTAAAGGAGACCACTGAGTCCACTGATCTCAGGCTCAGGGGGAGAGAGGTCCAGAGTCTGGGGGCCACAGCAGCAATGTGGGTGAACGTAGGTCTGAATGAGACAAGAAACAGACCCAAACAATCATGTAAATTCAGTTTTTATTGAATTTTTTGAAAACATACTGGACAAACAAAGGACTGCTTGTATAAACTAGATGTGGCTTTAAGGTTTAAATCATTTAAGAAATCACATTTTTTTTTACCAGAAGGGGAAAAAAAAGAAAATTAAATGACACAGACACTGAAATAAAAGATTTTCAGAAAGTGAGGAGAAACATTTCAAAAGTGTTATTTCTGACACGATCTGCAGCGCCATCTAGAGGAACCGTAAGTATCACATGAAAGCATAGTCTCCAGCCTAACAGTTGGTCGTATGGTCCTTAAAGAATAACGTTAAGATGAAATGGGGAGATGACAGATATGCTGTTTTAGCACACAGGGAGCGTTGCAACATCCGACTGTAGAGAACAGTGAAACCAGGTCGATTTATGACCACAAAGCCTAAAAATGTCATGTTGTGTTCAGCTCGCCGTTACCTATACAAGGTGGATGAATAAACTGCTAAATGTATTATTTACCTTAATCATTGTAAATAGAATGGGTAAATTTGGTTTCGTTCTGCTCACGTGTTTATTTGGTCGTGTAAAAGAGGTGAAATGTTGCACAAAAAGAACTGGATTCAAAACATCTCACACCCAAAATTTACTTAGAAGAAAGTAGAGCTGGCTAAAGTACAAGAGAGCGACACGAATGAAGAGAGAGACATCAGGGAAAGAGGGGCAAGCCAAATTTCTGTTGTTTTGACATGTAGAAACATTAAGGCTTGCTGGTTAGAACGAGACATATTCCCATCAAACATGAATGTTTGTTTTTGCTTCTTCTCCATCTTTGACTAAATCAGAGCCAAACTGCTGGGACTAAAAGTTCTCATCTTTTTATAGCTGCTCAAAAATACTCGTGAGAAAAGTTACACCAAGAGAAATAAGGAACAACTGAAAATCTTTGCGTAGCTCGTGACTTTGCAGCTTAAACACCGGGTGACTTTGCAGCTGAGAATCGGCGAAGCTACACAGAATCAGAACAGCTGACGTTCAGATTAGTCGCACAACAACAGTGCCGGGGGGACAGCGGTCTGATCACGATGCAAGAACACGAGGAGTCTCCACACACCTTTCTAGTGATGGTGACAAAACCAAAGTGGATGTTACAGCTACTGTGTATCTACATTGGATCATCAAACAACAACGCCCATCACACCATCTCCTTTTAGTTTCCAACTCTTCTCAATCAGAATTTTCCAGTAGCTCCGTGCTGCAGATCCTCTCTAAATGTACTTAAAACAGGTCGACTCCATTTAAATACAAACCTTTGAAGCGTGGCTCCCTGTTCCCACCCAAAAAAACAACATCCATGTCTCACAAAGTATAAAAAAAAAATTCTCGACCCACCCCGGCCCCGTTATTACACACATTTCTCAAATTTCATACACATCCCAACCCACCCAGCTACACGACTACCGCCCCAAACCGAGCCCGGTGTTACATTTAAAATAAACACACGCCATTCCTCTCCTCCTCCCTGCCACACTGGTGCTAAATGCTCAACACGTCACGTAGATCTGCTTTAATTAACCGGACATCACCAAAGCCGTTCGCCAAACGATTAACAGTCCGAGATCTACCTGAAATGCTGCTCAGCCAAAATCACTCCGAGGGCTATTTGGAAACAGGCAGTACATGCTACACTCCCTCCCTCCCCCCTCCCTCCCCTTTCCCTCTCATCGTCCCCCCTCTACCAGAAGTCCCGGCGGTGATAAGCATCTGGATCGCAGTATTTCGTTACCACCACCCTGTTGGCAAACTTCCTTCCAGTCAGCCCCTGCATGGCCTTCTGGGCATCAAAAACTGAAGTGAACTCCACAAAAATCTGTGAAGCGAGGGAAAACAAGAGGCACGGTTATGATTTGCTGATCCATCAAAGCGCTTTACATCAGAATCTGAAGGTTGCCTACCTTGCCCGTCCCAGGTATGTCCAGGCCGTCCACCGGACGAGGGATCTCGATGCTTTTCACTTGGCCGTACTTGCTGCACTCCTCCCTGACGTCTTCCACAATCTCCTCATATTCTTCATCGTCCAGGAGCTCCTCGGGGGCCACCATGTTCATCAGGCACAGCACCTCAGTGGGCAGGCCACCCATCTGAGTGACGGAGCTGTTCAAACCCGGCACCTGCAGCGTCACCGGGGTCTGGTTTATAGTTGTCTGGAGAAAAAACAACAACAAAGACTTTCACGTTCAGGCTTCTGCATACCGCCATAGATCCACCCTAAACACAAGCGCACAGCTTCATATTCAGTACACGACTTGGCTGAAAAGACGTATATTTGTCCTGGTTAGAACTGAACAGACGAGGAGCTGCAGCAGATCTATTCAGCAATCTGTCTCGGTCCGTTTTAGAACCGACATCCAGCCTCCCACCGTTCTGCTGTCATTCACCCAGCAGCTGGAGCCTCACCAGAGTGGCGTTCTTGGATCCCACGCTAGCCCTCTGCACCAGGAGCTTCTTGTCTCCGAGCTGCATGCCGTTCAGTCCAGCGATAGCCTGTGCAGACAGCCAAAGCTCAGTGACCCGTTTCCAGAAAGGTTCCACCACAGACGTACCTGCTGGGACCCGTTACCTGATCGTTCAGGTTGACATCAACGTATTCACAGAAGGCATATCCTTTAGATAGGCCTGTGGCACTGTCTTTTACCAGGTTAAAGGCCTTCAGAGGGCCAAACGACGTCAACAACTCCTTCACCTGAAACACGAGAGTTCACGCGAGTTTAGATGGAAACTAAAACAAACAAGATTAATGTCAACTTTTTATTTCATTCGGTTCATTTCAACACCAAAATGTCACCAATAAGAAAACACACATGAATGCTAAGCACCAGGATGGCACTTAGACTGCAACACCGACCTGGTCATCGTTCAGATAATTGGGCAATCCACCAATAAAGAGCTTGTGAGCCGAGTCTGGGACCACTGTGGACACCACTCCTGCAAAATGTGCAAGGACAAGAACGAGTCTGAGGAACCCGAGTAGAGGCTCACGTGGATATTGAGTGATCAAATGTTTATGTATACTTGTAGCAAAATGTAAGGATAAAAACCATTAATTGTCTGTGTACCAGGCACATAGACACTGGGGTTCTCGCTCATGCCGGGCAGTGGCTGGTAGTCGTGCGGACGACGGATTTTAAGGCTTTGGCCTTGAAAGATGATGCCATCAAAGGCCATTGCCTGTGTCGTTTCATCCACTGAACGAAACTGAACAGAAACATTTAAAAACACACAAACAAGATCCAACGAGAGTTCAGGAATACTTCAGAGCAGGAGTAGGGAACCCTGGTCCTGGAGAGCCGCCAGCCAACACGTTTTAGGTTTCCCTGCTCCGACACAGAGGATTCACCTGTTTAGCAGCTCATCAGCCTCTACAGAAGCCTGTTAATAGCCTGCTGTTTAAAATCAGATGTGTTGAAGCAGGGAAACCTCTAAAACGTGTTGGATCGGGACCAGGGTTCCCTAACCCTGCTCCTGCGGATCATTAATGACCATCACGGGGTGTTTCTCACCTCAAGGAAGGCAAAGTTCTTGTCCTGGTTGATCTGTACAGCGAGGACAGGATTTCCAGGGGCCTGAGTAAGACCACCTAAACGCATCTGAGCGTTAAAGAAGTCCATCATGGACTCCTACACACACACGCACACACACACACGCACGCACGCACACACACACACGCACACACAAAGAGTAAAGGTCATTAAAACGATATTATCCAAACCGAAATATGCTTTTCTGTTTCTCACCTCTGTGATACCAAAGGGGATGTTGCCAACATAAAGACGGCGGGCCTGCCGGGTCATCTGGCTGCCCACCACAGGTACGGGGGTGGGGGTTACAGCCAGGCCGTCTGGGGTCATGGTCGGCAGGAGGGCGGTGGCTGGAATTTGTCCTGCCGCTGAAAAACACGAAACACAAAGTTATAATCTTCCATTTTACCACACTACCATCATATCTACATCACATAGAGGTTTCAGTACCGCGATGGATAACATCCCAACTATAAATGTATCAAACTTGTTACCCTGCATGGCTTTGTACTGCATGGGAGTGATGTGTTCAAATCCAGGCGGAGGGACATCCCAGTACTTCTTTATCTTCTTCTTCTTCTCACGCTGAGGAGAACGGCTGTTTGACAAAAAGAAAAAAGTGAAATAAATTTAACTCACGTTTTGATTAAATACAGGGTGATTTGCTGAAATATATCAAGAAATAATGATTTTTAAGACCAAATTCACTCATTTAAGCAACACATTTGCTGTGGTCTCTGGTATAAACGAGTTAATCTCTGAGGAAAAAAGCTCTGAAGCTCCAGTTTCAGAAACTCAAAGTGAGCCAGAGCAGAGTTGAGTTTCAGACGGAGGATTTGGACTCTTAGTTCCTGATATTTGAACATATCACCTCTGATTGGATAACAGCAATGTGACTCTACAACTGACTGTTAGCTCTGGAACGTTGATGTTTTATCTCCAAACATAAAACCAGCCTGGAGGAGTTCTGCTGTGTGGTGGAGTTGCAAATGCTAATGGCTAGCTTCTACTAGTTGAGATGTTTTCTGCGGTTTTCTAGACACTAAAACAACAACAGCCTTCCCCGTCGCGAGCCAAGATGGGTGAGTCCACGAACGTTAACTTGACTATGGCCGTGTTCGAGATGAGCCAGTTCTGCGCAGAGTCGATCACCAGTGATCGGCGAGCAGTGCATGCCGGTTAGATTTGTGTCAGACTTGACGCCAACTTGCTCTGACGTCATGCATACGTAGGCATCGATAACCTCGTGAGATCAAGGCGGCCGCAAATTTTAGAGCAAGGCGCTGCAGTTGCTCTCCCTCGGCTGCAAAACCTAGGGGATGAAGGGAAACGCCTGGCTCTCACCTGATCTAAGACCTGATTGGTTCACATTCTGATCCAAACATCCGGAGGTAGAACATGAAATGTTAGTTGGTCACATGTATTCTTTAAGTCATGTTACGTTGATGATGACAACTATATAGGTCATAAAGAGAAATGTGATTTGTGTTCTTTTGTCACGTTTCCTATGAGCACACTGAAGCTACAGCTGCTAACCTTTACTTATTATTACAGTCATGTCTCCATATAGAATATATGACATCCACAAGCGCGTGAGGATGTGTTTCGGCTGCTAACAGGCACCAGAATTAAAATAAATAATTAAACAAGTATGAACTCTAACGCGATATCTTCAGCCATCGTCACCCGCGAGCTACACATGCAGGGAAATCTGTCGGAGTTAAACGCCGGCTTTCAGCCGCTCCCCCTGCTGCGTCCGTCTGCTCTCGTCTGTTTTCCAGGCGAGGCGCAGCTCAACTCGAACACGGCCATAGTAACGTAGATCTGATCATTTTCGATCAGCTGCTAATGAAGGAATAGGGTACAAGACTATTCTCACATTTAGTCTGCACGATAAACTCAGAGTGACTGATCATATTTCAACAATAAGTCAAATAATTGATTTCAAATTTAATTCAAATGGTAAAATGAAACATGTATTAGGCCTCATTTGTTAAACTGCAGCGTCACAAACCAGTTTGCTGTATTACCTTCCAGCGTTGTCTTGAGGGTAGCTGGATGGTGAGCTGAAACGACATGAGAAGTTATTCACATTTCTCCTCAAGCATAAAAATTAACTTTTTTTTTCACGAAACTTGGACATAAATTATGATTAACCTCACAAAATACCCTGTAAAATAAGAGTTTCAACAAAAAAATAAGTCCTTTTATATATTTATCTTATGAAGCACTAAGGAGTGAGTGTGACTTGTGTTGGGCGAGTGAGAGGACGGAGAGCGGAGAGCCAGCTATCGCTGTATCAACACTAAGATCAATGGTGCTCTGTCACAAGCTTTGTCTGCTACCGCTGTCACACTTCTCACTCAACTAACTGTTCATTTGCAAAGAAAAATACTAGTTAGATCCTCCAGTGACAGAGATGTTCAAAATGATCATTAAGATGGACATTAAATCAGCAGGTAGGTCTTCTGAAAATTGCACACAAAAAAAAAAAATCCTAAAATTGCAGTCTTCAGCGAATAGCTTCAGTGTTCAAAGGTCAGAGTTCAGTCCAAGTGAAACTATTTGTCACCAATGTCTTGCTGATAAACATGGACCAAACAGATGTAGAAAATTGTTCTTTGAATTTAAAATAAACTCTTCAAAAGTAATAATTTAGCATCCAAGAAAGAAAAAATTTGAATTATACATATTGGTTTCTTATTATTAAAACAAAAGACAAATAACTTAATCTGTAACCAAATTATTTATCAGTACCACGTTTAGCAGACCTCAGTTTCTGATCAGTTCTCTTAAAAGTCCAACTGTAAATAATTATTGAGAAACAAGCTGTGTGTTATCCGTCCACAGCCATAATAACTCAGTTCACATTAAATCTCCAAGATATGATCCTTAAACCTCTAATAAAGTCCCAGAGCTACATGGGTGTTAAAGGTGCATTGTGTAAGAATGACATCCAGTGGTCATATGTGGGTACTGCATCCCATTTTCTAAACACCAGTGACTTTCTGGTGACTTGGTGAGTTTCATGGCTGTTTCCAGCTACGGATCAGCACCAGAAGACTCTAGATGACGAGTGACGACGAATCACCCACAGTAAGTTGATAAGTAGATAAATACATTTCACAGTAACGTTGAGTTGTTGGTGTTTGAAAAGGTAGTTTGAGACTTTTTAGAGCAGACTTTTTGCTTCTAACTCACCGTTAGCATTGTTAGCTCAACATTAGCCTCTAGTCTTTACCCGATATTAGAGTAAAACAAAAATAAGTTGAGGCTTCTTATGTGTACAAGAAATAACTTCTGGGTCGCGCCGTTTACTGTCTTAGGTTCTTTACGAACTCTGCTGCATTTTGTCAACTGGTGTCAAATTACAAATGCTAGCACTGCAGCGCAGACTTAGTAACCACGTGGGCCCATGATTGTAAATAAAAACTATATCCATCTTTGATGATTTTAAAAGGAGAAAAACTGACAACCCCCCAGCGGGCTGAGAAGGAAATCTGTTTCAGTGTAACCTTTCTTCCAACATGATTCAGACAGATTAGACAGTTTTATGATTATTTCATTGTAAAATTCAGGTTACAGAAGCATTAAAAATTTCCAAACAACAAACAGAATGGTTGCTTTAGTAAAGCGACCATTGTTGTGGCACAAACTCACACCCGTGTGAGAAGTGTTCCAGAGCAACAGACAAGAATAACTTTACTAAACACAGGCTGAGTGCCAGGATTTTTATTATTATACACCAAAGAAAAAATGCTGAAAAACATGACAAAAGAAGTTTTTATCAGATATGTAAATTAGAAAAGTGTTTTTCATAGAAATTATTTAAAACTCATCAAATCACATATCCCAATTTTCAATTAATCTAAAATTAGCAGCTAGGGTTGTCACGGTAACCGGTATAGCGGTAAACCCCGGTAAAAATGTTGACAATAAAAATAACCGTCCAGTTTTTAAAAAAACTAAATTATCTCGGTGGGTTTACCGTGGCCGCGGTTTCGGCGTGGTGACCCTTACCAGCCACCGTCGCTTCAGCTGAAGTTCCCGCGGCGCGCACACGCACTTTTTAGTTTGCAACGGCACCAAAACTTTGAAGCTGAAATAATGGCCGAAGGAGGAGACGGCAGCGCCCAGGACATCCATCAGCCCTCAAAGAAGACTAAATCGGAAGTATGGGCATATTTTGGATTTCTGAAAATGCTGAGGGACAGTTAATAGAAGACTGCTATCCCGTTTGCAGGACGTGCAGGAAACAAGCATCTGCAAAAGGCAGCAACACTTCGAATCTAATGGCACATCTGCGTGACCATCACCCACGTCTCTACAGCCAGTGCAAGGTAAGTTAACATTAGCGTTTTAGCTTAAATGCATGACGTGAGGACTTTTGGTTGAGGGAGAATGCAACGAGTCACTATATACTGCAGCCGCAGCGTTCTCTGCCAGCATTTAAACCGTGTCACGGACACCCTGTTGCTGGATGAAGCATCTTATTTGTTGATGATGAAGAGAAATATACAATTAGTTCCTTGTTATTGATTTGTTTACTTATTCAATGCCATTTATACTTGAACATTTGGATTTGATTACATAGTGTAGTAGTTATTTTAGTAATTTGTTTAAAGTGGCTATTTATTTTAAATACATATTTTTTAAGGTTGACTTGTACAGTGCTCAAGTCAAGTGTGGACTGGAGTTTTAGATTTTCATTTTGATAATGAAGAAAACAAGTATATGAGAAAACAAGTGGTGTTTCTTTGATTTGTTTACATATTGTTTATGTTTTGAATGTTTGGATTTGTATAATTTAAACCTGCACTGACTACTGTAACATGTTCCAGAAAAAGAAGCTATTTGTTCCTTTACTTGTGAAAAGTTGCACTTTTGCTAAGGCTTTGTGTTATTTTAGGTTTAATAAACACTGTTAAACCTTTTCAAAACTATTTCAGTTTGTGTAGAACAGGACTATCAATGCTTTCTGAACATATGCAACACCGTTTAAAAAATACAGCGATAATACCGAAAACCGTGATAATTTTGGTCACAATAACCGTGAGGTTAAATTTTCATACCGTGACAACTCTATTAGCAGCTGTTGCTATGTGTTTTGGGGAAAATAGACAAAAATAACCGTTCAAAACCCTGTATTAAACAGTAACTAAGCGATTTTTCAAGTAACATCCAAATAATTAAGAGTTAAGAGCAGAGTGAAAATAAAATACAGAGAAAGCACTGCAGAAATACCACCTTGTTTGAGTTCTTGACCAGAATAATTAGAGACCTTTTCATCTTTAACTTAAAACACATTCATTTTCTGTGCCCCTGTGCATTTATTCAAGTGACAAACTAGTGTTATAATTGTTTTCTGTTGAGCAAAGAAAAAAAAATGTTTTTTTTTTGTATAAATTAGTGAATTAAAACAAACTCCAGACATGTGCTGTACTTTAGAGATATGTAGTCATATCACTTTAAATACCGACTTTTGCACAAGCACCAGTAGCTATTTATATGCTTCATCAACACGTCTCATATCTGACTGTAGTGGTCACTGTGTCAGTTTAAATTTCATGACAGGATAAAGGTTTTACAGTTTGTTGTCGCCATCATAAACTGCTACAAACCTGCGCCGGTGTCTCCGCTCCTTACTGTCTCCACGGCGGTCCCTGCTGCGTCTGTCCCTGTCTCTGCTCCTCCTTTTCCTCTCTCTGCTACGACTGCGGGACGAGGACCGACGGTGATGACGGTTCTCCTTGTCCCTTTCAGCTGCAGGGATAAAGATCTTGTAAACCAACAGAAGTGCCTGACATTTATAGAATGCCCAGATATGAAAATACGAAGTCAAAGCTTGTATCTCCTAAAGGCAGGAAAGTTATTTTGTTTTGGGTGGAAATTGGGATAATTACAATAATATACAGCAACAAAATGGAAACTTACAATTACTCAGTGAACAACTAAACCCTAAGAGCACCTGGTATTGTCATTGTTGTGTTACATCTAAAATAACAAGTGCGTGGGCAGGTTGGACATATTAGGGTACAAAAGGTGTTGGGAAATATCTTAAAATACACATTTCATCTTTGCATTATAATCAATTACTGCCAAAATAATTGTACAAAAATACCCTCTTGTGTTTTTATAATAAACTAAATATAATTAATTTGCTAATCATCGTGACAACTCTAAACTACTAAAATCATTCTAGAAATGTTACTAATTATGGCTCAAACAACATAATTAAAACACAATCGAAAATCTTACAATTAGTAAATATTACTTTTTATTATTAATAGTAGATGATAATGTCTACAATTTGATGTTATTACTAGCTAAATGTAAAAGTTACAACATTTAGCTCGTTGTCTGTACGACAACCAAGCGGCCCTGATTGCAAAGATCTTTTTAGGTCAAGTCGCTAAATTAGCGTTTGTTTAAGACGCAATTGACTTATTCTGAAATGAGATGTAATAACAAATCAGCAAACAGCACTTTAGTGTTCCCTGTCAACTACACCACTACCAAATGAATGTAAAGTACTCCTCGTAGGACGACGAGCACCATGTTTTAGTCAGGCCCAGCTTTACTTTTTAACTTTTACAATGAATTTATCAATTGTCAAACGTAGCTTGCCGCTTCCATAGACATTGACACTAGAGGGAAAAAATAAAAAATGTTAGTCTGAATTAGTTCGCACGTTAGATGTTTTAAGGCTACGTCCTAATAATGAGCCAACCCCTGTAAATAGACATACCCACGGACAGTAAATCCAATGGCGACTATTCAACTCCATTCGAGTGTTTTTCTTTATATTTTATATAAAAATGTTTTATTTACCTTGTTTATTTTCAGATAGCTGTCTTTCGAATTCGTCGTAGTCCGACATTACTGGGTTGAAGCCTGTTACGCTTTCAGGGGATGCGTTGTTCAGTCGGCGGAAGCTAGCTTAAGCTAGCAACAAGGTGAACAACACTTTAAAATACCAATACTATTCGCCTACACCGCTTTAGTTAGTTCGCCTCTGGTAACACCTTTGGTGACAGTAAAATATCAAAAGTTAAAAAGGGGTTTACAAATTAGCAGTGTGGTATATTTTACAACGTAAAAGAGAAAAATCTTAACAAAAACGTGCTCGTGCTAGCCTGCTAACATTAGCTAAGACCAGAAGAAAAGGCCCGTTACGAGTGCCGAATTAATGAGTTTCCCCCAAGCAAGATGCAAATCCAAGAGGACCACTAGCCCACGAGGAGCACTTGCATAACTCTATAAACCAAAAATATACGCTATCAAGAAATCTAAGAGTCCATGAATCAACAAAGATTTCGGTACGCCCGCTTCTTTTGCTCCCTTAAGCAAGTAGCCCCTGACACCGGAAGTTGATGCTTGCTAAATTTCCGTTTAAAGAATAAGAGCTTCAACCCTGTCCGTCAAATCGATCACCATAAGACACTTTATTCATTCTCTCCAGATTATTGCGTCCTGGCAAAAAACTTATCAGCTGTTGCAAACTGGTAAACTGAAAGTTTACAAGTACTTTTGATTTAGTGACCACACTATTGTTTAAATTTTTAAATAGACACTCAAAAAATCACATTCAGCACATATTAATGTGTATTTATCAAGTCATAATAAGGCAGACAACAGCTTATGTGTCACAAGACCACATGTATATGCTGAAAATAATGACCTTTAGAAAAACGCGTTTTAAGAAAACAAGAATTTTATTGTACTATTTTACGTACTTTGAATGAATCATTTGCATTCTCACCTCTGTGAGGGGTAGTGTTGAATTTTACTGATAAAACTCACATTTTTGTAGGAACATAATTGCTTTAGTGATATTTCACTGGTGTTATTCTTGGGAGTGAAAACAGTTTCAGACAGTGAAAACAGTTACTGTCAATCTAATTTAGTTAATTCTCAAAATGTAAAACATGTGTACGTTCAATGATTTTCACAAGAAAATGTTCGCTTTGTGGCAAAAGACAGTCATAGTTTACAAAAGGTTCTATTTAGACACCTAGTCACATAATCCAAAACTGTTTAGAAGGAAGGCTTCAGTGGAACAAGTTATGCAGTCAGAAAAGCAAATTGCATCAATCACAATGTTACCTAGAATGTCATCACATTCTGTTTAAATTGATTTAAAAATGAAAATAAATTTTATTTTCAGATGTGCCATGCTCTCAAAAGTGCATCTGTACCACAAAATACTGCAAGTGATTTGTTTTAATAGTTTTTTAAAATGAAATTAATGAAACGGTAAGGGGAATTTGAATGTTTCTCTTATTACAAGAACATACAAATTCTGATTAAGGCAAGAAAAAACTGCAATGAAGATTTAATCTATTAACAGGGATTTTTTTAAATAAACATTAAGTTCACAACAGAAAAAATAAAGTAAAAGCTTACAGGTGGATCTCAATACATCACAGAAACAATGTAATAGGAACATTAATATGTGAACTTTTAAAAGCTGTAAAAATCACAGTAGTGAGTGAACTGGCTTTAAACTGAGAAAAATGTTGATAAAAGGAATAATTAAAATTAAAATGTTTATGTTCACTCTACTAAATACACAGTTGAGCAATGTGGGTGAACCAGTTACTGGTAAAAGGAGTGTTTTCCACAATTATAGAAAAAAAAACTTTCCTAGTTAATCATCTGAAATGACACCAAAAAGATATTGCTCTCAATTGTAAGACCCTCCTTTCTCCTTCCAGACACAAGTGGTACCCAATGTTTTATTTAACATTTGTCAGACAAACAAGAAAGTGTTGATAGATTATGTCAGAAGTCAAATGTCACTCATAAAGTAAAGCATCTCAGTTGTACTTTAGTCATTTGAGAGCTGCCTTCAGCAGAACCGTTTTCTCTTAACTCAGTGCCTAAACCTGTAGGAGATGGGAAGCAGAAGGTTATTCTTCTTTAATGCCTGCACTCTGCTGAGTGTCTCTTCATCCAGAGCAATGTAGCAGCGCCTGGCGTAGTCCAGCAGTTTTTCCTTGGACGGGTCAAACTCCCCCACCTCGACCACTTTCTCTGGCGCCACTAGAAGCAGCTCAGCAATGGGTGTGGTAGAGGCCACGGTGTTGCGATCGACTCCGTGAATTTGAAAGGCTTTGGACATATTTTTGAGACGCTGGTATGTGAGCAGTATCTTCTTATACCGAAACAGCACTCCAGCTGCATCTTTTACTGAAAACAAAAATATGGAAAAGTGATTATTTCAGTCATAACCAATGAAATTTGGACTGGATGGATGTGTTTTTATTTGGTTATTTTTACCCCTTTGCCTCTCTCTTGGAGCTCGGAAGACTCGCCTTCTCTTAATCTGGTTCCTGTTGGTGTTTATTGTGTCGGACATTATATCTTCTCCTAACATTTCTTCCTCCTCCATGAAGCCGTCATGGTCCAAATAATCATCAGATTCTCCCAAAAGTGAGAGGGAATCTGTGAAGACAAAAATAATAGCCTTAACAACACCCGGTGTGTAAAAGACACACGGACAAAGCTTCATCCACAAACGAATGTGCATTACCACCATGTGAACTCATTTCATTTATGGATGATCTTGCGGCATTGCTATTTTTGCCGCTGAGGCCACTAGCTGGGGTGCTGGAAGTGCCGTGGCCCTGCAAAAGGGTTTGGGATTGTGTGGGGTTGAACAAAGCATTCATAGAGGTGAGCTGAGTGGTTAGAGAACTGGAGACGCGATTTTTCGAGGGCACCAGATTGGGAGGACCCGGCCTTCGCTGGATAAACTGACGAGTTTGAAAATGATGTGAGTCTGTCTTCTGTTGTTCTGTGAAAAGAAAAACCCTCATCAAGTGGTACGTAACACAATTAATCAAACAAAATAAATGAATCATTTGCACCAACGTTAAAGTCTTTCTCTGTACCTGCAGGACGGTCCTCCTCCCTTCTTGCCCTCCAGTTGAATCTTCTTGATTCATATCCTAGTGGAGAAAACAAACTTGCTTTGCCAAAGTTTCTAATGAAACCAGAAGTTAAACTGTTATCAGCGGCCACCTAGCCCCCTCTCCTCACCGTTACTGTACTGGCTCTGACTTTGCTCGTGTCCCTGACTCTTTGTTGAGAAGATGAAACGGTCCAGCTGGCATCGGAGAAAGTCCCTTTCCTCCTCCAAATCCTCAATTCTTTTCTGCAGCCAAGAGTTTTTCTCCAGAGAGATCTGGAGCTGGGTCCGCAGGTTGGTGATCACCATGGACGAGGTGTTGACTGGAGATGGGCCAGCAGTCGAGGGCGGCTCTGAGGATGGGAAGATCCGTTCAAAATGTCACTGAGCAGGCTACACATAAGCAGAAAGACTAAGTATGGGTCAAATCTCTTATTTATATATTATCTGTAATTTACCATCAAAATTCTGGTCAGTCTGGTTGAAAAATCCTTGCTGCTCAAAGTTGCTCTCCTCATATGGGACGGAAATTTCATAGGCGTCTTCATTTTTGGGAGCTGAAAGAGGGGAACAAATATGATATCTAAAAAAAGTGTAATTAAAAAGCAACATTTTATTTGCAACAATATAAATCTTACTCTGCAGGCGAAGAGAGCCTGCGTGGCTCTTGGATGTGGAGGCTACATCACTCCTGTTTCCGTCCTCCATCTACCACAAACATTTGCCTTATTTCAAACAAATGTCCAGAAGCCATGCACGCTTACAGATAAATCATGGAGTCTTTTTATGCACCAATAATGAATTAATTAACTTGGAAAATCTGCAGACCACAGCCAGGATTTCACACAATGTGCTTATTTCAACCCAACCAGAGCTACTGTTTGATAACAAATATCTCTCAGTCATACACAAATACACTGAAACAGTTAAATCGGTGATGCCACTCGAAAATACGTTCACAGAGGCCCAATACAGCGCCCACGACGCTCAGAATTAGCTCATAGCTTTAGCTTTGTGTATGCTAGCCAGAGAATGTAGCCTGAATTAACAATAACCAAGCCCCTTTAACTTATATACACTCAGTAGTTTAGTTTCGTCATTCCGACATTAATAATATCTTCAAACTGCAAATACACACGTACATATAAGTACATACCACTTAGCGTTTGTAATAACTTAAGGGTGCATATGTAATAAGACGTTATTACTCAGTCATATCTCCATTTCAGCCGTTCGTCTGCGAGCGAACAAGCTAACAATAACAATTATCGAGCTTTTATTTTTTAACTGGGTATGACGTCACTTCCGAATGTTAAGTAACGATTTTAACCGTAGATAAATGTGTCAAATGCATGTAGTTCTATAATCAGAGGCGGTTCATGTTTGTAAATAACAAATGCATCAAATAACGAGCAAGTTAGCAGGTTATTTGATACATTTTATAAAATATCAAAACCCTAAAACTGTATTTGTTAATATCCAAACAAAATTTAAAAACTGCACGTGTATGTGGGCTTTTGTTTTCTTTTTCACTGAGTGAACTAGTAAAGTAAAAACAAAACAAAACAGGATGTTGTCCTGATGGGTTGAACAGCAGGACAGGTTGAACAGGTGAGGGTGGTGTCGGGTTTCAGCGCGTGCTGCTTCTACACCGCGCAAAGCCCACGGTTTCCGTCCAAAATAAGTTTAAAAATTGAGAATTCGACAACCTAAAGGGTAAGTGTGTTGTCTTTTAGAAAAATACTAACAATAATCGCAAAACTTCAATGTTGTGTAACTTTTCTTAATAAAATAATTCCCATGGATTGCGTGACAGGTGTGGCACCAGTTTTGGTGTGCTGCCCCAGGTAATGTAAGAAAACAGAAATGTCAACATAATGGTAACATTGTGATCATTTCATAAAAGTATATTTATTTTATTTTTGTTCTCCATACATTTATTCAGCCCAGGTTGTGAAACACCACTAGTTTGATCAGATGTAAACAAACTCTGACAAGGAAAGGGAGGACCGTGATCCGGTCAGACCATCATTTTTATGTGGCTTTACAGCAGCTCTTTTTATCTCTTTTTCATATTTTGCCAACTTTGTTTAATAAAAATCGAAATTATAGTTTCTAGTTGTTGTGATTAAGTGTGTTTTTGCTGTCAGCATCTTTGTAGTGGTGTCATATTGTTAATTCAGGCTCATTTCATGTGTCTTTGTTACATTTTTGTCCCTGAATACTCAATTTGTTTCTCAGGTATTATGTTATTCATCATGCATAAACAAGTACATCCAAATAATTTTCTTTTCTGTTTTCTCACTACCCACTCTGCATTCTTTGATTATTTTGTACATATTGCATAGCAATATATTAATAATACACCACTTTTTTGTGTTTTATCTCTTGCTGTATTGCTTGTGGGCTTAAAAACTGGCATGCTACACGAATGATCATTTTGTGTTCCAGTGCAACCATGGTGCAGAAGTATGATGGGTTGTCCCATTGTAAGCTCGCTCTGGCGTTTGCGGTGACGATGGACCTGTTGGGTGCTATATCTCTACTGCTGGGTGTCTTCGCAAAACTGGAGATCCAGGGCAGAGACTTTGGAGATCTGCTGGTGTACTCAGGAGCTCTGTTGGTACTGTTTTCCCTGGCTGGCTGGGTCCTCTGGTACAGCGGCAACATCGAAGGTCTGCACTTGCAGAAGGAGTTTGGTGGGTCTGTGGATGATGCTGTGAACCGACTGGCCCGCTCCGTGAGCCGCAGGATACGGATCCCCAGGACGCGCAGCAGCCCTACATAATAGGTCAATCCCAGAAACATCACAACTCAACAGACATGAACTATTTTTATCAAACCAGCTGGCCAAAATGATTGTTAATTTTTCCTTTTATGAATAACAACCATATTTACAGTAAAGAGCAAAAACTGTAATCTTTTTGTTTTTAGTTTGCAACAATCGCTGGAGTCATTTATTTAATGTCAAAGAAAACCTGTTAAAGCTTGAATAGCAAATTTGTAAAACAAATTAGCTTACAACAGTTTTTCATGCCTAATAACAATGTTCTAATGTAGTATAGCTATAAATATATTGTGGAGATAAAAAAATAAAAAGTTTCTGTCGCATTTGTCTAAAAACCTTCACTAATAACACATTTCGGACCGAAACCAACCACTGGACCATTCGGTTGTCAGTCTCACCGAATCGCCGCACTTCCCTGGGTCCTCCACTCATCACACACTCACGCATTTAGCAAGAGAACACCACTGGTGTGAGAGGTTCTCTGTTCAATAACATCAGAGTAGGAGAAACAGCCGGCTGCTACCGCTTCAGCTTTAGGACCAACTACTAGAGTTCCACAATGAAAAACTATTTGAAGTCACGGACAACAAAAGACATTTGGACTTAGAAAACGGCGACTGGTGTTTAGCATTAACACGTTTCCTCCGGCAATGTGGGTTTCTGGTTCCAGCAGAAGCTTCTCAGGGAAGATACCCGAGGGGAGGGGAGGGGTGTTTGCGTTATAAACCTAGCTTGTTCTTTAGATTAGCTTTAGCAGCTTTAAATGGGGGCAACGGTGGCACAGGAGTTAAGCGCTCGCCCCGTAATCGGAAGGTTGCAGGTTCGAGCCCCGCTCAGTCTGTCACTGTCGTGTCCTTGGGCAAGACACTTAACCCACGTTGCCTGCTGGTGGTGGAGGGGCCGGTGGCGCCAGTGCTCGGCAGCCTCGCCTCTGTCAGTGCGCCCCAGGGCAGCTGTGGCTACATCGTAGCTCATCACCACCGGTGTGTGAATGTGTGTGTGGATGGGTGAATGACTGATTGTGTTGTAAAGCACCTTGGGGGGTTCCAGGACTCTAGAAGGCGCTATATCAAATACAGGCCATTTACCATTTAAATGTGTTCATCTGCAGCATTTATTCGTCTCCAATCTGTCCATTTGCCTGAATAGAAAATGGTATTCAGATAAGTACTAAATTATTAGAGGGCATTTAAATAAATGAGAAATTATTACATTTGCCACACATTTATTCAGCACCCGAAGCTGAGTGTTCAAGGACAAAAAAGGCACTTTGGTGATATCAGAATGTTTGCACAAACATTTTTTTGCACACAAATACTTCAGAGAACACATCAATCCCTTATTTTACAAATCAACTTTGAATTTAAGCCACATTCATTAGGTGTTTTATGTAAACATCAAGCAAGAAGTGGAGAATATAAATAATCTTTTCAAGAGATTTAAGAGATGTGATATCAGACACTTAGGTAATGTGCAGGTCTTTGCATTTACTCCACCTGAGACAAACGGCTCAAGACCGAGTTAATACTTATGGCCGAAGCTTCTCCAGTTTATATACAGCATCGAGGGATGATAACTTGTCTGATTGTCTTTAAGAAAAACACAAAACCGTGTCCAGTTTGTTGTTAAAGCTTCAGGAAAAGCCAAACTAGGTTTGACTTTATGATCAGAGAAGTTTGGTTGCTCTCTCTAAGTTGTAGAACAAAATGTGGAAAAATATGATCAACGAGATGAAAATAATCAGTAAAAATGCTGACCAGATGGCTTGAAAGGTTGACTGACCAATAATGAAGCCTCGATATAAAAATCAGATGAAGGAAAACAGAAAAGTGTCATCAATCGTAAAGAATCCAGAAAATCAAGCGAGGTAAACAAGTTTTAAATAGAAAAAAAATCAAATAACTGATTCTTTCAATGCTGCCACACTGAGAAGCTGGCCTATTCCAGTCAGCTCACATCATTTCCCAGTCTGAACTGGGAGAAGATCAACATCAGAGAGCGGGGCTGGGCACAGAGGGAGTCTGCCAGATGATCAAGTGACTCCTCTCAGATCGCTGCGGCGACGCTTGGGACACCTCGATCGATTCGTCACTTCCGTCGTCTCCTGAAACGTCAACAACCTTGTTACTCACTCAATAAAAGGAGAATCGAATACAACGCTGATTAATTCAACACGTAGGTCTGAAAGGAGACCCACCGATTCGGAAGTTGATGTAACCCTCTCCTCCGCTGAGGATGAGCTGGGCTGGAGTGACTTGGCTGCTTCCAGGAGAGGTGATCAAACAACCTGAGGGACAAAATTATTTCACAATTAATCATAAAGATAAATGAAAAATGCAGAGTCTGCATTAAAAAGGAACCAGGCCAAAGAATATAAATATGAGAATATTAACACATTTCTCACTAGTTCATTTAGCTAGCGTTAACATCACAACAGGTCATTCTTAAAGGGACATTATGGAAGTTTGACAGCCAAACATGTATAGAAATAATAAATGTCTTCTTCATACATTCTCCTGCAATGCCCTGGTCCTGTAGAATGAGCCCTGGCATTTTTACTGTGATTGCCTGTTTTTCTGTAAAATCACATAAAAAGAGAGATGCTCGGGTCGAGCAGGCTGCTTCATGCGCGTTCACGCTCAGGCATCGCCCGTAGCATTTGCTATCCGTAGCTTTAGCAGCAGAGAGAGAGGCAGTGCCACTTTGTCGCTGTTCCTAACGCCTAGTGACAAAGCTAGCTACATTTCTGAGGACCCTTAGCTACTTTCTGTAGAACTTTCTTCTAGATATTTCCTGCAAATTAGCAACAAAATAGCCGTTTTCACTCCGAACCGTTCTTTGGATTGACGACGTTTCAGCTGTCATCAAGGATATAAACGTTACAGATAGATTCAATGTCACTGGTGCTTTAGCTCACCTAATAAGACGTCTGACTTTCATGCAGAAGACCTGGATTCAATACCAATAATTTGTTATTTGAAGTTTCTTTTTTACATTAATGATATATTTTTACAGTAATAAGATGCCCAAATTTTTATTTGAGACTCGCCGAACGGCATTGAATTCACAGATAATCAATCAATCAATCAATCAAAGCTTTATTTATAAAGCGCCTTCCGCAACCCTGTCAGGAAGCCCAAAGCGCTGAACATGGTACAGTTGTAAGTAATTAAACTGAATAAATCAACAATAAAAGAAATTCAAATTACAAAATACAAATTACAAAGTACAAAATGGAAATTACAAGATAGATGAAACATTCCGGTAAAATACAAATGTGTGAAACACAATTGGATTGAGTGGATGGATTGAGTGTACCAATGAAAACTGTGGAATGGATTCAACATAATAGAGGGCCAAAATCAAACATGTTCTGGAAACGCCAAGCGGAGGAGGTGTGTTTTTAGGTGATTCTTAAAGACTGGCAGAGAAGGGGACAGCCTAACTGAGGGTGGCAACTGGTTCCAGAGTAACGGTGCTAGGACTGAGAAAGCCCGGTCCCCACGGGTACGACACCTAGACCGAGGGACAGCGAGCAGGCCTTGGTCAGAGGAGCGCAGAGCGCGTGATGGGGAGTGTCTTTTCAGGAGAGTGGCCAGATAGGGGGGAGCACCACCCTGGAAGAAATGATAAACAAAGACGAGGATTTTGAATTGTGAGCGATAGGAAATCGGAAGCCAGTGCAGGGAGGCCAGAACTGGGCTGATGTGGTCCCGTTTCCTGGTCCCAGTCAGGAACCTGGCAGCGCTGTTCTGCACAACCTGTAGGCGACGCAGTGTTGACTGACACAACCCTGCATATAGAGAGTTGCAGTAGTCAAGCCGAGAAATTACAAAGGCATGCAGTACCCGCTCCAGGTGGGCTCTCGACAGCATATGCTTGATTTTAGCAAGGCGTCTCAGGTGAAAGAAACTGGACCGGATCACAGAATTGATGTGTGCATCAAATTTAAGATAAAAAAGATGTGGGTTCAACTTTCATTTTGCAACAATTTTTCAAGCAAGGGAAGGGAATGATCTGAGCATGCAGGAGGACTGACCCATCTTAAACCTTTGTCGGCTGTGCTGAAGAGAAAGGTACAGAATCAAATTATTTAATTAATTAGCTGCACGTTCTCCTGCCCTGCATCTGACCCATCCCCGTGGAGAGCAGTGAGCCGCAGCTGCACTCTGAAACTTTTTGGTGGTTTAACCCCCAATTCAACCACATGTTGAGTGTCAGGCAGGTAGGGTCCCAGTTTTAAAGTCTAATGACCCGCCCGGGATTTGAACCCCGACCTCCCAGTCCCAGGGCAGACGATCTACCACTAGGCCACTTAGAAGGTAAGTGAACGGCAACGGCTAGCATAACTCGCGGTTCGCTGTCATCAGGGAGAAATGTTGTAAATGTTATACAGTAAACCTAATGACCTGTAAACTGTAAGTTTTGGGGCCGCTGCATCATGTCCTTGCACCTTGCAGCGGCAGTTTACACCGGTGCTTTGTCATAATCTAGTCCCAAATCTAATTCAGCTCCTGTAATTCCTTCATGTTTCTTATTGTTTTCTTTTGCAGTCGGTGTGATTATTGAAGTCCCCAAGAAAAATTAGACTCATTACGGAATAATTTTAATGACCTTTTCCAACGAAATGCTAGCTGTTAGGAGCCTAGTGGAACACTCCAAGGGAACCCCTGCAGCCCCTCACAGCCCTCTATCGGGGTTTCAAACCGATAGAGGGCTATTTGTCCAGTAGCATGCATAGATCGTTTGTGCTACTACTAGTTTACCCATTTAATTATAGATTCACTAGGATAAGTACAATAAAGTTTATCTCTCACCAAATAGAGTATTTACTAAGAAATCACAATGTAACTGTGTGTGTGTGTGTGTGTGTGTGTGTGTGTGTGTGTGCTCTGTCTTCTCGATTCCCAGTGAGTCGTGGACGATGGCTGCTTATACTGAGCCAGGATCCTCTGGAGGTTTCTTCCTGTTAAAAGGGAGTTTTCCTCTCCACTGTCGCTAAATGCTTGCTTAGTATGAGGATTGCTGTAAAGACTCTGACTCTAGTCAGTGACTTGATGCAATTTGCTGGGTTCCTTATAGAGGAAACTTTTTTCTGATCGGCTTAATGAACTGACCTGTATTGGAATGTTTATTATGTGAAGTGCCTTGAGACGACTTGTCGTGATTTGGCGCTTTATAAATAAACTTGAATTGAAAGGCAAAGGTAGAACCCGCCCCACGACCCAGAGCCATCAATGGAGCGTTCCCAGATCTATGATCTGAGTTCATAAGCCAAACAAAGACTGAAACGTCTAAAACAGACTTATCTGAACGTAGAATATTCATGTGAACCGAATTAGACATTTTGAGTAATAATAACTCACATTGTATAAGAAGAATGGGATGCAGTTGTAACAGCTACTTCATTGCAGGAAGTGTGATCAACTCACTAGGGCTAAATGATTTTAGGAAAAGATTTAATTCACATTTTCCTGCATAAATTGCAAGAGGATGAAAACGAATGGTAACAATTGTTTTCAAATGTTTAATATTGGCTGTAAAAAGACCAAATGTGCTGCTCAAGCGTTGAGCTTTAAGATGTTTTCTTACCAGGTGCGGCGATGATGAATCTGACGGCTTGTCTGTGTCCGTGATACGACAGCTGGGTTGATGCAGTAGAGCAATACGGGATGGAAATATCCTCAGAGGCTGCATGCGGTTAGAGGAGTTAATTCCTGAGGATATCTTCGACAAGAAATAATGCAGCAACTAAAACTTACTAATAGACAGGGGGATGGAGAAAATGGCTCCACCTCCTGTTCCCACCCACAGACGGCCAGAGATGATGGTAAGACAGGAGATCTGAAGAGGCGAGAGCGACAGGAAGGGCTGGCCTAAATGAAAATCAAATGATCAGTGATGTCCACAGCTCGTTCTCTGGAGTTGAACAAAAAAGGAAATTTGGTCTTTATTCGGATTTCAAGGTAAAGAAAAAACAAAAGGTTTGAGTACCTAATGTTTTTGTGACTAAAGAAGTCAGATCGACTTCTTGCAGCGGCCGTCCAGTGGACCAGTCAAACAGCCTGATGACTGGGTCAAGACGACACGACGCCCAAACGCCACTTCCTGCCGCACACAGGAAGCGAACCTGCTGCTCACTGCGCTCCGACACAGAGAATATTTGCTGTCCAGCAAGATGAGAAATAATAACAATAAAGAGTTCAGAAACAAGATGTTCAGAAAAAAAAACAGATAAGAGGTTATTACTTCTGCCGCTTACCTCGACCTTCCTGCTCTCCATGTCAACCACGTGGACTTTGTTCCAGTACCCCACCCACAAACGGCCACTTTTTGCAAGGCAACAGCGGACGGGCTGCAGAGGGTTTGCTCCAAGGGCCATCACAGTATGTGACTGCAAGTTCCAGCCATCTGCAAGCACAACTATTTCCTCATTCGTGCCACTAAACAGATTAGATGAGAGACGAAACTAGAAGGAATTACCTGAAGTGTGTGAGAAAAAAGCTAAAGTCCCATCCCCTAAACCAGCAACGACCCCACCGTTGGAATACCTGACAGACAAAATCCATACATAGAAGATTATTTATAATATTAGGAAGTAATTAATGGTGTATGAAGTAAGAATGGCATATTGTGGTCAAATGTGGGTGCTGCAGCCCATGTATAAAAATAAAGGAGTTTGGTTTCTGTGAGCCCCATTCGTGAGTTTTATGGCTGTTGCCAGCTACGACTCAGCACCAGAAGATCCTAGATGACGAGTTATACACAGAAAGTCTCTGAGTAGATCAATACTTGTCTCGTCTTCCTCCGCTTATCCGAGTCCGGGTCGCGAGGGCAGCATCCCAACTAGGGAGGTCCAGACCGTCCTCTCCCCGGCCACCTCCACCAGCTCCTCCGGCAGGACCTCCAGGCGTTCCCGGACCAGATTGGAGATGTAACCTCTCCAACGTGTCCTGGGTCGACCCGGTGTCAGGACTCAGGTATCTCCCGGCTGACGTTCGGACCACAACTCCCGACATGCTCCTAATGGGGAGCTCCCAGCGTGCTCCTCGCGGGGATTCCCTCCACGTCACAGCCAAGCAAGGCTATATATGGAAGACGCCGGTACCGGCTTCTCATCTCAGTCATCGTTTCTTCCTCACAGAGATACGACCGGAGAAATAATAAAACTGTTAAACGTCTCACCTTGTTCGTCTCCTTCATCCAGTCTGATCAGCCCGACAGGATGACTGAGATCCAAGTAGATCCGACGGAGATCGATCGTCTCCGCCACGAGAACGTGCAGCTGCGTTCCATGGTAGATCAGCTCAACACCAAGGTGAACTCCTTGTCCGACCACACCCTGCGTCTATCCACGGCTCTCACGGCTCTCCAACAACAAGCAAACGATCAGCAGCAACAGATCGCGGCACTCCAGCATCCAACCCGCTCTGCTCCTAGGGAGGAGCCCCACTTCAGCCTGCCGGAGAGGTGGAACGGAGAGACGGGGAGCCCTGATGGTCTGCTCGCCACGCTGGACATGCAGTTCGAGTGCCAACCTGGACGCTACCCATCTGCGCGCTCCCGAGTGGCGCATCTCACCTCCCTGCTCTCCGGACGCGCCGCGGAGTGGGCTGCTGCGCTTTACAATTCCAAATCCCCTGCCTGCAACGACTATGCTGCGTTTGTGTCCGCTCTCCGGAAGACCTTTGTTCCCCCCAGCAGCGAAGTGGGAGCAGAGACACGCCTTCTCAAACTCCGCCAGCGGGAACGCTCGGTGTGCGCTTATGCGTCGGAGTTCCGCACCATCTCCGCCAAGCTGCAGTGGAATGACTCCGCTCTGCGGGCCGCCTTCCTGGAGGGGCTGGCACCCTACATCCGTGATGAGTTGGCGGGAAGGGAGCTGCCTCAGACCCTGGATGAGGTGGTTGATCTGGCGCTGCGCATCGACCAGCGGGTTCTGGTTCGACCCAAGTTATCCACGCGTCCCCCCAGGATGCCGGTGCCTCGCCCTCGTTCACCCACGCCAGCTCCTGTACCCATGCTGACGGAGGAGCCCATGCAGCTCGGCCACCTTCCCCCCGAGGAGAGACAACGACGGTGGCGCGAGGGCCTCTGTGCCTACTGTGGCTCTCCCGACCACCGACGCCTGGACTGCCCGCGACGATCGGGAAACGGGGGGCCCCACTGAGTATTGGGGTCGCTCAGTCTGGGTCTTCTTCTACCCCTGTCGCTACTAACCGCCTCCTTATTCCTGTCACCCTCCTCCATGGTGAGGCCTCACTCCACCTAAACGCATTGGTGGACTCGGGGGCCGCGGACAATTTCATGGACCAGGATCTGGCAAAACGCCTACGGATCCCCCTACAACCCCTGGAGAGGGTTATACCAGTGACCTCGGTGGACGGTAGGCCTCTCCAACCCTACCCAGTCCGAGACCGAACCCAGCCACTCCGTATGATCACCCAAGGCCACCAGGAGACCCTCCATTTCCTGATCATTTCTGCTCCCTCTTCTCCCCTAATCCTGGGGTTCCCCTGGCTCCGTCTCCACGACCCTCATATTTCCTGGTCCCAGAACCGCCTGCTGGGCTGGGGGACCTCGTGCCAGACCCACCTTGCTCCTCCTCCATCCTCGGCGGGTCTTCAGGACGGGGACCCCAGCTCCACACCGCCCCACCTGCCGCTGCCCTATCGGGACCTGGCCGCGGTGTTCGACAAGCGGCGCGCCACCTCCCTGCCACCTCACCGGCCATATGATATGGAGATCAAGCTGCTACCCGGAACCAGTCCTCCCCGCGGGCGCCTTTTCTCTCTCGCGCCTCCCGAGACCAAAGCGATGGAAGAATATATCGCCCAGGCCCTCCAGCAGGGGTTCATTCGACCCTCCTCCTCTCCGGGTGCCGCTGGCTTCTTCTTCGTGAGGAAAAAGGAAGGCGATCTTCGCCCCTGCATAGACTATCGGGGTCTGAACAAGATCACGGTCAAGGACCGCCATCCTCTGCCGCTCCTCACTACCGCTCTGGATGCCATCTCCCAGGCACGGATCTTTACGAAACTGGATCTCCGGAGCGCCTACAATCTGGTCCGTATAAAGGCCGGGGATGAGTGGAAGACCGCTTTCATAACACCCACCGGCCACTGGGAGTACCTGGTTATGCCCTTCGGACTATGCAATAGCCCTGCTGTCTTCCAACGTCTCATTAATGATGTCCTCCGCGACATGCTGGGACGGTGGGTGTTCGCCTATCTGGACGATATACTGATCTACTCCAAATCCGAGGCCGAACACATCCATCATGTTCGCGCCGTCCTGACCCGGCTCCTGGACCACAACCTGTACTGTAAACCCGAGAAATGCTCCTTCCATCAGCAGTCCATATCCTTCCTGGGTTACAGGATCTCGGACGAAGGGATAACTATGGACCCTCAGAAAATCCAGGCGGTGAAGGACTGGCCCTTGCCAACCAGCCTGAAACAACTGCAGAGTTTTCTGGGTTTCTGCAACTTTTACCGCCGTTTTATAAAGAACTATAGCACCCTCGTAGCCCCTCTCACCTCTCTCACTCGACCAGGCTCCCCTGGCCAGCCGTTTCATCTAACTCCCGACGCCATTCGGGCCTTCCACCACCTGGTCACCCGCTTTACCTCGGCCCCGATCCTCCGCCATCCAGATCCTGCAGTCCCCTTTGTGGTCGAGGTCGACGCCTCTGACGTCGGCGCCGGCGCCATCCTATCTCAAGGCGGGCCCGACGACAGGCTCCATCCCTGCGCCTACTTCTCCAGGAAGTTTTCCACCACCCAGCAGAAGTACGGTGTGGGCGACCGTGAGTTACTGGCCATAAAATGGGCATTGGAGGAGTGGAGGCAGTGGCTTCTGGGCACCACTCAGCCTTTCACGATCTGGACTGACCATCAGAACCTGACCCACATAAAATCTGCCAAGCAGCTTAATCCTCGCCAGGCTCGCTGGGCCCTCTTCTTTGAACCCTACGACTTCCATCTCGCCTACCGCCCGGGAGCCAAGAACCAGAAGGCGGACGCCCTCTCCCGCCAATTCACCCACTCCTCGCCCTCGTCCGAGCCAGCGCCAATCCTCCCGGAACACCGTTTCCTGGGCCAACTGAGGTGGCCGTTGGAGGAAGCTATCCAGAACGCCCTCCGGGACGACCCCGCGCCTCCTGAGACCCCCGCGGGTCGCCTCTATGTCCCAACGGCCTGTCGCAGCGAGGCGTTGTCCTGGGCCCACTCATCACGCCTGTCTGGCCACGCTGGTTTCTCCAGAACTCTTAAATTCCTCCAGCGAGCCCTCTGGTGGCCAGGCATGGCGAGGGATGTGAAAGAATACACCAGCGCCTGTGACGTCTGTGCCCGCTCCAAGAACCCCAACCAGGCCTCGGCTGGTGCCCTCCGACCTCTTCCGGTGCCCAGCCGCCCCTGGTCCCACGTGGGGCTGGACTTCGTCACAGGTCTCCCGTCGGTCAATAACCTCAACACTGTCATGACGGTTACGGACCGCTTTTCCAAGTCTGTCCATTTCATCGCCCTTCCGGGTCTCCCCTCAGCCCAACGCACAGCGGAACTGTTCCTGGAGAACGTGGTGCGCCTCCACGGGTTCCCAGTCGACGTGGTCTCGGATCGGGGGCCCCAATTCACGGCCCGGTTCTGGAAAGCTTTCTGTCGGCTGATGGGAGCATCGGTCAGTCTATCCTCAGGCTACCACCCGCAGACCAATGGCCAGACGGAGCGGGCTAACCAACAGCTGGGTCGGTACCTTCGTTGTTTTGTCTCGGCTCAACCCTCACAGTGGCCTAAATACCTCCTCTGGGCGGAGCTGTCCCACAATCTTCACACCTCATCTGCCACTCGGTTGTCCCCTTTCGAGGTCTGCTATGGCTTCCAGCCCCCGGTCTTTGCCCACCAAGAACCCGAGGTCGCCGTTCCAGCAGCGGAAGCCATGGTGAGACGCTGCAAGAGCGCCTGGATCAAAGCACGAGCCTCCATAACCAGAGCTAACACCAGCTATGCTCGCCAGCATCTCCGTCGACACCGTCCTGGTCCCTCCTATGCTCCTGGGGACAAGGTCTGGGTGTCCACGGCTGACCTTCGGGTCCGTGCCGGGGCCAAGAAACTCGCTCCTCGGTTCCTCGGCCCACACCCCATCCAAAGGGTCATCAACCCGGTCACGTACCGGTTGCGACTGCCGGCTACTCTCCGCATCCATCCCACCTTCCATACCTCCCGGCTCAAGCCCTTCGTGGAGTCCTCCCTTCTCCCGCCTCCGGCTCCGGCGCCGCCTCCTGCCCGCTTCCTCGATGGTGAGCCTATCTACACCGTCCGGCGCATCCTGGACGCTCGCCGCAGGGGTCGGGGCTGGCAGTACCTAGTAGACTGGAAGGACTATGGCCCAGAGGAACGCTCCTGGGAGCCGGCTCGGTCCATCCTGGACCCTTCCCTGATCTCCGACTTCTGGGTCCGCCGGGGTCGCGCTGGGACTTCTGGAGCCGTCCCTGGACCGGGGGGTCCTGTCAGGACTCAGGTATCTCCCGGCTGACGTTCGGACCACAACTCCCGACATGCTCCTAATGGGGAGCTCCCAGCGTGCTCCTCGCGGGGATTCCCTCCACGTCACAGCCAAGCAAGGCTATATATGGAAGACGCCGGTACCGGCTTCTCATCTCAGTCATCGTTTCTTCCTCACAGAGATACGACCGGAGAAATAATAAAACTGTTAAACGTCTCACCTTGTTCGTCTCCTTCATCCAGTCTGATCAGCCCGACACCCGGGGGCCTCCTGCCGGCAGGACATGCCCGAAACCCCTCCCCAGGGAGGCGTCCAGGAGGCATCCTGACCAGATGCCCAAACCACCTCAACTGACTCCTTTCGATCCGGAGGAGCAGCGGTTCTACTCCGAGTCCCTCCCGAATGTCCGAGCTCCTCACCCTATCTCTAAAGCCCCCTTCAGACAGGCCATGAAAAACGGAAATGTTCCGGAATCTGTCCGTAAGACCTTTCTGTCTGAATACAAACATCCGGATAACGTGTTCCGGAATTTATCCGGACGAAGCCCTAGTAACAGGTCCAGACTTGTTACGGACAGGGTGGCTGCTTCAGATTGGTGAGGTAAAGTTCCGGACAAGAGGAAGGGGGAGGAGGAGGGGACCGGGGGACGCTGTGCACACCTAGATAGCCCGCTGCTGTAGCATGCGGCGAACCACGGCAGCTCGCCTCCTACGGTATCGCCTAGACGCGCGACGGAGCGCATCACACTGTTTCAGTGATTCCTTTAACCATTGAGCTTCATCATCCAGGTCTCTTATGAGTCTTCGTGTGCGCAGAATTATGCTTAAGCGCCTCGTGATTTTTATCTTGAGAGGCGCTATAGAAATGATATTTTCTTCTTCTTCTTCTTAACATAAGTCCGATTCCCCCCACCCCCTGCCGCCGTCAGACACCTGGAACTTTTCCCTGCTGTGTGAACGCAGCCGAAAGGACAAGTTCCGGTACAAAAGTGGTGTGTCTGAAAACACAGTTCCGGTTAAAAACTGGATTGAATTGTCCACAAATGTTCCAGAATGTCTATCTGAAAAGGGCTTAAGGCTGAGCCCGGCCACCCTACGGAGGAAACTCATTTCGGCCGCTTGTATCCGCGATCTCGTTCTTTCGGTCATTACCCAAAGCTCATGACCAGAGGTGAGGATTGGGACGTAGATCGACCGGTAAATCGAGAGCCTGGCTTTCTGGCTCAGCTCCCTCTTCACCACGACAGATCGGCTCAGCGCCCGCATCACTGCAGACGCCGAACCGATCCGCCTGTCGATCTCCCGATCCCTCCTACCCTCACTCGTGAACAAGACCCCGAGATACTTAAACTCCTCCACTTGAGGTAGGACCTCTCTCCCGACCCGGAGTTGGCAAGCCACCCTTTCCCAGTCGAGAACCACGGTCTCAGATTTGGAGGTGCTGATCCTCACATAGATCAATACATTCCACTATTATATCGTTATTGGTGATTTAAAAAGTAGCTTGAGATTCTTTAGAGCCTGCTATTTGTTTCTAATTCATCGTTTGCATTATTAGCTCTATGTTAGCTTCTACCCTCCTGTACCCGATATTAGCGCAAAACAAAAAGATGCCGTGGCTTCTTCGGGGTCGCTCCTGTTTACTGGCTTCGGTTCTTTCCACAACGCTGCTGCTTTTTGCCGGCCAGTGTCGGCGCTGGAGGGTTTGTCGACGCAGACTTGGCAACCCCAAAGGGTCAAATATGATTGGCTCTGGAACCAGGAAGTATGAAGGCAGAACAGACTGTAAACAAAGACTAAATCCCTCTTTAGTTTTTTGAAAGGAGAAAAACTGACAACCCCCCCATCCAGCTGAGAAGTAAATTTGTTTTCAATGTAACCTTCCTTCCAACATGATTAAGACATTAGACTGTATTGTGATTGTTCATCTGTAACATTCTTACATATTACACCTTTAAACTATTTGTTTTAAATGCAATGCAAAGATATGAAAGAAGCAAGCTGAACTCACATGAGTGAATGAACTCCCTCTGAGAGACATGCTGACTGCAGACAGCACCTCCTGTTCGCAGAGGCCGAGTGTATAAGAATACTGCAAAAACAAAAAGGAAAAAAATAGATTAAAAAATTAAGTCTCATGAATGTTTCCGTATGATTTATGCAGTGAAGAGTTCTGTTCCTTGATCTCATCCCACCTTCCTTCCTGCGTTCCGATCCACACCGTCCCTGAGGAGTTATCTGACAAAACAACAGGAAATGATGAGTAATGAATGAATTTTGAAGCAAAACATTGAAAATAATTTAAAAAAAAATCCCATAAGAACTGACCTATAGGAGGAACAGCACACATACAGAGGGCGGGGGCTGTGGGGGGAAGACTGAACTGGTCCAGCACGGTGTTAGACCTAGCCGGATCGATCACTGTGATGTCACTGCAGGAGGCGGGACCAGAGATGACCCATACAGAACACTGAGGAAAAGAAAAGTATATGGAGAATTTGGAAACACGAGACATTTTGTTTCTGGGCGGAGTCGGTCACGTTTGGGTAGGTCAGAACCGACTCACCGAGGCTTCTCCTGACGTCTCAGGAGGGACTGCTGCAGCACAGTTGATCTGATGGAGAAATGTTTTAAATTACAAATGTGTTTAAACGGCTCCTCGGGTTTAATATGTGGGTTTGGGAGAATATTTTACCTTAGCGGTGGAGTCTCTCTGATCCAACAGTCTGAGCTGAACCAACACAGGAACATCTTTAGGTTCTGGTATGGGTTCACTGGCCTCCTGCAACAACAGCATTGAGAAAACACATCTACTGTTAACAGTAGACTAAATGGGAGCTAATATGGTCACGGATGGTCTCGCATCACCTGTGTGCTCGCCAGCGACACACTCCAGCCATGGATCTGACGCTTTCCCAGAATCCCCCAGATCTGAGAGCGGATTTCTCTGTAGAGCTCCTTCCTTCTGAGTCGTGGTGAAATAACGGTTGAAGAAGGGGATCTGTGAAGAAAACTGAGCAGATGTTTGCTGGCTTTTGATTCAATCTGTACTTTCTTGATTTCAAAATAAAACAATGCAATGAACTGGGAGTAAATAGAGCTCCTGAAAAACAAAAGGATTTAGACATTTGAAGAATTTGCAGGTTTTGAGACTTAAAAAAGCAGCTTTTTGTAATCTCTGCTTAAGCTGGGCGGACACTGTGTGACTTTTTCACTCGTAGCACTCAGCTTCAGCTCAAACTGTACGACTTCCTCGCAGGACAGATCTCACAAGCCACACGCTCACACTGTACGTCTGGTAGCAACACGTCGGCCCTAAAAATATGCTAAAAATAGCAGTTTTTACACGACACGTCAGACTTTTTTGTCTTGCCTGTTGTCCTTCGGGAGTGCTGCAGGAGGACACACAGGGATTTATGGGGGTTGGATGAGGAAAACGAAATAAAGAAAGTAAATCTGTGTTTTGTGATCAGTTTAATTTGACATGAACACGACAAACACGCTTTCTCGACAATCTTTGTGAGTAAAAAAAACGTGTAGAAACAAAAATGAACAACATGTATTATTAGGGAAATAGCGGGCGAGCGGCGCTGATGCATGATTGCGCATGCGCCGTGAGCGGTTCTGATACTTTTTGGGTCGCAGCTGCTCGCAGCGCCGCTTCAACAGTGCGTATGATACCCTCACGAGGGACGAGCAAAATATCAAACACGCCAGAAGTCTGTGTGAGCTCACGATTGCTGATCGGTAACTCTCGTAACCCCCTGCACACTACACCACGCTCGGCGCAAAACTCGCCCCGATCTCGTGGATTCTCGCACGAGTGGAAAATCGGCTCAAAACAGTGAAAAAGTCGCACAGTGTACGCCCGGCTTTAGCCAAATATCCCAACTTGCAAAATAATTCTATGTTCATTCACTTACAGCTCTACCTTACTTGTATTTAAAGTTCTGAGATGTTTTTATATCATCTTCCATGAAATGTTTAGGGCTCCTCTAAATACCAAGAGCGAGCACCAAATTCACTGTCTTCAGTTAAAATTAAATAAGTACACCTCCTTTTGAAAACATTTGCAAAGGTCGGGAACCCGTACTTACTCGCTCTGTGTTTGGCTGATGAGCGGTGGCTGTGGAGTCCCTAGAGGAGGGCGGTTAAACGCTGGGGAGGTTTGCTGCACCAATGCGGACGCTGAAGGTGGGACCAGTGGCACCTTGGTGAGACCAAACAAGCGGTTGAATCTAAATTTTAAAAGAGATAAAATAAAAGCAGCAACAGCTTTTTGATTCCAAACAACAAATCAGACGGATTAGAATTATAGTGTTCAGCTAGCTTGTTGTTAGCGCTAGCATCATCAGGCGGATGCAGGGCTGTTTAAGACCGCCCCGATCCGGACTCGGATGCTGGGTTCAAATTACAGGAGAGCAACTTGGTTCTCCTCAAAGGTTGTCAGGCTCCCCTGATGCCCTTAACTTACACACCCAGAAGGAGCACAAAGAGATCCAGTTTCTACCTTTATCATATTCTTTATATGGACTCAGCGTAGCGGGGATTCTTTTGGGCAGAGATGCAGAGAGCTGCAGGCAGACCGCTGCTTATTCATGAGCTGCGTTCTGCACACGGCCACAGGAACATTTTCTAAGTGGCGTCACCAAAAATATATAATTAACACAGTCATTCATGTCCATTCATTTTCTCTCTGGTGTAACGGAACGGAAGACCGTGTTTTTCCCTTCTTTGCACAAGACTAGTCTGCATGAGATATGGTCTCAAGGTCTCATGCATTCCTTCTAACCTGCTTATTTTCAGCTCAACAGAAGAATGAAGAATGAACTCTTTTCTTTTAATTAATCAAAGAACTCTATTTTAATAAAGCTAATCCATCAAAGTGTTAGTCAATAAATAAGATGTGACCGATCTGTGAAATTAAAATATTAATTACTTTATTAGAATCCTATAGAATATAAAGGTACTATGACTTTAAATGTTCCAACAGGACTCATTTCACGTAGCGTTAAAAAGACATGACACATTACTTTCACTGATCTAATCAGAATCTTACAGATCTAACGGAGGTGTGGTTTTAACGGTGTTTGGTAATTTTCATTCGAAAATAAACCTTAACATCCGAAGTATAAAACTGTGCCACGTCAGCTCTAACGCCAGTTTAAAGCGTTCCAGAGAAAGTGACGGAGTGGCCAATCCTGATCTAAACTCTTTAACCGAAAGAACAACGACAAGCTGAAAAATTCGTCGCTACACCGACAGCGACAACAGTTCCTTTCAGACAGTCGGTTGATTTTATTGTTCTGTGTCTTTTGTTTTACCATTAAAATCATTATTGTAATCATTGCCCCTGGATGTAGCCATCTTTTACAGGTCATTACTTATTTTTACGGCCTTTCTTGGTGATCTTTACATATGTTGTGATTCGTTGTGTGATTAGGGTTGATTTTCACAGCTACAAACAGATTTACAAATAATCGTAGTATTGTTACTGTTGGTTTGTTACTCTGCTAATTATTTAGGATGAACTCCGTTTAAACAGGGAGGAAATGTTGGATAAAAACTGACATTAATGTCTTTAACGGTTTAACATCTGGAGGTTTTAAACGAAGGTGCATCTGTTTAGGCTTTTGTAGCTCTAACAGGGAGGACTGACCTCGCCCTCGACTTGGTGCTGGTCCCCCTTATCAGTAGAACTCCCCTTGAGAAGTCCAGACAGCTCTATTGTTTTAGAAATTGCACCTGGAGTGCCTTCCTGCCTGAGAGTCTGTGAGAACCTCGAATGTTTGTGTGCAATTGTGTGTGCGTTCATCATTTCGTGTGTCTGCCTTAATAAATACTCTTGGAGGACTTTGTCTGACGAGAGTGAACTGTCGGACCTCTGTGTGGTGTGTATTTCATTCTCCACTTTGCAAAGCCTAAATTGTTTTGTTGGTTGATTATTGGTATAGGTTTGATCAGCTGATTATTATGACCCCTGCGTGTTGAACTTTCCCTAAGGTAATCCTGGATGGGAGATAAAATTACCTAACAGAGACGATGGAGTTTAATCGTTGGATCGCGCACGGGACTGCATCAACGGAGAGGGGAGAGCGGGCAGCAGAGGGCGACAACGTCCTCTGCTGCCCGCGGATAAACAAAGGAACATCAGCCTGATGATGTTTGCAGCCGCAAACGAAACGTTGCAGGTAAATAAACCTTTTCTATGTTTTAAAAAGAACTGAAAGATGGATTATCAGCCATTTGCTTGTGACGAGCATTATATCGATGAAAAAAAAGATACTTACTTTCTCCAAACACTTGATTGTTTTTCTTCTGTAAACTTCTCCCCTTTTGTTGCTCTGGAAAAACAAACTGTTCAGGTACTAAAAGGTGCAAAGGGGCAGAAATCTGCAACACTGAGACATAACCTCGGGTACCTGAGAGTCTGACTGTGTCTGACGGCCTCCTGCAGCTCAAACAGACGCTGTTTGTACTGATTCTTCTCCATGACCACACGGGCCATTTCAGAACGGGAAAAGTGACGCATGGATGTTGACAGAGAGGCCTGAAAGGGGGGGGGGGGTGTTGATTAAGCATTTAGCAAGTTAACATCTACACTTCCCAACAGGAGCGTATAAACGGCTTACATCAGGATCTTCAGACTGACACGATTCCAGTTCTTTCCGCACTCTGAAAAATATTGAACAAGGAGCAGGTGAAACGGTTCATTTCCAAAAGGAGTACAAGTTTTCACTGCTGATCTGCTGCACCTCTTGATCTCCTCGTCTCTCTCCTTCAGCCGTCCCTCTAGTCTCTCCACGGTTTCCTGAAGAGTCGCCACTTCCAGGGTGAGGGCAGCGCGATCGTCGGTCAGCTCGACGACTCGAGATATCAGCGCTTTACGAGCAGCTTCAACTGATTCACTGAAAAAATGAGGAAATGAATGAAGGGGTGAAAAAAAAATAAATACTTTTTTTAATCATTGAGTTCCAGTCCAATCCAATTTTATTTATATAGCGCGTTTAAAAACAGCATGTCAGCTGACCAAAGCACTGCACAGAGTTAAAGCCATTCAAATTCACATACATACACATTAAACACAGATTTAAACTGTCGTAAAATTGAAACACCTAAAATCTAAACAAAAATTAAAACAGCCATTAAAAAGAGAAGTCAATAAAAACAGAAGAGAGGCACAGCATAAAAGACCGATCACTGACCAGAAGCTGAATTAAAGAAACGTGTCTTTAGACTGGATTTAAACTGTGCCAGTGAGGAAGCCTGGCATACCTCCAGAAGAGTTGATGCTCTTTAAGTGAAACTATTGAGCCCTGCAGGGTCAAAGGAAACTGCGTTTTTCCAACTTGACCTTGTTTTGCAGGAAATCAAGTTTATATTTCTTTTTTCTCTCTCTCCATGGTTCTGCTTCCATCAGCCATGCAAACAAATCATCGGAGGAGGCAGAGGAAGCTGTCCAGGGCGATGTAACTGGATGTTTATAAATTCAACATAAACTACCAGGTCAAAGTATGACTAAGACATCCTAACTCGTACGAAAACGGTCTCGTGCCAATCAGGGTTTTAATGCTCCTATAATTTTGGCCAAACTGGAACAAAAACAGTACAAATCTCTCCCCCTGGTGTTCGTCCTCCATCACGGTGGCCTTTCTTCACTGTTGTGTCTCGGCAGCTTCTTCACTGTAAAGCGAGCGGCAACATGAACTGTGTGGTTTAGTTATAAGGGGCGGAGCCTCACTGCACTCTGGTAGGGATAACTATAACAACGCACGCGACATTTCTTCATTTTCCTAAAAAGGATTTAACACATTTCACCTTTAAAACATCATCAAAAATCTTCTTTTAATGAATTTAACTTTTTAGCAAACCTTCAGTTTGAGGTCTTTATGGTCTGTTTTTGTTGTTGTTGCTTTTACGGCTCGACTACAGCCTCTGTAACCTGCGAAGTTTAATAAAACGATACAAACTGGAACAACAGACTTGATCGTTCGTTAGTTCGAGAATAACAGAAACTCCCAAGAAAAAAAAGGGAAAAAGAAATTTGGGATCTTGCAAAACAATGTTGATAAATAAATAAATAAACAAACAAACAAATCTTCTATGGGTGCTCTGTTAGATTTTTCAAATCTGAAAGCAAAGCAGCACAAAAGTCATGAACAAAGTCTTCCTTAGGATTTAAAAGCCCGTAGAACCAATTCTAGCAGCAATAATTTAGCGGGGATCTAGAGGCTGCATGACAATTTTTTTTTAAGTCGACCGTCAAGTAATGAAAATCGAGTCGATGACGTCATACACCTGAAGCGGCTAAAACTGACGATGGGTGACCGAGCGTTTTTTTCTGACGCACAGGGGGTGGGGGAGGTCGGTAGGTTCACTGGAGTTTTTGACAATTAAAATTGCGCCCACATTTTCTACGTTAAACACATTTCTTTTAACTACGGTAGTTTCTGCTTCAGCCCTCTCCCCCCTCCCCCTGCGCAGCGGCTGCAAACTCACTGGTGCGCCTGCAGCCTCTCAGAGTTCCTGCTAATCTAAACATTAATATAATTATTTCATTTTCTGTTCCTCACTTCTGATTACCTTCAATGGTGTGTGTTTGTTGCAACCAGCAGGTACAAAAACTAACTTGTTTTTATTTGACTATTTTTCTGTCCTGTCTGTTTATTATCTTCCTGCATCTCCTCTCAATCCTAAAGAAAAACTGCTACCTGGGTTCATATATTTTCACCTCATGAGTTACCTTTGAACTGCAGTTCTAAAAGATCTACCGGCTGCTAAAACAGCGGAGTGCTCGCCGGCCGCACCGGTAAGATGTGTCACCAGAGGACTAAACAGGTGATGCGCCCCGCTCCACAGCAGCGAAAAGCAACAGGCACAAATAAAAGACAGAAAACATAAAAGGAAATGAGCCGACATGAACGATCGTGTGTTAAATTAGTTTTTGAGGTGGCGACGCCTGATTTGATAACGTTACTGTGGCCGTGGCTCAGGACGCAGATGTCTGGAGCGCATCAACGATCAGAGCTTTGCATGCGCAAGCTGGTTAAAGAGCAAGTCACCCCCTACAAGAAACTTACTCCACTCCCACTTCATGTTTGAAAAATGCAACAAATGCTGTTGCTTGGCAGACCGAGAGGGCGGAGCCGCTAACAAATACACACACACACAGGCTCACAATGGCACTGTGACATCATAATGTACCAGATGACATCATAGCATACCTCTTAGCCAATAGCGGTGGCAGATTTAAATTCAAATACAGTGCAGAATTTTTCCCTGACGACGGCGCAACACTGAGTTTTAGGCAGAATATTTGAATTTTAACCAAGATGCACTGAACTGCCAAATTATGGACTACACTTGTCTGTAGCACGATTAGACACTCCTTTATATAGTTTATCAGCAAAAAAAATGTGATTTGGGGGTGACTTGCTCTTTAAGGTTAGGATGGGGGTGAGGGGAAGGTTAAATTGCAAGAGGGTAAAGGTCACAATTCGGTCAAATGTCCGTTTTACCGCGTGCGTCAGATACCGACGCTCTGGCACAGCGCGTCACCTCCCGACGCGCAGGGGCTCACCACCTGCTGTCTTTTCCGAGGACTGCATTTTGTCAGTCATTATCACGTGACAGCGACTAGTCGATGAATGGCATAAAAAGTCGCTACAGAGCAGTGAAGTCGACAGGTCGACTAGTTGATACAACCCCTACGGTGATCATCTTTTCAGTCTCTTTCTTGATCTCAAAGCTAAATATTTGCTGCTGCTTCGGGGATATTTGTCCTGCTGAATGACCCAATTCTGGCCAACCTCCTGCTGTCGAACGGAGGGCTTCACGTTGGACTCAAAGAAAACGTTCGTATAAAGAAGAGTTCAGTGTTGACTCGATGATTGAAAGACGCTCAGCGCAAAAGTTAAATCTTTAAAATTTTGGTTCAAAGACCTTGTTTCCAGATTTTTTCACCAGCCATGTTTTTTCCCCCATAAAGATGATGTTTTCTCATGACAGGCTTTATAAACAAGTGAAACGTGTTCATCGGGAAATTGTGAGATGTAGTTTCTCTTTTATGTTTTACCCATGTAGACAATCAACAATAATTATTTTGAACTTGATAGAAATCCTTAGCGTAGAATGACGGACGCTGATTTTTAAAAATAGTCTTAGTTCTTGTTTTGACCAGGTAAAATAATTTCTTTGTTGTTAATTAAAATATAAAAACGGGTTCCTACAGGTTTCATGAAGTTAAATTCAACACTTTAAGACATTTTCAAGACTTCTTATATAAAAATTGAATACCTATTTTCACAGCCCTGTCAGCAAAAAAAAAAAAAAAAAAAAAAAAAAAAAAAAAAAAAAAAGAGTCCTTGAACTCGTGTTCATTTATTTATTTTTGGTTTTTATTATATTTTGCCTAAACACTCGGTAGAGAACAGCAGCAGAGCGGTTTGTGCTTTCACAGAAAGGGCAGCTAGGTAACAAAAACACAATTAAATATAACAGCATCAGTGGGGCTGGGTACCGCTGGATATTTCTTGATACTACTACTACTCGATACTTTTGTTGAAATCAATATGTTTCAATTTTAACTCATTCACTGCCAAATTTGCATATTTTTTACTGTGTGGGCGTCGGACGAGCCCCCGCACCGTGAGAACAAACATCTCAGCTCTAAAGCCGATCTTCATCCGCATATGTCACACGTCACGTAATCAGGAAGCAGAACATCCATGTGTTAGGAGATCGTTTTGGGCCGCTGCTGTAAAAAAAAAAAGTGAGGCACGAACCGGAAAAGCTTCTGCCGACCACAATTCAACAACGGATTATGAAAGAACGGATAACGCTCGAAACGCGCGGATTCTTCCTGATGTAAGAGTTGAGTCCCCTCTTTGTTTTGGTTGTTTTGGCGTCGACATCATCCAAGCGCGCAACGTTCTGTCACTCTTACAAAACAGTAAGAACGATGAGAAACGCTGACAGCGAATGAAGAAGAAAGAAAAGACCTTTTCTATAGCGCCTCTCATGATAAAAATCATGAGGCGCTTCACAAAAACAAAAAATGTAAAAATATAAAAAATTTAGAAAATGTTTAAAAATATATTTTAAATGAGCAAAAATAGACAATTGTGATTAAAAAAAATATTAAGAAAGAGAGTCAATAGGAAAGAGGGAAATCAGTGGGTCCTGAGGAAGGTGGAATAGGTGGGGAGAGCAGAATAAAGAGAGAGAGGTGAAGAAGGTCATACAAAAGCCAGCTTGAACAAGTGAGTCTTCAGCTGCTTTTTAAAGGAGACCACTGAGTCCACTGATCTCAGGCTCAGGGGGAGAGAGGTCCAGAGTCTGGGGGCCACAGCAGCAGATGATCTGTCACCTTTGACCTTTAGCCTGGTGCTGCACAACCAGTAGGCTTTGGTCACTGGACCTCAGGGACCTGCTGGGGGTGTAGGGACTAAGAAGATCACCAATGTAAGATGGTGCTTGTCCATGTAAGGCCCTATAGACCAGAACCAGGATCTTGAAATGAACCCTGAAATTGACTGGCAGCCAGTGAAGCTGGAGGAGAAGCGGGGTGATGTGGGTGTGTTTGGAGGACTTGGTCAGAAGCCGAGCACAGGCGTTCTGAACCACCTGTAGACGGTTCAGGGAGGTTCTGCTCAGACACGTGAAAAGAGAGTTACAGTAGTCTAAGCGTGAGGAGATGAAGGAGTGGAGAACTGTCTCAAGTTCAGAGCGGGACAGAATGGGACTCAGCTTAGCAACGTTCCTGAGATGGAAGAAGGAGGAGCGAACAAGATAACTGACATGAGAATCCAGGGTGAGAGCTGGGTCAAAGGTCACGCCAAGATTCCTGACAGAAGGTTTGGTGTGGGAAGCAAGCAGACCAAGAGAGTCTCTGACTTTGGGAACCAGCTTGTCTGGGGCACAGATGAGGATCTCAGTCTTATCTTCATTCAGCTGTAGAAAGCTCCCAGCCATCCAGGTTTTGATAGAGTCTAAGCAGGTGTGTAACAGCTGCAGCTTAGACATCTGTGTTAAGTCCTCTGAGTTAACAGAGGATAAACGATTAGACATTTCGCCTCTGATTGGCCAACAGCAACACGACTCTACCATTGACTGTTTCTTTTCCAATGTTGATGTTTTATCTCCATAATTATCACAAGCCTGAAGTTCTGTCATGTAGTGGAGTTGCTAATGCTAACAGTTAGCTTCCACTAGCCGTGACGTGCTCTGCTCTCCTGGAAGCTAAACCAACAACAACTTTCCCCGTCGCAAGCTAAGGCGGGTGCTAATGTGACAGTGTGATGTAGATCTGTGTGACTTCTCTAATCTCAGAGTTTCCTCGTCTATTTTTTATCAGCTGCTAATGCAGGAAATAGGGGTAGAAGACTATTTTCATATTTAGCCGTCATGTTCAACTCAGAGTGACCGATCACATTTGATAAATAACAAGTAAAAACTGTTCATCAGTGAACTTAGAAAACTTCCAAGTGAGGCCAATTCCACCGACGCTGAAGAAATAACATTATAATAAAAAATAACTGCACGTGAGACTCACTGGGCAACTTTCAGATCCTCAAACTGAGCGAGAATCTCCTCAAACTGGTCGGTACCACCTAAACAAAGACAAAAGATGCGCATTCAAAAATAACAACACAATAAAAAAACATGTAAATAACTGTTTTTCACACTAAAATGCAGCACAGATTTTATGTTTATACTTGTCAGGCTGATGCAATCATCAAACTTTGAGTGCGTTCACCTCGAACGTTGGCCCCTTGGTCAACACTCTCCACATAATCCCGACTCAGTTCTGACAGCTCAGAGAAAACTGAGTCTGTATTCCGGAGATCCCACTCCATGCTGTCATCTTCATCCACCTCCTTGTCCTCCTCCTGGTCCTTTTTCTCCACCTCCCCTTCCTTCTTCTCTTCCACTTTCAGCTCCTCCACCTTCTTCCGTTCCTCCTCCAAGCTGCTCTCCAGCTCTTTTAGAGGTGCATCAGTACTCGTTTTAATAGGAGTGCTGGTTGTAGATATATACATATAATATATTAGTGACTTACATGAAACTTAACGAGCAGTCACAGTGACACTAAACTGGTTTATGGCTCAGATTACCTCTCTTTTACATGGTCATGAAACTGAATCAGCTCAGGTGTGGAGCTGATGATGTCGGAGACAAACGCATCCACAGCACAGTTCTCATTAATATCGTTCACTTTTTCTTCCTTGATTGCAAGATCTTCAAAACGCGGAGGACCGGAATTGGAATGTGGTCGCTGAATATTCTGCAAACACAAAAAAGAAGACGACAAAAAAATCCTAATGTTTCATTGTTGAACATTAACGACATTAAGTGCAAATTTAGTCACCTTTTCGTTGAATTTGGATTCGGACGAGACTTGAGACCGAAAGTCGGCATTCCTGAAACGCACATGATTCCTAAATTAAAAACAAAGAGTTAAAGAGAATTAAAGAAAGTTTAGTCACAACTTTAATGGTAAAACAGTAAATGGCCTGTATTTTGATATAGCGCCTTCTAGAGTCCTGGCACCCCCCAAGGCGCTTTACAACACAATCAGCCATTCACCCATTCACACACACATTCACACGCTGGTTGGGATGAGCTACGATGTAGCCACAGCTGCCCTGGGGCGCACTGACAGACGAGGCTGCAGAGCGCCACCGGTCCCTCCGACCACCACCAGCAGGCACGTGGGTTAAGTGTCTTGCCCAAGGACACAACGACAGCAACAGACTGAGCGGGGCTCGAACCTACAACCTTCCGATTACGGGGCGAGAGCTTAACTCCTGTGCCACCGTCGCCCACTTGACAACAACAAAATCAGCATGCAAAACTATTATTTTTTGTTCTAAACTATTGCAAATAACCAAAAATAGGATAGTGTTCATGAAATGTGTCCCGAGTGTTTGCTGTAAAACACCGCCTGACCACAATGAGTCGCCACCTGGACTTAACCGAGCAGTCCGGTAAGAGCCTCCTATTGGATAACTACTGCATGGGTGATTATCTCTCAGCTGAAACAAGTCTTTCTTGAACAACCTTGTGGAAAGACACATCTGGTGGTCGTGGAAAAGATGTTAGCGTGTTTGAGAAGGGTCAGATCACTGGCAGGCATCAAGCGGAGAAAACATCAAGGTGATGCAGAAATGACTAAAACTGGGTTAAGAACTTTCCAACACTTTATTAAAAACTGGCCTGAGTCCAGGTGGATCCTGCTCCAGAGTGACGGTGCATCAGGGTAAGAAGAGAGGCAGATGAAGAGATGCACCCATCATGTCTAGTGCTTACTAAACAAGCCTGTGGGGGCAGTGCTATGATCTGGGCTTGCTGCAACAATGTCAGCGAATATGTGCCGTAATCAAAGCTAAAGTTGGTCCAACTAAATATTAGAGTGCATGACCCTTTTTTGGATGGCGGCATCTTCTTTGGCTGGGCGGTGTATATTTTAAAGGCTTTGCTCATTCTTCTGCACTTTTCACCCACATTTTGTATTCTGGAGACACCGACGTTCGATCCTTGTGCAGCTCTGATCTGCCAATGCTGATTTTGTCTAAAAGAACTAAAAATATCAGGATCCTTTTCTTTTAAAACTTCTGTTCAGGTTGAAAGACGTCCTTCTGCTAGTGCGGCAAATCACTTAACAAGTGTTGACAGTCTGGGAAAATAGCTGGATTTTTATATTTCTGCCGGGCATTCATGTGTTTAAGATTAATCACCAGTTAAAGCCACAAGCTAGGTGCCAACAACAGGTAGGAGACTTAAGATAAGGCCATGTATTTATGGTCGTTTGACAGAATCCATTGCATCCAGGCGGTGTTGACCTATTTTCTGCGACCATCAGATTCTGCGACTCTAGAGGGGACTCTTAAGGAAGGGGGTTGGATCTTAGCTTGCTTGAATAGCTTTTTCCACAAACATCTTCCTGTATGTCTGTGTCCTTTATGCAGTTTCTTTTTAGAAACTCAATTTTCCATTTTTATTTGTTATTCTAATTGCTGATGGTTACAATAGCCTTTGTGTATTCACCTGTATTATTTTGTCCTATTCTCTGAGGGTATGTGCTGCCTTAACAAGTGAATGTCCCCACTTTGGGATCAATAAATTCTTTTCTATTCTCCTCCTCGTCTTCCTCCGCTTATCCGGGTCCGGGTCGTGGGGGCAGCATCCCAACTAGGGAGCTCCAGACCGTCCTCTCCCCGGCCACCTCCACCAGCTCCTCCGGCAGGACTCCAAGGCGTTCCCGGACCAGATTGGAGATGTAACCTCTCCAACGTGTCCTGGGTCGACCCGGGGGCCTTCTGCCAGCAGGACATGCCCGAAACACCTCCCCAGGGAGGCGTCCAGGAGGCATCCTGACCAGATGCCCAAACCACCTCAACTGACTCCTTTCGATCCGGAGGAGCAGCGGTTCTACTCCGAGTCCCTCCCGAATGTCCGAGCTCCTCACCCTATCTCTAAGGCTGACCCGGCCATCCTACGGAGGAAACTCATTTCGGCCGCTTGTATCCGCGATCTCGTTCTTTCGGTCATTACCCAAAGCTCATGACCATAGGTGAGGATTGGGACGTAGATGGACCGGTAAATCGAGAGCCTGGATTTCTGGCTCAGCTCCCTCTTCCCCACGACAGATCGGCTCAGCGTCCGCATCGCTGCAGACGCCGAACCAATCCGCCTGTCGATCTCCCGATCCCTCCTACCCTCACTCGTGAACAAGACCCCGAAATACTTAAACTCCTCCACTTGAGGTAGGACTTCTCCCCTGACTCGGAGTTGGCAAGCCACCCTTTTCCACCATTCTATTCCATTTCATTCTATTCTATTCTATTCTATTCTATTCTATTCCATTCCATTCTAAAATCTTCATAAACAGGGAAAAGTCCAGTTGAAGTCCAGTCATAAAAATAGTGTAGCTTACAGAGCAAGTCACTCCCTACCAGATTCTTACTCAACTCCCACTTCCTGTTTGAAAAATGCAACAAAGGCTGTTGCCTAGCAGACTGAGAGGGCGGAGCTGCTAACAAATACACACACTCACAACATTGTGACATCATAATGTACCATCTAACATCAAAGTGTACCTCTTAGCCAATAGTGATGGCAGATTCAAATTCAAATGCAGTGCTAGGTTTTTACCTGACGACAGTTAAACACTGACAGTTTTAGGCAGAATATTTAAATTTTAACTAAGATGCACTAAAATACCGAATTATTGACAGCACATGTCTACAGCACGATCAGACACTGATTTATATAGTTTATCAGCAAAAAATATTGATTTGGAGTGACTTGCTCTTTAAGATCAACACCAGAATTTAGTTCTTGGAGCAGCTTTTGGTCGCGAGGTCATGTTAAAGCTGTGGACACTAAATTATTTAGAGCCTTCCTGTGTGTGACACTGCATGCAGAGTGAGAAATGAGTCGTAAATGAACAAGTGCTGTAAATCACCTTAAAAGAGACTCCCGTTCAGAGTCCTTCCTCTTCTCTAGAAGTTCCCGGTGTGAGTGGCTCAGCTGAAGGAGAGAACATCAACGGTAGGTTAAAAAACAAAGAAGTATAGATGCAGTGTTACCGTAGCTGCATCGATCCAAAGTTCTTATTCACTCAAATGTTAAAAATGAAAAGTTCCTGTACAAGACGGAGTATTACTCCATGTGTCGTTTCAAGCAGTGAGCCCCCGTAACAAAGAGACGTCCAAATGCATCATAACCAGATTCTTCACATGGCTCCTGATTTCAAATGTAAGAATATGGATTCCTTTTTTCAAAGATCTTCTTTCAGGTTGCCAGATAATCACCAATATTAACCTAAGCTAGTAGGCTTCCATTTTACCCGTCGATCTTCGTTCCCATCTTCACCGATAGTCATGAGCTTTGGGTAATAAGCAAAAGAGCAAGATCGTGAATAAAAGTGACCTAAAGGAGATTCCTCAGGGACTCGGCCATTTTAGGGAGAAGAGCTCAGACATTCCGAAGAGATTCTAAGTAGAGCGACCGCTCTTCCATGTTGAAAGGAGCCAGCTCAGGTGTTGGTCAGGATGTCTCCTGGAAGCCTCCCAATCCTGCCAGGAGGAGGCCCCCAGGTTATAAGCACCACATGGACAAGCACCATCATACATTGGTGATCTTCTAAGTCCCTACACCCCCAGCAGGTCCCTGAGGTCCAGTGATCAAAGCCTACTGGTTGTGCAGCACCAGGCTAAAGGTCAAAGGTGACAGATCATCTGCTGCTGTGGCCCCCAGACTCTGGACCTCTGTTCCCCTGAGCCTGAGATCAGTGGACTCAGTGGTCTCCTTTAAAAAGCAGCTGAAGACTCACCTGTTCAGGCTGGCTTTGGTGTGACCTTCATCGCCCTCTCCTTGTTCTGTTCTCCCCACCTATTCCACCTTCCTCAGGATCCACTGATTTCCCTCTTTCCTATTCACGCTCTCTCTTTCTTTACATTTTTAATCACAATTATTTATTTTTTGCTCATTTTAAATATATTTTTAATCATTTTCTAAATTCTTATTTACATTTTTTGTTTTCGTGAAGCGCCTCGTGATTTTTATCTTGAGAGACGCTTTAGAAAAGATCTTCTTCTTCTTCTTCCAGGAAAAGTAAGAGGGATTATGTCTCCATGTTGGCCTGGGAAGGGGAAAGAGCAGTTTGGGCCTCTCTGCTGGATCCCCAACACACACATCCTGGACTCAGAAAGGCAGGTGAAAACAAACGGATGGACGAACCAACCTTTCAAGCATAGCTCACATGAAGTCAAGACTGGGGTTTTGGAAAGTCTATCCCAACATAAGCCTCGTTTTTCCACTCCATAACCTGCTGTTATGTACATTCAGAGCATTTCAATGTTTTCAGCTGCTTCTGACACAAATTTCCTTCTTCAATATTAGCAGTTTTGCTCATTCTAACCCCTTTAATAAGTACCAAACTCGATCTTCATCTGATCTAAACCTGTTTGTGCACTCTTTGTCCACAAAGTCAACTGAAATCTTCGCTCAAACCTAAAGCCTTGATAGTGAGCTAAAACTTGAGCTTTATCATAGCAAGTTTTATTCAAGTGGTTTCTGGGTCGTTTCTGATCCACTAAATCAATTCTGTTCATTTTCAAACAGAGCTTTAAAAACAAATCCCATCACCGGAGGTCACCGGGGAAGGATGTGGGAACTCATTTGAGCAGCAGGTGTGAAATCACGGAGTTATTCATAGACTAGTTGGAGCTCCACGGACGTGTCTAACCTTGTTGTGAGTGTGCCTCAGTGTACTCAGCTCTCTACTCAGATTGGCTTTTTGCTCCTCCAAGGCCACCACTGTGAGAAAAACAAAGACGTGACATTAAAGAAAGACACTAAACAGACATCAACCTATATCAATAAAAACATTTATTTATTCTTCAGCGTCTTTTTACAGAATTTAGAGAAATGCTAAAAAGGAAAAAACGAACAAAAGACTGTAGGAATTAAAATAAATGAAGTGTGTAATGTAAAAAAAAAAAACTCACACTGATCAGCCTGTTCTCGGGCTTTCCTCTCCAGTTCTCTCTCTCTGCGTTCTCGCTCCTTCTCTCTCCCCTTAATGGCTCTCCGCTCTTGTTCGATTTGGTCATCCAACTCCAGATACCGCTAAAAGAAACCAGGACGGAACAGTTCAAGAACAGGGAATATAAATCTGTGATAAGGCCTAGTCCACACGTAGCCGGGTATTTTTAAACGAATATCCGCCCCTCCAAAAACTTGCATCCACACCACCTCGTTTTTAAAAAAAAACTCTGTCCACACGTACCTGGATAAATACGTTGTTAAGGACATGCCAGACCTGTAGGCGGCAGTACTTCTCCCGTTCTTAACCTCGTCCTTCGTCTGTGGTCTTCCGCAAGGAGCAGTAATTCCGCTTTCAAAAACAAACAAGCAAAAAGCGCTTGGACAATTGATAAAGCGAGCGCAGCTCTGAGGGCTTCCATGATGTCGGCTAGTGTAAACACAGGTCGCACACGTGATGTCAGCATTTTTTGTCGCGGAAAGTGACGTTGCAGACCTTAAAATCCGGTTTTGTCTGTCCACACGCAGACACCCAAAACGGAGAAAACGCAGATCTTCACTTTGGCCGGAGTTTTTAAAAAGATCCGTTTTCGTGTAAAAAAAAAAAACGTTTTCCTGTGGATGACAGGCCAAAACGTAGAAAAATATCTACGTTTTGGCAGATCCCCGGCTACGTGTGGACAGGGCCTAAATCTTAGCATTTCACTGAAATCAGAACCTCTCCAGAAGCTGTTCTCGCTCAGCTTTCTTGCTTTCAGCCTCCTCTTCGTTTTCCCTCAGCTGGAATTTGTATTTGTCATTACCTCTCCCTGGGCTGCCACCTTACTATGGTGGAGGGGTTTGAGTGTCTCAATGATCCTAGGAGCTAAGGTGTCTGAGGCTTTCTGCCTCTGGTAGGGTCACCCATGGCAAACGGGTCCTAGGTGAGGGATCAGACAAAGAGCAGCCCGAAGACCTCTTATGATGAATAATATAAATAGAAACCGTGTTCCCTCGCCAGGACGTGTGTCACCGGGGCCCCCCTCTGGAGCCAGGCCTGGAGGTGGGGCACGTTGGCGAGCGCCTGGTGGTTGGGCTTTCACCCATGGAGCCCGGCCGGGCACAGCCCGAAGAGGAAACGTGGGTCCCCCTTCCCATGGGCTCACCACTCGTGGGAGGGGCCAAAGGGGTCGGGTGCAGTGTGTGACGGGTGGTAGTCGAGGGCGGGGACCTTGGCGGTCTGATCCACGGCTACAGAAGCTGGCTCTTGGCACACGGAATGTCACCTCTCTGGTGGGGAAGGAGCCTGAGTTGGTGTGTGAGGTTGAGAGGTTCCGACTAGATATAGTCGGACTCACCTCAATGCATGGCTCTGGAACCAGTTTCCTTGAGAGGGGTTGGACTTTCTACCACTCTGGAGTTGCTCCCACTGAGAGGCACCGAGCAGGGGTGGGCATACTAGTTGCCCCCCATCTTGGCGCCTGTAAGTTGGGGTTTACCCCAGTGGATGAGAGGGTAGCCTCCCTCCGCCTACGTGTGGGGGGACGGGTTCTGACTGTGGTCTGTGCTTATGCGCCAAACTACAGTTCAGACTACCCACCCTTTCTGGAGACCTTGGAGGGGGTGCTGGAGAGCGCTCCTTCCGGTGACTCCCTCGTTCTGCTGGGGGACTTTAACGCTCATGTGGGCAACCACAGTGAAACCTGGAGAGGTGTGGTTGGGAGGAACGGCCCTCCTGATCTGAATTCGAGTGTTTTGTTATTGGACTTTCTGTGCCAGTCATGGATTGTCCATAATGAACACCATGTTCAGACATAAAGGTGTCCATATGTGCTCTTGGCACCAGGATACCTTAGGCCGCAGATCAATGATCGACTTTGTTGTTGTTTCATCTGACCTGCGGCCGCATGTCTTGGACACTCGGGTGAAGAGAGGGGCGGAGCTGTCAACTGACCACTACCTGGTGGTGAGTGGGCTCAGATGGTGGGGGAGGATGCCGATCAGACCTGGCAGGCCCAAACGTATCGCGAGGGTCTGCTGGGAATGTCTGGCAAAGTCTCCTGTCAGATGGAGCTTCAATTCCCACCTCCGATAGAACTTCCAAAATGTTCCGGGGGAGGCGGGGGACATTCACCCCGGCTTTCCACAGCAGCCGTCAGCAGCACGTTACTGCAGCAGCACGTCATAGCTGCTGATAGGAACCGCTGTGGTCAACAGAACCTTTTCCACTGGAGCCGTCAGCAGCGCGAGTCGGCCGCGTCTCAGGAGCAGCATGTCGCGGCCTTTACGCGCCGGTTCTATTTCCTACGCGCGACGCCTCTGAAACGGGTCAAGTTCGACATTTTTGGGGAAGGAAAGACAGGAAATCGGACACGGAAATGGAGAGAAGCTCCCGAGATTTTCAGAATAAAGAACGTACTGCCTTCCGGTTGCTTTACTTTAAAAAAGGTTACTAACTGTGCGGCCCCGTGAGAAGTTATCACCTAGCTAGCGGTCTCCTTTGTTTTTCAGGTCCGTATTGGCGATTATAAAACGGACAGAACATAAAACACAAACATTTTGGAGCCATGTTGTAGTTTTCTCCTGCTTGTTGTTGTGTTTACTGACGAAGTCACTCGTGTGACTTCGTGCTCTGTCGGTGACAGCTGCTCCCCTGCTGATTCGCGTCTCGTGGGAAGGGCCAAGCAGCAGCTTACGCGAGCAAGACGTGCTGCTGCAGTAACGTGCTGCTGACGGCTCCCGTGGAAACCCGGGGTGAGTCTGAATGGACCCTGTTCTGTGCCTCCATTGTTGAGGCGGCCGACCGGAGCTGTGGTCGCAGGATCGTCGATGCCTGTCGTGGTGGCAACCACTGAACCCGCTGGTGGACACCGGCAGTTAGGGATGCTGTCAAGCTGAAGAAAGAGTCCTATCAGGTCTTTTTGTCCTGTGGGACTCCAGACGCAGCTGACGGGTACCGGCAGTCCAAGCGGAAAGCGGCTCGGGTGATCGCCAAGGCAAAAACCCGGGCAAGGAGGAGTTCGGTGAGACCATGGAGCAAGACTTCCGTACGGCTTCGAGGAGTGTGCTATCAACACTATCTATAGTGGGGACGGTGTGCTGCTGACCTCTACTCAGGACATTGTGGATCGGTGGGCAGAATACGTCGAAGACCTCCTCAATCCCACCGACACGTCTTCCAGTGAGGAAGCAGAGTCTGGGGACTTTGGGTTGGCCTCTCAAATCTCTGGTGCTGAGGTCACTGAGGTGGTTAAAAAGCTCCTCTGTGGCAAGGCTCCAGGGGTGGATGAGATCCGCCCGGTGTTCCTTAAGGCTCTGGATGTTGTGGGGCTGTGTTGGCTGACGCAGCTCTGCAATACCGCATGGACATTGGGGACAGTCCCACTAGACTGGCAGACCGGGGTGGTGGTCCCCTTATTTAAAAAGGGGGACCGCAGGGTGTGTTCCAACTACAGGGGGGATCACACTCCTGAGCCTTCCTGGTAAGATCTATTCAGGGTTTCTGGAGAGGAGGGTCCATCGGATTGTTGAACCTCAGATTCAGGAGGAGCAATGTGGTTTTCGTCCTGGCCGTGGAACACTGGACCAGCTCTATACCCTTAGGGGGATCCTGGAGGGTGCGTGGGAATTTGCCCAACCAGTCTACATGAGTTTTGTGGATTTGGAGAAGGCGTTTGACCGCGTCCCTCGGGGGGGCCCTGTGGGGGGTACTCCGGGAGTATGGGGTACCAGGCCCTCTGATACGGGCTGTTAGGTCCCTGTATGACCGGTGTCAGAGCTTGGTCCGCATTGCCGGCAGTAAGTCGGACTCGTTCCCAGTGAGAGTTGGACTCTGCCAAGGCTGCCCTTTGTCACAGATTCTGTTCATAACCTTTATGGACAGGATTTCTAGGTGGAGCCAAGGTGTGCAGGGCATCCGTTTTGGTGGCCTGAGGACCTGCTTTTTGCAGATGTGGTCCTGTTGGCTTCATAAGAACGTGATCTTCAGCTTTCGCTGGAACGGTTTGCAGCCGAGTGTGAAACAGCTGGGATGAGAATCAGCTCCTCTAAATCTGAGACCATGGTCTTGATTCGGAAAAGGGTAGAATGCCTTCTCCGGGTCAGGGATGAGGTCCTGCCCCAAGTGGAGGAGTTTACGTATCTCTGGGTCTTGTTCTCGAGTGAGGGAAAACTGGAGCGTGAGGTCGATAGGCGGATTGGTGCTGCATCTGCAGTGATGCGGGCGTTGTACCGGTCTGTCGTGGTGAAGAGAGAGCTGAGTCAGAAGGCGAAGCTCTCGATTTACCGGTCGATCTACTTTCATACCCTCACCTATGGTCATGAGCTTTGGGTAGTGACCAAAAGAACGAGATTGCGGATACAAGCGGCCAAAATGAGTTTTCTCCGAAGAGTGGCTGGGCTCTCCCTTAGAGATAGGGTGAGAAGCTCGGTAGCTCGGCCATTCGGGAGGGGCTCGAAGTAGACCAGCTGCTCCTCCACATCGAGAGGAGCCAGTTGAGGTGGCTCGGGCATCTGGTCAGGATGCCTTCTGGACGCCTCCCTGGTGAGGCTTTCCGGGCACGTCCAACCGGGAGGAGACCTAAAGGTAGACCCAGGACACGGTGGAGGGACTATGTCTCTCACCTGGCCAGGGAACGCCTTGGGATTCCCCCGGAGGAGCTGGCCCAAGTGGCTGGGGAGAGGGAAGTCTGGGCCTTAGGCTACTGCCCCCGCAACCAGACTCCGGATAAGTGGATGAAAATGGAAGGATGAATGGAACAGTTCAAGAAAAGGGAATATAAACCTGTGATATAAATCTTAGCATTTCACTGGAATCAGAACCTCTTGACTTTCTTTCCGGAGAGCTTTCTCTGCTTGGTATCTCTCCAGCAGCTGTTCTCGCTCAGCTTTCTCGCTTTCAGCCTCCTCTTCTTTTTCTCTCAGCTGGAATTTGCAGGAGGCCAGGCCCTCCAGGACCCACACCAACGTGGGCACCAGGGACTCCACCACTCCTTCACCGTGGGTCTCAACAACAGTCTTTAGCAGGATCAAGCAGCACAAGGAGAACAGGGATTTTTAAACCAAATGTGAATTAAATTTTCATTCTTATTGCCTAAGAACACACAAAAATGCATAAAAGCATACCTGCAGCTCTGAATACAGTTTTCCTGCCTCCTCACTGACGATATTGGGATCCAGCTCCAGCTCTCCCGTGCCACACAGAATTTTCTCACTGCACTCCATCTCCAGATTATTTTAAATCCCTACACTCACCTGTCAAAAACTGACCCAAATTCAAAAAAAAAAAAAAAAAAAAAAAAAAAAAATCACTATACTGTCCCACAAACTAAAACAACTAGTTCAGCTGGCTCACTCACATTTCTACCAACACAAGCACCACCCATTTTTAGCTGACAAGCATCTTCAGGAGGGGGTTTAAAGCACATTCTGAAAATAAATACAATAATGCATCATAATCAAGGTTTAAAAGTTTAAAAGACACAAATAATCTCAATCCTGAAACTCACATGAGTCGTTTTACATTGAGAAGATTAAAAAAATGATTTTTTTTTGTTCAAGCTTAAAACCAATACAAAGACATGATGTTATTAATACTAAACCACACATGCATGACTGAAGGGACTTTCACTTAAACCAAAAAATAAAAAGCACAAAGATTTCAAAAGACTTAGTTTTAGGAGTAGGATAAAAATTGGATGATAATTGAAAACAATTAGCAGACAGAAATAATGCTATTTTTGGCCTCTCTTCTACAGCATTTCATTATTTAGTCTATGGAACAACAATCTCATTGCAGTTTCCCCAGAAATGATTAGCTGTGTGAATTACTGCAATTATTTTACAACAAGTCATAAACTACAACATTTACTCAATAAAAGTACATGGATAATGTAATAATATTATAAAATTAGCCATTAGGCACTGATATTAATCTTGCAGAATAGTTTAAAAATAACACTTCAACAGACTAACTTTAAATACAATCCTAACACGTCAGCAACTGGTTGTATTTATCGGCGGTTAGCCTTGTTGTTAGCTTAAAAGTGCAGTAACAATGTCACACATCAGCTGGTGTTCTGTATAAATAAGTAACCAGACTGACAGTGGACACCTTGACTCTTGAAGACCGTAGAAACACTCAGCAAGATTACAAAGTTGCGACTGTAAGCCAAAATATACAGGTAGTGTCGCTTCGCTGTTCCGCTAAGTTCATCAAACTCACCTCCACGACTGTCTCCAGGGTGACTTTCATTTGACTACTGAACAATCCCAAAATTTCGGTCTATTTTCCCTCCGCGACGATATTAATTACTCCGAAGAAGGGATTGCTGTTTCATTATTGACGTGCGCATACATGTTTCAGTGTGTCCAACCAGAAGCTTGTATTTGTTGCCTTTGACCAATAGGATCACAGAAGAGGCGGGACTTGTGCAGTTTTGTTTTCAGAAGGGAAAAAAAGGTTTCCTGAAACTTGAACGGTGACACGTGACTAAGGAGGTGGCTGTCAGGTGATCAGTAAACCCTTTTACAAAGCCATACCTGTTGAAATACCATAAAATTAGCAAGTCTGTTCTTCTTGCGACAATGATTACAGCAGCATCTTAAACTTGACTCGCGTTTAAGTCGTGCTGGTGATGTTTATTTCAGTTGAAGATGAATCACACGAAAGGGAGCGACAGTTAGAGACGTGTGCAAATGTGTATAAAATCTGCATACTCGAAAATGTTCCAGAAAATCTGCTTATTTAGTTTAATTAAGTGTATCAGTTTCATAGTCGTTCTTTTTTTTATTGTACATAATGTTGAAGAATTTCATAGGATGGATTTCCTTTTTCTTCCAGTAGATGGAGACTCCAGCGCGTGTTTTCATGTGTTTTTCTGCCTTTCTCGTGATAGAAATGAGAACGAGCTTCATAGAAATAAATTTTATCTTTAGAGTTTTGTTTCGTTCTGTGTTAAATCCCATGTAAGATAACTCAAATGGTTGTTTTGTTCACTATTGATAAATATAGTTCAAGAAAACAGGATACAGGAAATAAAATATCCCACCACTACAGTAGTTATCAAATACAGCACTTGAATGTTTGTAATTGGCCTAGGGCAGTAATTCCCAACATGGGGTCCCCCAAAGATTCCAGGGGCCCCCAAAATTTTGTCTGTCCCGATGTTGTAAAGTTACCAAGATTGCATTTGTAGATATGACATTTATAAAAATCTCAATAACACACCCAATAGCATAATCAAAACTCTGTATAAGAGTCATAACTCTGTGTGTCTGTACAGCTAAGTGTGAAGCAGCTGTGATGAGAATCAGCTCCTCTAAATCTGAGATTATGGTCTTGAGTTGGAAAAGGGTGGAATGCCTTCTCCGGGTCAGGGATGAGGTCCTGCCCAAGTGGAGGAGTTTAAGTATCTATGGGTCTTGATCACGAGTGATGGAAAGATGGAATGTGAGATCAACAGGCGGATTGGTGCTGCGTCTGCAGTGATGTGGGAGTATCGATCTGTTGTAGTGAATAGAGAGCTCAGCTGGAAGGCAAAGCTCTCGATTTACCGGTTGATCTACGTTCCTACCCTAACCCATGATCACGAGCTTTGGGTAGTGACCAAAAGAATGAGATCGTGGAAAAAAGCGGCCAAAATGAGTTTTCTCCGCAGGGTGGCTGGGCTCTCCCTTAGAGATACGTGAGAAGCCCGGTTATCCAGGAGGGGCTCGTAGTAGACTTGCTGCTCCACCACATCGAGAGGAGTCAGGTGAGGTGGCTCGGGTATCTGGTTAGGATGCTTCCAGGCCGCCTCCCTGGGGATGTTTCCCGGGTACGTCCAACCGGGAGAAGACCGAAAGGAAGACCCAGGACACGCTGGAGGGACTATGTCTCACTGGCCAGGGAATGCCTTGGGATTCCCCTGAAGGAGCTGGCCCAAGTGGATGAGGAGAGGAATGTCAATTGGCCTCCCTGCTTAGGCTGCGGCCGATCCCGGATGACCGGCCGAAAAAGGATGGAGGGTGTCTGTATAAAGTTTGTAATAATCACTTTTAATGAGCGTATGTGGGTACAAGTTAGGATTAGGGGGTTCCTTGGCTTGTCCTTGACACAGTCAAGAGGGTCCTCAAGGAGAAAAGGCTAGGAACCGCTGGTCTAGGGAACGGACTGCTTTTATCAGTTTCAAAGTGATAACAGGCTAACAAACTAAATGAATGTGATGTAATGTTTTTATTCCCAGATTTTGATAAACAATATTAGAGAAATTTTGACCAGACAGTACAAAACAATAATATGAATGAATGAATGTTTATTTCAGTACACATTTCCCAACCTGGGGTTCGTGACCCCCCAAGGGGTTTACACATTTTACACACGTGTGCATTTACAGCAGGGGTTTCAAATCGAAATAGACCAAAGCTAGTGCTGGTTCATGCCCCTCCCAGATTAGGCCTACCTGCAGGCATCAACACAATCAATGAAGAGCATTTAAAGTAAATGATTCAGGATGTTGTAAACTAATCAAAGCTAGGTTCTTGATAGTATTACAAAATTAGCATGAGAATGACATAATTTTGTGCTATGATACATGACAAAGTAAGTTCTTTAAAGCAATTTTATGCAACAAAGTTAGTATTAAAAAATAAAATTATCACACAAAATAAATGTAATGAAGATATAAAAGGCAGAAGTTGCAGACTATGAGGTTAACTATATGGATAAATAATCAAATTTAAAAGGAAAATATGCCAAAAAAGAGAATATAAATATAATATATTAATAATATTGATTTAATATAGACTACAAGCTTATATGCTGACTTAATAGCAGCATCTGGTGAGGTTTGTTTAATCCAACATTTTTTCTGACTATTGAACAGTAGCTAGTTTATTTATTTATTTTATTAAAGACCAAGTTCACTGAGAAACTGTTTTTCACTTGTTATTTTTGAAGTATACGAAAGTCACTCTGAGTTTCACATGCAGGCTTCTTATGAAATAAACATAAGAAATATTTTGTAGCTTAAAATCTCTATCATCATTTTAGCTGAGTAAAAAAGTACACAAGATGTCGTAGAAATGTAAAAAGGCGCGTTGTAGAGATGTAGAACACAGCTTGTGAATTCATAGCCTGAAAGAACACATTTCCCTAAAATAACAAACGCTAAATAGTTAAGACAAAAGAAGAAACAGGAGTTTTTGGGTGCCGCTGATAAGGAGTGAGAATGTTTTGAACAGGAAAGAGGGCCCCCCTCTGGACGGTTTAGTACATAATCATTTTATCTCAGTCTTCTTTTATACTGTGACTTTTTTAATCACTTCTTCACCCTCCACAAGAACTTGTTTGCCATCCTGTCTTTCCTCTCGTATAATCATTCTCTTCTTCTTCGTCAGGACGTGAAACAATGCTGTGCTGGCCACCATCACAAAGCTGAAGGCCAGAATCACAAACCCAAGTCCCAGTAGATGAGAGACTCCTGCCTGCAGCTGACTCAACTGGTCCCACAGCCCCACGGCCACACAGCTGAAACCAATCAGCGCCCCCCAAAATGCAAAGGCCATCATGCAGGATCGACAGGAGAGCTCCACACCCCCAGTCACCACGGTGATGCCTACCACCGAGACAACTCCTTTAGGTAGGGTCACCGTCTCTGGTGTGCACTGGAAGGAGACGGTCGAGGGGACATCTGTTAAAGCTGAAGGATCAAGGGTTTCCATCGTGGCTGTCATGGTTGGTTTTTATCACTCGCTATAGGCCCCCTTAATCTCCACGTCGTCGTTGACTCCTACAACACAACCAATAGCTCTATTTAGGAAAAAAAAATACTTATATATATATATATATATATATATATATATATATATATATATATATATATATATATATAAATATATATATATATACATATACATACACACACAATGTATGTATATATATATACTTATATATATGTATATATAAATATATATATATATTATATTATACATATATATATTTATATATACATATATATACATATATACTTATATATACATAGATATACAAATATGTGTGTGTGTGTATATATATATATATATATATATATATATATATATATATATATATATATATATATATATATATATATATACTTATATATATATGTATATATATATATATATTATATAATAGATATATATACATATATATATTTATATATACATATATATGTATATGTATATATGTATACATATACATATATATATATATATATATATATATATATATATATATATATATATATATATATATACATACATACATACAAACATACATACATTATGTGTGTGTGTGTGTGTGTGTATGTATATATGTACATATATACATACACACACACACATAATGTATGTATGTTTGTATGTATGTATGTATATATATATATATATATATATATATATATATATATATATATATATATATATATACATACATACATACAAACATACATACATTATGTGTGTGTGTGTGTGTGTGTATGTATATATGTACATATATACATACATTATATATATATCCTGGGTGAAGGTCTCATACATATATATATATATATATATATATACATACATACATACATACATACATTATGTGTGAGCGTGTGTGTATGTATGTATATATGTACATATATACATACATTATATATATATCCTGGGTGAAGGTCTCATATATATATATATATATATATATATATATATATATATATATATACACATAAATGAGACCTTCACCCTGCATATATATATTTAATTTCCATGAAAATTGAAAAGTAATTTAAAGTAAAAGCATATTTTCTCTCATACTATATAACATTTAATCAGTAAATGCAATAAATACAAGTTTGATTTTAAAGAAGAAACATTGTCATACCAAAAATAAACAAACCAAAAAGAAGCACTACATACCTCAGTGTTGGGTCAGGAATACTCCAGGGCGAAGGTCTCATTTATATTTACCAGAAAAACTGCCAAATGTTGCTGCCGACCTTCTCCCTGGACAGTAGCTGTAGAAATGGGGGCTGATTCCCAGATTCCTCTAAAATACTCGAGACCTGGCAAAATGGCAGACAAAATTATCAAGATTAGTTTGTTTGTTCCCCTCTTTTTCCTTGTGTTTAGTAGGAAGCTCTTGTCTGTCATTACGCGTCATTACAGCCCATTAACAGATATTTATCTAGAAACAACTCCCTTCCTCTTTTTCTTTAGCTTTCAGCTCAGGATCAGAGTTGTGTCTAACCAGCCCATTGTATTGGTTAAGCACACATTTTCCCTTTCCCAGAGTATTGTCCGCTCCCGCGTTCACATTTAACTCATGCTGAAGGTAGCGAGGTGCAGGTTTATTCCCAATGTGGTGCTCAAATCTTGTTTCTGACACATAAAGGTGAGGAAACTTGATATGATTGGGATTTACTTTCCTTGAGCTCACGTAAACGTACGTGGCTGGTTTGTTTTGATACTCTGAGTTTGGCGGATTCATGATATACATGTCGCTCGTGACATTCTACTGTTGATACTTAAGAGCAGGTGAAGCTAGGGACGGTCCATTAATAGGGTATAATCCTGCACAGCCAATACGGTTGTTGCCATGAGCCAAATTGTAGATCTTCTTAGGTGTGCTTCGATTAACGTGCACTCCTGAAAACCTTACACGATTTACATCCATTAGAAGAAGCGTAAATAAATGTTTGTAAATCAGATTTATTAAATTCAGTTATCTTTATTGTCATTGCAGTGTGGTTTGTGGATGGGAATAAAGGAAATACATAAAAGAAAAACTAAAATAAAGACAAAAATAAAACCCTAGCCAAAAATCCTGACTCCTAAAATGACCTCAACCCGAACCCTACGCCTAACGATTTGGTTCTTGCGAGAGATTGAAGAAAATAAATGAAAGGATAAGCAAAAATCACTCATACACTCTAACCCTGTCCCAGGACTAGTCACGTTCGGGCCTCGAGTGCCGGTATCCAGCACGTTTTAGTGGTTTCTCTGCTCCAACACACTTGAATCAGTGGTTGAGTCACCTGTGCAGCGGCTCATCAGGCTCTGCAGAAGCCTGTTAATCACCTCCTGATTGAAATCAGGTGTGTTGAAGCCCTCGAGGACTGGAATTGAATAGCCCTGCCCTAGCCCTAACCCTAACCTCTAAATAATGCTAACCCCAACTTTAACACACCTAACCCTAAAATGTGCGCAAGGGAATAAAGCAAATAAATGATACAAAAGCACAAAAAAGGTCAAAAACACGTTGCTTGGTGTGTGTGTGTGTGTGTGTGTGTGTGTGTGTGTGTGTGTGTGTGTGTGTGAGAGAGTCGTGGAGGATGGCTGCTTATACTGAGCCAGGATTCTCTGAAGGTTTCTTCCTGTTAAAAGGGAGTTTTCCTCTCCACTGTCGCTATATGCTTGCTTAGTATGAGGATTGCTGTATAGTCACCGACACTAGTCAGTGACTTGATGCATTTTGCTGGGTTCCTTATATAGGAAACATTTTTTCTGATTGGCTTAATGAACTGACCTGAATTGGAATGATTATTATGCGAAGTGCCTCGAGACGACTCTTGTCGTGATTTGGCGCTTTATAAATAAACTTGAATTGAATTGAATTGAAAAATCAAACATACATGCACACATCTGAGTAAATGTTGCATCAGTTTCTTCAAGAAATAACATTTTCCTAGTTTTGATAGTACAGTTTCTGGAACAATTAAATAATTCACAGGTAAATGGAATGCTTTAAAGGGGACATCACATCCTCACTTCTTCCAGCGCTGGTTAATATTCCATGCGAGGGTACTGGTCACATGTTTAGGCCTGATCAGTGGAGAGAAGGGGGTAATTCTTGGGGCCGTCTGACTTACAGGATGATGGTAATTGGCTAAATGTCGAGGGCAGAACAGGAGTAATCCAATAGATGTTCTCAGTGGGCATATTTATGGAGCTAACCTATCCTTCAAATACAAAAACAAAGAAAGAACTCACTACTGTGTTTCCATCCTTTGTTTTTACTGCTATTGGGTTTTTCCGATTTAATTCAGGTTCAAATTAAAGAGACTTCTGGAGTAAATGTGGTGAACAGAATCTGCCCTCATGTTGCCGAGATTTAGGATGAAGTGGCGCACTCAGAGGAACGCATTTAAACAGAACTGATGACTGAAAATCCAAGTTGGAGACGGGAGAGTTTACTTAAGGCAGCGCGGTTGGACCCGGCTGGACGGGAGGGAGGTCACGCACGGACAGGAGCCGCTGTGACGATAACTCGAGAGGCGTGGGTGGGATTGGGCGTAAAGATGAGCCGCTGAGTTTAACTAGCTGGACAGATGGTGGTCCGGAATTAGACACCAGTTGACTCAACAATAGCTTACGTAATGCTGGAGAACTTAAAGTGAGTTTTTTATATTGATTTAGCCTGAAAATGAATCCAAAATGAATTTTCTGCTTCATGAAGGGAATGCAGAGGACTTGTTTGGGACTTTTGTGCATGATTTTGGATTTATTTTGTGTTACAAAGTGAAAATCTGATTCAATGGTTCTAATATTTGGGATTTCTCACACTCATACATCTTTTCAAAATAAAAAGAAAGCAAATAGTCGTTTTAAAAATATTGTTTCGGTAGATCAGCAAGATTTTATAAAGTTTGACGCAGAAGAGTGATCATCTGGATTTGATGGATGTAACGTCTGCAGAATGTGGTTGGAAATTATACTTTTCAGGGAAAGTGTTTGTATGAAAGCAGAAACTTCTTCCAGTAAAATGAAAATAAAACAAGAGTGGGACGAATAACTCCAGCTTTAATGCAGCTCTGCATCAGCTTAGTGGTAAACTGGTTTAGCTTCTGTTTCTTACACGTCTTCGTCTCTACTTTGAGAAAGACGTCGTACTTCTTGAAGCTATAACACTTTTGAGTTCGTGCACTGGAGCGAATACTGAAAAGCACGAGATCGCTGCCATTCAAGCATGAACGTAATTTTCACTTTAGAGGTGGTGGGGACACGGGGTGTGTGTGTGTGTGTGTGTGTGTGTGTGTGTGTGGTATCTTTACAGTATGTTCTAATGGGAAACAGACTTAAGCTTGGTTTATGCTTGACGTGTTTACTTTCCGCTTGGTGATGCGGCTCGCGGCTGGAACGCGCTTCACAACTTGCAGCGTTTATGGTTCATGCAGCTTGTCTCTGCGGTGAGCCAATATTCTCCCAAACTGTAGGGGGCAGCATGGAGCTCTACGGCATGCATCCAACACTACACCATAGTAGAAGTAGAAATTACTGTTGTGTACAACACGACATTCCAGCATTTTTTAATAGCGTCCTCGTCTCTTCCGACAGTGCGAGTCTATTTCTCTCCAAGAATTATTAACATGTTGATCTCTGAGAGCTGAATCATACAAATGTCTGTATTTACGAACCTCTGCCATACTAGTTCTTGCCGGTCCGCCATGTTTTTCCTCGTCCGACCGTCCACGTGGTTAGAAAATTTCCTAGGTGCGCGGTGCGGAAATTTTGGGCCGTGCGGAGGCGCGGTGGAGAGGCGTGGTTGTTAAAATGACGCAATTTTTCTGCACGGAGCCGTGCGAACCTCGCGGGCGCGTCAAGCATAAACCAACCTTTATACACAAACGGTTGTTTTCCACTTGGTCCTAGAGCTCAACCAGTGTCAATTTAATATAAAGTAATATTGTTTTTGGATGGTAAAAAGTGCAGGGGTCAAAACTTGACTTTGGAAAAAAAATTACGTCCATGCATTCAAGTGTTGGTTTTTGGGCTCGTCTCCTGTGTTTCTCCTCCTTCTCTAAATCTTTTAACGATACAAGTACTACAGCCAATGAAACCTCCAAAGTCTTAGAAACTTTACCCCGAAACAAAAACTACTGGGCGATTTAGTAACACAACATTACCTGACAGTGAGTTACTACGGATAACTTCTTAGATCCTTCTAGATTTCCAGACCGAACAGAGAAAATGAGGATACTAGGTTCATTTCAGTCTAACACTCATCCACCTTAAATCCCGCATTAACAGAATTAACCCAGTCACCTCCACTAGGAGTGTTTCCCATTACCCTCTTTATCTCTCGGTGTCTGACAGCTGAGACAAACACTCAGTTCTGCAGCCGTTACCTGCTCACACACCGCTCAGGTAAGAACTCCTCCTCCGTCAACGCCGGGATGCTTTTTGGGACATCTTTTGAATTACGTGTAGTTTAACATTAACACCTGCATCTTTCAGCTTCCGTTTATCCTTTCATACAAAAAGAAAAAGGTCAAGCCTGTGATCGAAACAGAATTCGGACGACGATAGTTAACTCACAAGAGAAGGAGGAGGACTCGGACCTGAAGGGTTACCAAGAGCAAATAAGCAGCTGCCATGGGAAATGCCACCAGCAGCGCATTATCCAAGGAGATCCTGGAGGACCTGAAGCTCAGCACCAAATTCTCCGAGACAGAGATCTGCCAGTGGTACGAGAACTTTCAGAAGCAGTGTCCCACGGGACGCATCACGCCGGAAGAGTTCGAGGAGATCTACTCCCGCTTCTTCCCCGAGACCGACGCCAAGAGCTACGCAAGGCACGTATTCCGCTCTTTTGACACCAACGACGATGGCACGTTGGACTTCAAGGAGTACATCATAGCCCTACACATGACCTCCAGCGGGAAGACAACCAGGAAGCTGGAGTGGGCCTTCTCTCTGTTCGACGTGGACAAGAACGGATACATCAACAAGTCGGAAGTGAAGGAAATCTGCCAGGTGAGGGCGGTTTACGAGGCGGTGGGGTAAAAAAGAAGTCAGGAAATGTGTAAATAAAGTCTAACGTCTTCAGGCTTTGTCGTTTTTCTGCATTTATGTGGTTTTTACTTTGTCCTGCTTTGTTTTTAAGTGCCTTGTTGTTGTTTTGTGCAAACTGTCAATCCTCCACATGTTATGTAGGTCCCAGTTGTGATTGTCAGTCCAATTAGCTGCTCGACGTGACCTCCTGATAATCTCTGTGATTAAAGGTTTAGCTGTCAGAGAGTATAGGCACTTCTGCTCTTTAGAAAGTTGTTTTTCAACAGATTATCCACCATCCTGAGTCCACTCCACGAGTCCTGCTTGAAGAGTACGCTCCACCATGATGAACTCAAGCCCTTGTTTCAATACAGCTGGTGTCACTGAGGGTCCAGAGGGCCCTGCTTTCTGTTTTAAGACAAATGAAAAAGGTTTCTAAGAGGTTTAGAAAGATCAGCCGAGAATCCAGCTTGTATTGTAATGGGATTATTTCCTGGCCAACTGGCCCGAGTCCAGTGTGTTTACACTCACAGCATTTTAAAGAACTGACGGCTCCTAATCAGGCGTCAGCTTTAACCAACCTTCAAATAAAATATTAAATTAGTCCTTTAAACACTGTATTATGCTATTTTCTAGCACGTATAAACCTTATGATGAAGAAAAATACAAAATGTTGTTAGATTATAGCTGATTTAAATATTCTACATGTAGAATTGAAGTCTCTCTACTGTCCACTCCTTGTCCCCTACTCTCCATGACTGATGTCAATGTTGTTGTTGTTATTGTTGTTGTTAGCCTCAAGGGCAATACGCCGATTATCACTTGTAAGTCGCTTTGGACAAAAGCGTCTGCTAAATACATAAACATAAACATCATAAACTCAAAATGATTGAGTAGAATTAAAAAGTCTGGCTTCCCTCGAGTCCGAGCGGCTGCTTGGCACCGCTTTATTTCATGCTTATACGTGCCGGCGTCCTCGCTGCTTGCTATCAAGGTGTGGATAACAAGATTATCTATAGGTGACCACGTCTCGCTGTTTGAACCCAGCAGGCTGTAAGACCAAAGGGCAGTCCATTAAAAAAAGAGCTGGCATCTCGGCTTTTGGCCTGTGGCTTGAGTCATGGCACTAATCCATGTTAATCTAGGTGTCTTAAAAGTGGGAGATGAGAGCGTCCTCTCTAAGTGGGACAGGCTCTTAAAGGCCTGAACTTGAAGAGCAGTCTTTTAGTCATTTATGGATTAGAAGCGGCACACAGCTGCAGCTTACTTGATTGTTTTTTAAATTAATTTAATTTATTATGCTAACTGAGTTCATTTGTCTGTATCCAGACACATCTCACCAAAGCAGAGTCGTTTTGAGCAAACCTAAGAAGAAATAGTGCAAAAACGTATCAGACACACGTTTATGAAGCCGGACAGCTTTTCAAATGTTCAACAAGTCACACGCTCCTTCTTTTGCACGTTTTTGTGTAGATGCTCGGTGCAGCTGAGAGGGATGAGCGTCGTATTTTCATGTGTCCCCCTCCTCCTCTTCTTTCAGGCCATATTTAAGCTGATCCCTGAGGACGAGCAGAAGAAGCTACCAGAGGATGAGAACACACCCGAGAAGAGAGCCAACAAGCTGTGGGCTTTCTTCGATAAGAAGGACAACGGTAAGACGCACAAAACGTCGTTTCCCCCTGCAGAGGTGTCGCCTTCACTTAACCCTTTGATGCATGAATTATGAAATCTTCAACCATGATTTTTTTAACAAATTTTTTCATTTGTCTTTAGGTGTGAATGAAACAAATTTCAACAAATATTTTTTGTAAAATTTTATAATTTACAAATAATTTATTACATGTCCACCTCAGTGGACAGCGTGCATTCTGAGCATGAAATATGTTGGCTTGGCTTACTGAAGTCCAAATGGAGGGGCTCAAATGCAGTAAAGTCTTCAACAGCTGTGCTTAATAGCAAAAATAAATAAATAACAATTTTGAGTACCTGTCCACTGTAGTGACCATTATGCACCAAAGGGTTAAGTTAGGAAACCTAAATTTAAAGTGCAAGTCACCCCCAAATAAACTTTTTTTTTTGACAAACTATATAAATGCGTTTCTAATCGTGCTGCAGACACGTGTAGTCAATAGTTTTGCACTTTAGTGCATTTTGGTTAAAATTTTTATTTTCTGCCTAAAACTGTCAGTGTCGTGCCGTTGTCAGGTAAAAACTCTGCACTGCATTTGAATTTAAATCTGCCATCGCTATTGGCTAAGAGGTACCCTAGAATGTTAGCTGGTACCATATGATGTCACAATGTTGTTGTGAGCCTGTGTGTGTGTGAATTTGTTAGCTGCTCCGCCCTCTTGGTCTGCTAGGCAACAGCATTTGTTGCATTTTTCAAACAGGAAGTGGGAGTTCAGTAAGAATCTGGTAGGAGGTGACTTGCTCTTTAACTTTTCCCTGTAAATAACTTCATTTTTGTTTTCTTCAGAAAACGTTTGTGTAAATAAGCTGATTTAGGGGAAAATTCATACATTTGCCTTTTGCCATAACTTGTGTCAAATTAAAAAAATTGCATTAAACGTTAAGTAGCTCTATTGTTCTTTATCTCTTTCTCTCTATCCCCCCCCCCCCCCCCCCCACCACACACACCTGAGATGAAACTTCATCAACTTGTCTTTTCACATTTTTCCTTTTCTGTCTTCACAGAGCGACTGGCTGAAGGAGAATTCATCAAAGGGGTGATTGAAAATGAGAACGCCATGCGTCTTATTCAGTATGAACCAATGAAACATTAAGCCCCCCCCCCCCCCCCCCCCCACACACACACACCTTTTTTCACACAACCACTCTGCTTATTTCACTTTGTAAATACTCAAACTTCATGGTTGCAACTGAGTTTTCAGCAAGTTTTTATTCTTGTTTTTCTGCTTGTGAATGAATTTATGTCCAATAGAAGCCAGTAGAGGCATTAATGAAATAGTGTTTACAGCCAAAAATTAAATTATTGTAAAGGCAAATTAACAAATTGCATTAAAGCAAAGAAAAAACTGTTATGTTGTGTTGTTCTGTTAACTTTTAATGTTAAAAAAATTGGGTCTACAGCAAATTAGGCTATTTTAAAAGTACCACTCCTTACGTTTAGCTCGCTGTAGATTTTCTTCTTTTTTTTTTTTTACAGCCCTTTGATTCTGTCTTTAGCGCACATGTGTTGTACTTCATTCACTCAACAATAAATTAAAGGTTTTCTCATACATCTGTTGTTGGAAAATCAATTTATTTATCTTCCCCATTAATTCCTCTTTGACCCAGAAGCTTTCTTTGCTCTGTGATGCTCGACACCGACAAAAACACCGCTTTAGCTTTTAAGTTTTCAATTGTATTAATCCCCAACCGTAAATCCTGGATTAGGTCACAAGTGTAACCTAAAGATATTAAAGGTAACATTTCTGTAAATGTTTTACACTTTTACGAATCGCTGCTCGCATCATTTCCTCATAAATATTTAGAGCCCATTCTTTAAGCAATGACAGGGAACTATTTTCTCTGTGCAGATGTTGAAACGTGTGCGCGCGCGCGTGTGTGTGTGTGTGCGCGCGCGCGCGCGTGTGTGTGTGTGTGTGTGTGTGTGTGTGTGTGCGTACATCAGTGTTTCTTTCCAACTTTCATTCCGACTCCCCCTCCTCCCCTCAACGAGCTCCTCTTCACATCTCTCTTCCTCCTCCTCCTTTCCATCCAACTCGGGATTACTGCTTTACACATAATCTTCTGCTCAACATGAGAGAGCAGACTTTGCAAAATCTCTGTAATCATTTTATCTCTATGAGTCTGTCTGTGCTTCTTCACACAGAAACTGTTTGTTGGATCTTTGAGTTTACGTGCATCAAAGTTCGTCCTTTATTACAAGTCTTCGTCAGAAGAAGATCTTGAATGAATCACGCCCAACTCGCATGATTTATATATTTAACTGACTGTTTGCCCTTCATGGTAATGCTGAGCATTAAATAAATATTTATTCGTTGACAAATAGAAGTGTACATTTGCTTTTCCATCATTAGGCACAGATAAATCCTCAGAAACATGCAGACTTGCATGTAAAAACAACCTGCTTTCAACATCCTTGATATGTTAACTCCACTGACCTTTGACCCCCCATTGAGTTGCATCCCAAGTTGACAGGAAGTCAAAGTACAAGCAAAACAAACCAGGGTGCATCATCGCCGCAGTGACGCCGGCTTTTCAGCCCTTTGTGTTGAACGTTTCAAACCGATACCCTAACAAGGTGAGTCAACTCTCTCCATGGCCTCCTCCATCTCATCCCTCTCTCTCTCGCAGTCCTCACACCCCTCTGGCCCACAGCCTCCCACCAAAACCAGTGTTGGCACGTCCCCGTTGCCCACTCCGACCACGCTGCCGTTCGGAGCCCACGCCACGTCAATCATGCCGTCCGGACAGTGCAACAGGCCGCTGACGGAGTAGAGCCCTGCCCCCGGAATAACCTCACTGTAGGTTGGAACTTGAGCGGCAGCATGCGCCTCCTCCAAGCGGAGCTTCTGTCTGCGGCGGATCTCGATGATGGTCTTGGTGTAGGAGTTGAGCGTGACAACAGCTGCCCCCATGCAGCAGCTGAAGGACACCCAGGCAAGGCTGGAAAGGACAAATCCAAACAGTCAGTGGAACAAAAAAACTCGTGTACAGGTGAAACTTGGAAAAGTTTGAATATTGTGCAAAAGTTCATTTATTTGATTAATTGATCTTGAAGGTGCAATTGTAAGAATTCTACAGTGAAAAAAATCACAAAACAGTCTAATGTCTCAATCGTGATGGAAGGAAGGTTATACGGAAACAGATGTCCTTCTCAGCCGACTGGGGGGTTGAAAAAAAAAAGCAGGATATAGTTACTGTTTACACTCCACAGGCAGGGGCGGACTGGCCTATCTGGCATTCTGGCACTGTCCCGGTGGGCCGCTTAGCCAAGAGGGCTGCTTGCCCAGCTTGGGCCGACACTACTCCACAGTTGGTGATCTGCAGAGCATTAGCTACATGGTAACTGGAAGCTAACAGAGTTTTTCCAGGCGTTTTTAGCAAGAAAAACCCGGTAGAGCGATGACGTAGGAGTTGTTTTACCGCGTTAGCTTGTAGCTAATGTCCAGCTGATATCCGCGCGTGGAGAATGAGCTGATCTGGAAGGCCAGGACTCCCGGCCGCAGCGGTCTGGCCCTGCTTGTAATTTAACAGTCCCAGTCCATATTATCTCACATTCGACCTAGAGACGAGTCCACGAGCGGCAACACCCCCACCGCTCTACCAATGGGGAGGGCCGACTAAGGGCTGAATTTTGGTCCCAGTCCACCCCTGTCCACAGGTTTGTGAGGTTGGTGAATCTGCACCTAGCTAACGCTGCAGTGCAGGCGTTTGTAACACCCGCAGGCAAAAAGCTCCAGAGTTGTTAAAAGAACCTAAGCCAGTAAAATGGAGAGACCCAGAAGTTATTTCTTGTACCACTAAAAAGCCATGGCATCTTTTTTTTCAGAGGCTCGAGATACATTTTCAATGACTGAATATTACAGTGAAATGTGAGTCAACTGTGGCATTTTACTTCCTTGAATGAATCGTTCAGAGCTATAAAAGCAAGCTAACAGCAAGGCGGCTAACAGCCAAGAGTGTTTCACCGGATATAACAATGTATTTATCCACTTATCAACTTACGGTGTGAGACTCTTTACTTGTTACCTACAATCTTCTGGTGCTGATCCATAACTGGCAACAGCCATGCAACTGATTTTATTGCTTAGGAAAATGGGCTGCAGTTACCAAATTTGACCACAGGATGTCTTCTTACAAATTGCACCTTTAAAAGGTGAAACTAAAACATGACTTACTCATGACAGGCAGAGCCAGATATTGCCTTTATTTGTTATAATTGTGATAATTATGGCCTCCAACTTATGAAAGCCCTGACTTCAGATTCTCATACAATTAGAAATTTGTGATTCTAGGTTCAAAGCATGGACATAATTTTTTTGGGGGGGGACAGGGGGGACATGCTCCCCCCCCCACCTACACACACACTTTTTCCAAAGTCAAGTTTTGACCCCTGCACTTTTTATCGTCCAAAAACAGTATTACGCTATATTAAATTGATACAGGTTGAGCTCTAGGACCAAGCGGAAAACAACCGTTTGTGTTGAAGCCTGTTTCCCATTAGAGCATACTGTAAAGATACCCCACCCACACACACACACACACACACACACACACTTCTAAAGTGAAAATTACATCCATGGTTCACAGTGTCACACTCTAATCAGCTAATGAATCCAAAACACCCGCCTTTAGATAGTCTCTCAGTCTTTGATGAGTTATTGAAATAAATAGACTTTTGCACCTTATTCTCAATTTTCACATTTCACCTGTAAATATCCTGTATTTTTGTGTTTAAAGAGCAGCCACCTACGCAAACGACCAGCCGTAGTCCCATGACTGAGGTCTCCAGTCTTTAGGGCCCACAATGACTGTCATTTGAAACACTGTGGTAAACATCATATGAGCTACCATCCCAAGGAGACCTATGCAGGAGGAGGCAATAACAGAAACATTCCTGAAAACTCAAGATGATCTGAGCAGATCAGTTGAAAAATGTAGGCGTTCCCTCACCCGACAGCACGGTACAAATCGCTGCGTAGGCGTTGATTTTCAGTGCATGCATCTCTTTATGAGAGCACATGATGTCCAGGCACATCAGTAAGAAGCCCATCCCCAGCAGGCCGATGTATGTAAACTCAGACACAACCGACAACCAAAGCACACCTGCAACAGGCGCAAACAAAAGTGAAAAACACAACAACTTTAATCTCCTTTTTAAAAAGGTAGAAATGACCGGGTTTACCTTGTGTGTCTCCTGGAGTTAAATCTATAAAGCTGCGACACACCTCCCCTGAAAAGCACCATTCTAAATATTAAGAGCAGAAGCGTGTGAGTTGCACACCCAAACATCTCCATTATCATCTCACCATGGTCCTGCTCCTCACAGCTTTCCCAGAAGCCGGTGTGGAAGTATCTGAAGGCAAACTTGTCTTCCCCCGTCTCCCAGATGTAGTGGACGGCGTTGGCCAACTGCCTTTGTCTGATCTTAGCCAGCTCCTCTCTCCTGGCTGGAGACAGCGTGCGATTGAAGGGGCTCTGAGTGGGACTCTCTGTGTGAGAAAAGCAAGTCGTTTACAAGCAGAAGCACAAAAACCAGCTGTTATGTCATGAAGGTTACAACGGGTGTTGAAGGAGGTCCACAATGGAAAGCATCTGCACAAAGCTCGTGTTACCACAAGCATTTTCTGAATCAGTAAAGTACATAAAGTACTGATCACCGTAATCTCATTGTGGATTAAGCGTCTCACAAAGACCTGACGGGGGTGGGGGCGGGTGGGGGGAGTGGTAACTAACATCACACCCGACAGATTACTGCAATAAAGTTCTCTCTGAAACTGAGCTTGCGATTAAAAGATTAAATAAAACAAGAACAACCAGCTTTCTCTTTACTGGGAAAATTGAGAACTGTCAGTTTCTTCAGTCAGATTTAATAAAGTTTGTTGTGTAATCCAGGTGAGGTTTTTTAGATAAGTCCATGTCAGAGGGCTGGATTTGTGCGGAGCTCCAACACCTGTAGAGTGTAATCACCAGAAAGATATGAAAGAAATCATCACGAATATATCTACAACCGATCGACTCTGGAGTCGAGGTGGCCTTCGCAGCTGATCAACAACGGCAAACACAAAAACATTTGTGCAACTTTACAGATGTTGAGCTAGAGGTTGTGGCAGATGGAGCCAAGTTCACTTGCACACATGCACACCTACTGATGGACACTTATTCCTTTAAACTGCTCCGTTGATGTGTCAATGTTGGGAACCAAATTTCCACCAAGGCGTGGACATCTTCTGGTGGGTCTGCCTACCGTAGCAGTGGCGTCTCTGGTTGACGTTTCTAGCCTATGAATCTAGACCAGCGGTGCCCAATCTTGGTCCTGGAGGGCCAGCATCCAGCAGGTTTTGTGGTTTTTCTGCTCCAACAGACTTGATTCAGTGGTTGAAACACCTGTGCAGCAGTTCGTCAGGCTCTGCAGAAGCCCGTTAATTAGCTGCTGATTGAAATCAGGAGTTCAAACTAAGATATGCAGGATACCGGCCCTCCAGGACCAGAATTGAGCACCCCTGATCTAGACCGTCAGCTGTCAGAGCAAAATGTTTTTGTTCTGCATGTCGGTCTAGTCATGCTCCATTGGAACCTCCGCAGCCCCGGACAGTCTGGTGCCAGTCCAATCACAGAGCTCCATCTGTTTGGTGGGCGGGATGTTACTGTGACTGAGCAAAACTAAGACGGCAACGACTCTTTTGAAATGGCTTTAGAATCATCTTTGGACTATTTAGACCGGGCTTTTCTTTGAGTCAAGAGCAGATGGAGGTACTTAAGTTCTTTATTTAGAAAAATTATGTATTCGCATCTAATGGTACGTTCGATTTGTCCTCGGAACTTGGAAATCCCAACTTCCAAGTAGGAAAAATCTAACAAAACACCTCCCAAAGTCGGACCTCCCAGTCAGAAACTTGGAAGAAATTCACATCTTCAACCTCAACATCCAAAATGCCAGCTCGCCGCATCAACAACGTTAAGTTTTGGTTGAACTGTGTTTATTTTACAAGACACGCTCATAACAGAAATGTTACACATAGGGCTTGAAACTTAAAGCTTCTCTCGTCAAATATTTTTTGAAGATGAGCTTTGTATGCGTTTAGCAGTCGTCTGTGTTCATTGAAAACTAACAAAACAGCAATTTTCGAAGGCGTCGCCATTTTGAAATCCCGACCTTTCCGACTCTGGGAACCATAACGCGGATAACTCAGGTGCGACATCGTTCCCAGTTCCGAGTTCCAACTTCCGAGGTAAATCAAACACTCCATAATTCAACAGTGTATGGTGGACCGCCGTGTTGACTAACATCCATAGGTGAGTGCATCACGTTGTTTGTTGTCCAATAGCATGTAGAGAAAGTTTGAAAGGCAACCATAGATTCCACCTCCGACTTAGAGCCGTCAATGATAAAATGATACATGACCCGCACTTGTACAGCGCCTCTCAGAGTAAGGACTCCAAAGCGCTTTACACTACAATGTATCATTCACCCATTCACACACACATTCACACACTGATGATGAGCTACGATGTAGCCACAGCTGCCCTGACAGATGCGAGGCTGCCGAGCACAGGCACCACCGGTCCCTCCGACCACCTACAGCAGGCAAGGTAGGTTAGGTGTCTTGCCCAAGGACACAACAGCAGAATTATCTGACCGTAGTCAGGATCGAACCTGCAACCTTCTGTTTACTAGACAACCCGCTCAACCTGTTGAGCTACTGATCAATGGGTCATGGCCAGACTATAGATTCACATATATAGGATGGCTTGCTAGGCTGTCGTGAAGGAGGTGGGAATTTAAATACAAAATTTGAGATTCTTATGTTGACGTTGGAATTTTTTCGTATTTTGATAAAGTTTAAGAAAAAAAAAGCTAGTAAACGCCAATCCGCCCAAGGAGCAATGGCCAACAGAGAGCAAGTTTTCATTGAGTTGGAGTTGCTTGATCTCAAGGAACAAAAGCTTTTGTTACCAAGAATTCAAAGAGAGCAAAAGAGACTGCAACATCAGAGGAATGTCCACCGACGCGGTTGTTGGGTCGACCAATCGCGTTCAACGTTGGTTAAGAAATTGGTCTCTACTCCATCCATCCTTGCGTTCCTGTCAGAAAGCCCTTGCGTCCACGGATAATAGTGCCGTGCGTCTCAGGCATAAACTAGGCTGAAGAGTTTTCCTCGACATATGCTGCAAGCTCTGCACATATTTGCTCAAAATCTTTGAGTCAAACTTGTCTTTTAGCAAAATATCTCATGAACCACTGGTTGGATTTTGATGAAACTCTTTGGTAAATTTGCGTCTTTCATTGTTTAAAGGAGACATATTACGGCAGTTTGTCTTAAGTTATAGTAGTTCTGTGGTCTATACAAAATAAGTTCATGAATTTCTTTGCACTAAATCCTTCTCACATGAAGCCATTTCAGCAGTTTGATTTTTGACATTTTCAGAACCTTCCAGAATGAGCCGTTTTAGGGCTCTGTCACTTTAAGAATACAAGCCTGAGCTGGCCACGCCCACCCATCCCCTACTGCTATAAGCTGAGAAGCTCCAATATGGGGTAGAAGCTTGGAATGGAGCCACCGCTCCTTCAGCCTGATGAGGTGAGTTTATGACATTACAGGTTTTATTAATGGCTCTTAGGCAGATCATTTCAAAAACTAAACTCTGACAGAAAATAATGGACATTTTTCACATTTGAAGTGTTTATAGAGGCAGTAGAGACCAACATGGTGTCACAAAAGGACACAAATTGCGAATTTTACGTAATACATCCTCTTTCATTTTTGGATTCAATCACATTGATGGTTACTACCTCATATGGCCTGACTCAGAAAATATATCTGTAACTCATTCAGTTTTACAGCTAGTCGCTGAGAATCAGTCACCAAACATACTTGGACGACAGATCGCACGATCATGTGACATCATTAGACTGCATAATGTTATTCTCAAGATTTGACCAAAACAGCAATTAGTAAACAAAATGTATGCATTCATTCAATAAATCATCTTTTATTTGGCTTACAACATAAAAACTGAGTCACGATGCTGCTGTAAGCATAAACATCAGGTCTGAAGATGTAACCCTGAGACTTCAGTGTGTGTGTGTGTGTGTGTGTGTGTGTGTGTGTGGAGGGGTGCTTTGTAAGTTACAGTATTTCAACAATCAAATTTCACTTAAAGTGCCAAGAAAACCTTGTGATAGTGAATCTAAAGCAGAAAGAACCGGCAACTCAAACGGCTGGAGACTAAGTATAACATGCCCGTGAGAGTGCTGCAACAGAAGGAGGGATGGATTAGTCACCAGGAAACATTTCCCACCCCACTTCTGTCCACGTTTTATCCAGGCTGCTTTCTTATTTCTTGGCTAACAGAGCACGATCTTATTCTCTGTCTTCATTTTGCCATCTTTCATGTTTGATCAAAAATCTCCAAGTGTGGAGAACAAACGTGTCTCAGTCCGCTGTGTGCAAGTGAAGTCCATCATAAGCTCAGGTGAGTGCGTGTACCTGTGGTGTAAGGCTCGCTGTTATTCTGACCACAGTTCTTCATCTTGACCGGAGACAGGCAGAGAGGCTTGACCACTTTGTGAGTTCCCTCGCACCAGTAGGAGGTGCAGAGGGCCAGGATGGAGAGGCTCAGAGCCAACGTGGTTAGAGTCAGAGAGAGCATGGAGCGAGAGCGGCGAGACATACGCTCCAGCATGGCCACAGCGAAGGGAGAGGGGTGGGGGGCGGCTGAGGGGACAGAAGGTGGACGCCACAAAGGGAGGGAGAGGACAACTGCAGATGGAGGTGACAGGTGGAGTCAATTACTTTAGTTCAGCCAGCTTTAGACAGGAAGAAAAGATAATATGATGCAACGGCGGAGACAGAAGGTAACCGACCACATCTGGCAGCGAGTGGGATTGTCAAGCAAGACAGATGACGGGGAAGAGAGGGAAGAAAGCAGGGAGACATGACCAGAGGGAGAGGTGGAGTTAAAGAAAATATGAACAGAATGAGGATTTAAGAGGTTGACGATTACACAACAGGGAGGAACAATGTGATGTTTAATTGAAGTCCATGAATCTCTTGACCTTTTGACCCTGTTCTGTTTGAGGATTAGACCAGTGAATGTTCCGTGTTAGCGGCTTCGTGAGAGATGAAGAACATCCTCGAATGTGGCCCGCCACCCAACTAACCGCTGGCTGATGCGAACAAAAGCTGCATCGGTTTTTGACCAGTGCTGAGGTCAGATAAATCCTCCTGCTGTTGATAAGAAGGCTTCATAAAAGGTCAGCTGATCTGACCCCAGTTAAAATCATCATGCCTCCTGACCTCCTGGCCCAAACTCCCAAGTGTTAAATCAAACACAGGGTCCTGAAACAAAGCGTTTCTGGATGAGCCACGAATTTAAGTGGATTTTTTTTTTCTGATAATCCCATGAAATCTACTTTAATCTGCGTGAGTTTGTTGTATTTTAGTGTGAAGTACAACCGGACCACGTTGCCTCTCGTGCATCGCCTCACTGGCAGCCCACGCCCCCTAAAAAATGACAGAAAAGGGGGAAAAGTGAAATTATGCAACTAGTAAGCTGGTTTTGTCTGGGATGTTTGTTAAAGCTTGACTTTTTATCCAGCTTTAAAGAAAAAGCATAAAAATATCTCAATTGTGGCAAAATAAATAGGAAATATTTTCCCTTGATTAAACAGTTTCTGTTATTTTCATCACACCAGACCTTCAATATCATATTCTTGAAAAACTGTAAATTTAAGTCAGTCCAATCTTTAAATTCCTGCAGCTTTAAATGAGCAGAAAATCAAAACATAATAATCATTTAAAAGCGGAGCTTTCTGTTTATGCAGATACTTCAGCTAGTCTTACCCTGCCCTCTAAACGAGATGCTTCACCTCATTTAAACTTCACAACAATGGCAGAAAACTGGTTTTAATCGAGGCAACAAACATCCTTTTCATGCCAATCTGTAGCTTTTTTAGGTCTTTCAATATAAAAATACATATTTTTATGCAAACCAAGCTATTAAAAGCTGAAAACATTATTTAAATATAAACAAACCAAAGCAAATCATCCTGATTGAAAAATCCCTCATAAGGAACATATACCTACCATGGACCCTTCTCTTTTTTGGTACTTCATGTAAGTCATAAAAAAAATCTCCCCAAAAAATCACATCCGTTGCTTCTTGCTTTGCTCTCAATCTTCTTATTTAGGATCTGTTTATCAAAACATTCCCTAAAACGTTCAATTCTTCCATCTTTAACCACTTCTACATCATCCGTATCCTCGGCGTCTCTTCCTGGATGAGCATCAGTGGTCCACACCTCTCCCCAGTAATCCCACTGGCCAATAGATGAAGATGAGAACCGACGGAGGGACGGAGCGTTTGTCTCCACGCGAATCTACTCTTTCCTGTCTTTCTTGGGAATTTATGTCATACTCACAGTGAATCATGTAATCCTTCTTAGTCCATCTGTTACTGCAGTGCCCCCTCGCTTCCTGTTCATCTACTTTCAGAGGTGTTTCCTCTTTAACCCCCCCCCCCCCCCCCCCCCCAAACAAACAAACAAACAAGCTGCTCCACAAGAATTATTCTTAAGCCGACAAGACTGAGCCCCAATTTATTTTTGGAGATAAAATGTTGATCCAGAACAAACCAAAATTACAATAAGTTATTTACAGTGCATGTACATATAAAAACAAACTAAATAAATCATGTACCAAAAGGAGGGACGAAACAATAAATGTATATTTATGGGACGAATTAAGACAAAATGAAGAATTTAACCCCAGGCTTGAGATTTACAGTAATGTAGAACTAGTTTGCCATCGCTGCCGAAACACTGAAAAAGAGAAGGAAGAAAAGGATGTTAAAAACAGTCCTAAGTGACTCTCCATCATCCAAAACGACAGTAAAAAAAATAATTGTTCCTTCTGAATGGAAATCATAAAGAATTTTTTTTTTGTAAATTAATTAAAAAAAACCCAGCTGGTTGATGGGTTTTAAAATTGCAAGCATTGGTGAGTGGATGGTTTGAATCTTTGTCAAGCAGCCATCTTCAAGCGCCACCTGCTGGTCAGTTTAAAGGTGACACGGTCATATTAATAGATGAAACTAGAAAAATTAGATTATGGTGCAAAAGTCTCTTTATTTGAGAGGGTGCTCGCTGCAGAGCTACAAAGGCGGAGCTGCACCAGAGTCAGTCCCGCCCATTCACGTAAACTCAGCCTAGCCCACTGACTTCTTCTGTTTTTGTTTTTAACTTTATCGCAAACTAACCTGACCCACATGAATTACAGCTGTTACTAGTTTACAAATGTTAATGCTATGTTCTATGCTCCAATTAAACAAGATAAATATAACTTGCTACATGACAAAGCCTGAATATATCCCGAAATGAAAAGGTTTCTTTTAGCAAATATCTGCCCACAGCCGCTCCAACAAGAGCGGCCTCCAACAGCATTCAGAGCTGTTGTGTCGGTTCTGGTAGTCCAGTGGCAAGATCGTCTGACTTAAGGTTTGCTTTCCCCTCAGCTGATGCTGGCTTGACTCTCGGTGGGGTCGACAACAATCTATTTAGCCAGCTGAAACATTTAATTTGTTTATATTTTAGTCGTAATGTTTATTTTCTGCTAAATATTTATGTCTCTAAAAGTTCTTTGAATTTGGTCGTTCCTAAACAGCATTTTAGTTGAAACTCTGCTCACAAATGGACTCACACTGGCTAAATAAACTAATAAATAAATAAATAACACATTAGTCATTATATTGTAAACGGTATACCAGTAAATTTTTGTAAACATAGTACTCGCAAGTGTAGCTAGAAAAGAAGGAAAGGGGTTTTAAACTACCTACATACTACCGCTACTGGGAGGTGAACCTGTGCAAAACTGCACGTCAACCTGACTCCACAACCACTTCACCACTACATCTGGTAAAATGCAAGCGGTGTTACATGTAATTGTGCCATCCAGTATATCTTTGTAGATGGGATGTATGGTTTTTCCGGCGGTGTCTCAGTAGAAGTCATTTCAGAAATAATTTGTCAGAAAATTCACAGAATATCCAGATTTGAGAACCAAGACCAGACCCACTTCGGGGGAGGAGACCTAATTGAAGCTGAGATGGGAGGAAAATGCATGAATGAGGCCAAAAATGGCTTTGGCGTGTTTCTTATGAGGAAATGACAATATAACATGGTAAAAATTTCTAAAAGTTAGATTTTTAAATATATGGAACCTTTACAAAAACTGTTCAATTAACCTCTCAACTCCGTCCTCAACCTTGCATTTTAGAGGATATTAGCTATAACACCCTCTTTGGTTCCAGAATGCTATCAAGTCTGACAAATGGAAGGAATTGGACTGACTGATGGAATGGGCGGGGCTGACTGCAGCTCCACCTACTGGTGCAGCTCCGCCTTTGTGGTTCTGCAGTGAGCACCACTTGCTTTATTTCAGTAGTTCAACTCAGACTGAGAGAACTTCTAAAGCAGGGGTGTCAAATATGCGGCCCGCGGGCTGCATCCGGCCCGCAAGCGGGTTAAATCCGGCCCGCGAGATGGTTGTGTAAACTTTATTTTCATACTTTACAATGTAGAGTGAAAATAAACTTATCTTTGTGAGCAAGTTTTCTCTGTAATGAGTATAAATAAAACAAAGCTGCGCTCAAGGCTCACACAAGAACTTGAATCACATCCTGAAGTTGGCCGCCACTCAGGATGTGACTTCTGATGTTGATGTGCTGGTGAAAGTTAAAAGATGTAAAGTAAAATGAGTCAAATATACTTTAAGTGCTGCATGAAACTGATCTAGCCATGTGATCTGTAAGCTCTGAATCACTAAGAAATGTTTATTTTTGATTGATTAATTTTTATTTATTTCAAATTTTCGAGTACACTTCAGGTGTTGTACTATTTTGGATACACTGTCCTCAGGCTCCAGCCTTGTTTTATATTGATTGTATTAAAACAAAGAAAACAACCTGAAGTTGTTTTTAATTTACCGGTCCGGCCCACTTGGGACTAGAGTTCCCTCAATGTGGCCCCTGAGCTAAGATGAGTTTGACACCCCTGTAAAGGCTCAGGAAGCCTTTGCAGGTGTTTTGGATTCATTAGCTGATTGAAATGTGACAATCTGAGTCTAGAATTTTGAACCTTTTCACAATAATCTAACTGTCTGAGATTTTGAATTTGGGGTTTTCATAACCTGTAAGCCATAATCATCACAATTATAACTAATAAAGGCTTGAAATATCTGGCCTTACATGGAATGAGTCTATCTCATATATTAGTTTCACCTTTTAAGTTGAATTACTGGAATAAATGAACTTTTGCATCTTATTCTCATTTTTTGAGTTTCACCTGTAGACTTTGATGAAGCCAAATCATATTTATAAAATAATAAAAATGTAAAAGTTATTTAAATCCCTTTACATACGGTTTTTATTCCTCTGATGAAATATAAACAATTTCTGTTCTGTGAATTTTGTCAAGATTAATTCATTTGAATGTTTTTTATTTGTAGTGAATAAATTAATTGCTTCACACACACACACACAAAAAAAACACTGAAATGTTGAAATTTTTTTTGTATAATTTAAGAAAGGAAACATTAAAACAGAACAAAGCACAGTGTTACAATCTGACCATAAACTCACATCAAAGAGAATTCCAACTTCTTGATCTGGCGATGGGGCAAAAGACTGATTGACATAGATGAACTGGGGAAAAAGCAAACACAATCAGGTAGAGTTTTACAGATCACGCTTTTATTAAAATTATATTCCAGACACACATCAGGCCAGGAGAAAGCGCCACGCTCACCAGCTGTTCCGAAGCATCAAGTTTGAGGAAGCGAGAGATGAACTGAGACAGGGACTGCAACGTCCTCCCCCTGTCCACTGCCCACTTCTTTTTTTTCATTATTGGAGTGTCTCCCACTGCCTTCAACAGCACATCAACTTTAAAAATAGAAGAAAAAAAAAAAGTAAAACCAGCGGTTGCCCTCTTACTCATAAATCGAAACTTGAATTTTCTGCTGAAATTGTGATAAGGT